GGCAGTGGTGGACGGGTACGTACCGTGCAGCGCGACGACGGAGATGATGAAGCCGACGGAGAGGACGAGCACGACGACGGGATCGACCTTGAGGCCGGGGGACTCGTCAGTGTAGAGCCCTGCGGAGGAAGGGTTAGCTTTCTTCTGTTCTTTGGTCTTGTTTCGCAATGCAATGATGCCTCTGATTGCCCACGCCATCACACCATCATAATCCTCCACCTCCCTTCCACATCTTCTGCCGCTACTATACTACGAAGCTCCAGGAAAAAAGACAAAAGAATGAGAGGGAGAAAACAACATACTCAGCATGGTGCTGCTGCTGCCGCCCGCGCCAGCCGCGCGCGTGCTGCTCGGGCGCGCATTGGCGACCTTGTCGGCGCGGTCGGCCGCGGCCTTGCGGCGGATGGCCGTGGCAGGGCCTCCGGGGGGCTTAGGCGACGAGGGGCGCGCGGTCGAGGAGCCCGTCGCGGGTGGCGAGTTAACGGGAGAGGTGGGGCGGGGAGAAGACTGCGTGACGGACGAGTTAGCTGCTGGCACGGAGTGTGTGTGGGCGATTGGTGCGGTGCCGCTGAGCGGTGGAGTAAAGGGCGATTGAGAGGGCGTCGAAGGACGCAGAGCTCGGCGTGTGTGTTTGTGATGGGCGGGCTGGGAGCGCGATGTGTTGGAGTGGCCTGCGGGCGCGCAATGGGAGGGAGAGTGCTGCTGCGCCAGGTGTTGCTTCTCGAATTGCTGCGTCGAGGAGCGGAAAGATGGGAGCAAATGAGCGACTCACCATGTTGCTTGGAGCTTGGAAGACCTGGACTGGGACGAAATGAGTGAAGGGAGTCGGATGGGATTATTCGTGGACGGGTGGGTGAGGTGGTAGTTGCAGGTTGGATGTTTAAGGCCACGCTTCTGGAATCGCTAGCGCCGGTCCCCTTCCCAGCCGAGCTTGAGCCACCACCGCAACCGCAAAGAATCCGGGGATCCTAACATCTAACATCTCTAACAGACACTGTATCGCAACCACCCCAGAACTTTGCCATTACTACATCACCCCTAGTGAACCCATGAGCCCGCACCAACTAAGCGATAAAAAGCAACCAACGAGTCATCCATCCGCATGTACATCCTTCCCATTCATCCTCTCCGCCCATCAATCCAGTCATCCGCCTGCGTACCATACCGATCTGCCCGTTAACCTCACCCAGGGGTTATCGCAAACACCTTGATCCCGAAGAGTCCGTCCGTCCGGACTCGCAAAAAAAGAAAACAAAGACTATTGATACCGCCCGAGGTTCCTCAAAACGGCTTTCTCGCGCAGGGCCCAGCAGAAACTGAACCCGGGCGCCTGTTATAGTGAAGAAAATGACAGTGATAGGGGGGTGTAGTACAAAGTGAAAGCTCAAGAAAGCCGAGTCCGTGAGCCAAGGAATTTCCCTGCGCAGGAAACGGTTTGTCTCAACGCCTCCGAGTAAGAAGAAAAAGTAGAAAGAATAGGAAAAGACAAACCCCGCAGTAACGTGATGTGCTCCGGACCCGTAATGTTGACGCATAATTTGCTCCCCTGCACACCCGGCCATTCCCGCGCGCCTGCACCCTACCCACACCGAGTAAAAGGACCCTTACGACGACGACAGCGACAGTGACAGCGACGAGAGATCCCCAAAGAAAACCCCGGCCATATTCTTTCCACGCGCCAGCAAGCCAGCCCAAAAAGATCCTTTTTGTCGATGAAAAAGAGGAGAAGCTTGTAGCCGCGAGCAACCAACGTGAACCTGAAACAAAAAAAGCAAAGCAAGTGTGATCCGCGCCTAAGCCCTCGGAGAGACTTCTCCAGGCGAAGAAGAAGTAGAAGAAAAGGCAAAGAGAACAGAAAAAAGGGGTATCCTCCTTTTTAGTTTCCTTCGTTCGACCGGACCTGCTACTCCTTCCCCCCTTTCCCGTGTTCCTAGAAAAGACGACAAGAAAGAGATGATAAACACCACCGGCCGACCGTTTGGCTTTCCGCCTCCTCTCCTGTCTTTGGTGGGAATCATGTGATGGTGATTTGGAACGTGGGTCAATGCCCTTCCCTTCCCTCCCAGGAACACCTGAAATGCAGAAACTCCTCCCCACCGGAATACAAGCAAAAATGAATGTTCAAAACTCCGAATCCTGTTTGTGTGTCCCCTGTCCCCATTGATATGATGATGATGACGATGATGATGATAACACCCCCAACCCAGCAGTAGTAGCAATCCGAAAGCTCCTCTCCCACGCATGCAACCAAATTTCGCAGTCTTTTGGTATCATGAAGGAAGTAAAAATCCCTTACCACTGGGGGAGAAAAGATTTGCTATGTCGTTGTGTTCGTAACTTTTTTGGGGTGGCTAGGACGGGTCCTTGACATTAACCCCAAACGGACGCTTGAACGCCCAGTGTGTTCTTGGAAGCAGTGCCCCAGACAGCGCTGTTGCTGCCCCAGCCGCTGAGGCTGACGCCCTTGTCAGCGACGCTGGACGTCGGGTTGGACGAAGTCGAGCCCGAACGCTCGTTGGCGCTGTGCATGGCCGCGTCGGTGGCCGTGAAGCCGAAGCTCAGGGGCGACGGCAGAGGCGTGGTCGAACGCTTGCTGAGGGCCGGGTTGGCGGCCTGGGCGACGCCCTGGGCGGGACGCGTGCCAATGGGCGCGACGCCGGCGCCTGGCGCAATGATCGACTGGCGGGGCGGCGAGGCGCCGGTGGGCGACGACGTCGAGGTCCGGCTCGACTGCTGCGCCGTCTCGAACAGGCTAAAGGAGCCGGTCGGGTTGGACGACGGCGAGGAGGTGCTGTTGGCGCGAGAGCGCTGCGCGCCAGCATTGGCATCCTTGCCGTCACGAGCCGGCATCTGGACCGAGGAGTCGCCCTGGCTGCCGATCTTGCCCTGCATGCCGAAAGGATCAAAGGCCAGCGGGGAGCTGTTGCGGCCGGCCAGCGTCGTCGCGACCCGGACATCCTGGCTCGACGTGCGGTTGCCGCCCTCGTAGATGGCCGAGCCATCGCCGTACAAGGCACGATGCTGGCGCGCAATGAGCTCACGGCGGTCTTCCTCACTCATGGCATTGGGGGACATGGAACGGTCGGACTTGGCTCCCGAGATATCTGATAGAACACCTGACCGGTTAACCAAAAATTTCCTATTTTTCTATTGTCCATTCTCGATTTCCTTACTCCGGTTGTATTGCTGCTCCTGATGGTAGTTGCGCAGCTCCCGCTCCCGCTGCGCAGCCATGCGCCGCTTCGCCTGCATCATTTGGTCGGCGTCGTTGGGACGAGGCGCAAATCGCTGGTTGGCGTAGAAGCCTTGGAGGTTCTGGGCCGAATGCGAGCGGATGCCGTCGTAGTCGCTGACCGAGTGATGACGCTGGCCGCCGGCCATGCGAGGGTCTACGGAGGCGTCAGTGACGGTTGCAGCTTTGCGCCAGAAGGACATGTCGTCTTACCGAATTCGCCGTAAGCCCGGCCGCCGACGGTGGGAGGCATCGAGTCGCGGCGAGGACCCATCATGGGGTTCACGCCGAACATGGGCATCTTGCCGCTCTTATAGAGGTTGTCAATGGCACGCTCGACCTCTGTTACACAAGAACAAAAATTAGTGTCGGTCGTTTGCGATGGGGCGTGGTAGTCCGCGGCTAGCCGCTGGGATTGGGGTCGAGTCGTTCGACCTCGGTTCAAAGGGAACACCAAGGCGGTGGTGTGTTCTGCAAAGTCGACGTACCCTCTATTTGAGACCCAAAGGCAGTGGGCTCCTCGCGCTGGACGGTCGAAGAAGTGCCTGTGCGGACTCGGTTATCATCACGGGCGTCGAGAGAGTCGGAGGGTCGAGGCATCGGGAGCGTACCAGAGCGCGACGGGGGCGCGGGCGTCTCCCAGGACGGCTGGCGACCGGGCGCGGACCAAGGTGCGTTCTCGTAGTAAGCCATTTGGCAGGCAAAAAAAAAACCTAGGCGTGGGGTTTGCGGAGAGTCGGTGCAAGTCGCGCTGCGGGCCTGGGCGGAAGAGAAAAACCTCGGAGGCTTTTTGGACGGAAGGGGTCGTCAGCAGGAAGGGACAATTATGTACAAGCGTTGTCGGCGTTGGGGGTGGTCGGTGTAGAGGGTGGTATGGGGTCAAAGTGGGTGCACGCAAAAAGATTTCGCGGGAGGATGGGCGGGCGGCGTCGGCCTAGGTAGCACGCACCTTTTGGGGGCTCTCGGAAGGGCGGGCGCGGGTTGGGCGAGGTAAAAGGAGTGACCGTTCTGCACTGCGCACCGTCCTACGGGGGGTCGAGGGATGGTCGGGGTGGAGAGAGGTAAGAGAAGTGTGTCGAGCGCGCAGACATCCAAGGTCACGACAACGGACGGAACGGGCGCTCTCAGGAGGCGATGGGTCCCGCCGACGCGCGCTAAGCACACTTCATTTCCGACATCTGCGCCATAACCCCATCTCAATCGCCGCTCCCTTCTGGTGATGCATGACGTTCCCCCAGCAAAAAGCTCCGTGCCTCGCCTGTTACTTATCCACGCCCGGCGCCTCTTTGCCCCGCATCCTGCCACTCTTTTTGCTGATCACACGCCCGCCCAGTCTCGTGTTACACCTTACAATATCCTGAAAGGCGCTTAGGGGAACTTCAATTAGCCTAAATTTTCAATCTCGAACCACAGCCTTGTACCACATCACTAGGTAGTTATAGCGACAACATGGCCATGCGCATCCATGTTGTTATTGTTGTTGTTGTTGTTGTTGTTGTGGGTTGCGTGTGTGCGTCATGGATGTACCGACGTACCTGCCTACCTTCCTACCTTGGGTTGGTTGTTCCTTCCCTTTCATCTCCCCCACGTGCAAACCTTGGACACATTCACCTGATTCCTCCTCACCTTCTCACTGAGCTCACATGCCATACCTACGATAGTCACCCGCCATTCCACCATTACGTGTGCCCGTGTCATCCCCGAGACAATATGGAAGTCCTCTATCCCGGTTCATCACATCGGGCGTTAAGTGAAAAAATGATCAGCCATGTCGCAGCTGCTCGCTCTCTGCTTGATCTAAATTAATCCCGGTCCACTTTCCATAACGTCTTTCTCTGTCCCACTGGCCATTTTTCCACACAGCCCGGACGTCAACCTGTCAGCAACCCCTGTGAGCACTCTCGTCCAACGCTTGCCCCACGCTTGCCCCTTGCTCAAACAGAAACATCCAGTATCACAGACGCCGCAAGCGCCATTGTCCCCGGACGCAGAAATTCTGGCCGGAGACAATTAATTAACCCCATGGGGCGGCGTCTATCCGCTACAGCAATCAACCGTCAATCATAAAACAAAAGCTCATTACCACTTTTTCTCTCTCTTCTCTTGTCTTCTTTTCTTACTATTACTACTTTACTTCTACTACTACAAGTCCTTTGTCCTCCTCTCTTCCGTCCACGAGCAACAACAAACAATGCCAGACCTCAGCGTCCCAACAACAACCGCGCCGCAGACGCAAACCCAAACGCATTCCCACCTCCTCACCCTCCCCCTCGAGCTCCACCACCTCATCACCTCGCACCTCTCCACCCCCGCCTACCTCGCTCTGCGCCTCGCCCACCCCCACTTCTACCACGCCCTGCCGACCTCGTCCCCGCACCCCTCGACCCAGCCCCTTGACTCCTGCGCCCGCCTCGCCATCCGCACCTACCTCGCGCCGTACCTGCAAGAAAGAAGAGGAAGCTGCGGTGGTGCCTCCACCGCCAAGAACAAAAACGGAATCAGAACCGAAAACGCCACCGCAAACGAAGACGAAGACCAAGACGCAGACCAGGACCGCCCAACCCGCTGCGCCCTCTGCGGCCAACTCTACCCTCAACGCCTCTTCTCCAGCACCGCCAGCCCCGCATGCACGACCCAGGACTTTAGCAATACTACCACCGCCACCACCACAACTACAACCGCACACCTCCCCCACCACCGCCACCGCGAGATCCTCGACCTCCCCGACCGCGTCTGCGCCTGGCACGTCGGCCGTCTGACGCGGACCGCCACGCTCCCAACGCCACAGCCACAGCAGCCACAGCCACCACCACGACACCCGCGCTGGACCTCCCGCACCGAGCCCATGTGCATGCACTGCGGCGTCGTGACCGGCTGGCGCGCCTGCCGCTGCGCGTGCTCGACATGCGGCGTCCGCACCGCGCGCACCTACACGCGCTGGGTCGAGGCCGGGAGCGGCGAGGTTGTTGGTGGCGGTGGCGGTGGGGTTGGGGGCGCGGCGGTGGCGTCCGGGAGCCTTCGAGGAGGAAGAATAGGGGCGCAAAAGGGAAGCTGGCGCTGCGTTGGGTTTGTCTTCTGGCGGGATACGCGCGGCGGGCTGTGGGTGAGGGAGCGGAGGGCGAGGATCGATGACGACGATGCTGGTGAGTGTGCTAGTTTGTTTGTGTGTGTGCTGTTTGCTGCTGCCTACTGCCTGCTGCCTGCTGCTGTTACGCGGCGTTTGCTTGCTTGCTTTCGTTGGTTGCCCGGTTTATTGGGTTCGGTTTGGTGCTTCGCTGCAGGCGCAGGACGTCTGGGCGTATGGCACCGAAAAGGGGTACCCGGCTGCCTCGATGTATCGAATGGTTTTTGCGGATCGTAAAGTAAAAAAAACCCCTAGCTGACGGTCTCTTTCTCCATAAGCAGGAGATACCAACACCACCACCTACACGGTCGACGAGCCCGTCGTATTCGAATAATAGAGGCGCGGACGTTGCGCGCGTCGTCATTTTGCTACAGAAACCCACACACAGAGAGGGAGAGAGACAGAGACAGAGAGTTCCCAGCCCACCCAACCAACCAACCAACCAATACCTAAAACCTAAGCCAATCTTCTTCGTCGTCGTTCCTTGCGTCGTATCATCAAAACAGAGGAAAAAGAAAAACAAGCAACAAAAAAACATGGGGGGGTATATTCGTCCATCCGTCGTCGTCCGTCCGTCACATCAGGCAGCTGCTCACGCTTCTTCTTCTCCTTTTACCGGGTCCGAAGCGTGGTGTCCTCGCCCGGCAGCGACCGGTTGCACCACATTCGTCCAGCCAGCCGGAACCACGCATACACACACACTCATACACAGCCCACGTCTCACTGCTTCTCGGCGGGGTACTGCTGCCTGTCGACGGCCCTCCACTCCTCGTGCAGGAGCACCTTCTCGCAGTCCCTGCTCTCCCAACCGGCAGCAGCGGCCGGCTGGCCCAGCTGCTCGCGGCCAGCCAGGAAGCGCGCAAAGTCACGGACGCGCAGGGCGCACCACCACTGGGCGACGCCGCTCGCGACGGCCAAGCAGGCCACGACGCCGAGCAGGGTGTTCATGAGGACGAAGCAGCGGTCGCGGCTCCAGTGGCCGCCGGGGCCGTCGCGGGGCTCGAGGGCCGAGGCTCCCCCGGCGGCCGAGGGCAGGCTCGGCGTCGTGGGCGGGTGGAACAGGTTGGGGAAGTCGTTGGGCCCGCACAGGGTGCTGGGCAGCGTCGAGAGGAAGGTGAGCAGGATGATGCGGGGGATCGTCGTCAGCACCGCATCGAGGAGCAGGTGGTTGGCAAAGATGGAAACGAGAGTTGCGGATCGCTGCAGGAAGAAACACCGAGGTATGACGTTAGCAAAGCTTATTCTTATTCGGGGTTGCGGTGCGGCGGAGGTCGGAGGAGAAGGTGGTGGTGGTGCGCGCGCTCGCGCTCGCTCTTTGGGTCTGATGTCAAGGCGGAGATCATCACTGCTGGAAGCGGACGTGGGTCGGATCGAGAGATCAGGCAGCCAGCAAGCGGGTGGAGTGCTCAGTGCGCAGTCCAGACGGCGCGATCGCTGGCGCGGCCTCCCTCATCCGTCTGTCCATCACTCGCTCCCGCACTGGCCGCACTGGCCGCCCAGCAGGCCAGCAAAGCAACGAAAGAAGCAAGCACCACCACCAATGCCTTTTTGCATGTGTTCCAGAGCAGCGCCGGTGGGGAAAAAGAGCGTGTATGTGACGTACCCGAATGGTGCCGACGAGGCCGAGTAGACTGAAGACGGCGGCCAGGGCGCAATAGAGCGTCAGGTGGCGGGCGAGGTGCAGTGGCTCGTCGGGGAGGTAGACGGTTGCGAGGGCGCAGGTCGAGTGGCAGAGCAGCGCGAGGACGCTGAGCAGCAGCGTGAGTTGGCTGCGCGCGGAAGAAATGCAATGTCAGTTTGCTTTCTTTGGTAGCAACATATAAACGCACCGCCGGCTGGACTCGTGGGCCATGGTGTTTGTAGTAAGCCGGTAGGTAGGTAAGGTCGTAACAAGGTGTGTTATGTTGTTGGTGGTAGAAATAGCTAGGTACTGGAGGAGGAGGAGCCGGAAGGGCCGGGAGCTGGCGGATAAGCAGCGGAAGTGAGGGGGGGAGGGGAAGGGAGAACAAAGAAGCAGTAGTTGAGTATGGAGCAGCGACAGCAAGCAGCAAGCAAGCAAGCCAGCAGCGCGCGCGGGCGATTGAAGAATAAAAAGGCCTGCCTGGGCGACTGGCCCTTCCTCTTCCATCCTGGCTCGCGTGAGCTGCGCGCGCATTCCTAATCAAGGCTCCATCCACCAAACGCCGCCCGACGTGCACGGTGCAGCCCTATCCGTCGCTCCCGAAGCCAAAGCCACTACTTTTGCTTCCTTCTTTTCTATCCGCGACATGCCTGACTGACTGTGAGGGAGAAAAAAAAATTCATCCCCCTCTTCGACAGAGACCCTCCCTCTCGGACTTGTTCGGAGATGCCCCCCAAGGTTACCCACCATGCACCCACACACCCTCACAACCATCAGTGATCAGTCAGTCCATAATGAAGGAAGAAAAAAAAAAAAGGGCACGCACGCACCCTGGCACCTGGCACCCCAGCGCACGCTCGATCCCCCGCGTGTTTTTGCTCTGTCCCTCGGACTTCCGAGCCTGCCGCTCCGAGAGAGAGAGGGAAAAAAGGCCAACCTACCTAACTACGGCAAACCTAAAACAACCTGTCTGCCTGTTCGCGATCTGAAGGAAGGAGTCGCCAGTTTAGCTAGCTACACTAGCTCCTCGACACGTCCCTTCCACCTCCTCGTACGTGCCAGCCCATGACGTGACGTGACCTCCCTCGTTCCTCAGCCCAGGTGCCCGTGCAAGTAGTGTGTGCAAGTGCGCGATGGCGATGCCTCCCGCCCGTTCCTTCCTGCTGCCGCCGCCGACGACATCGCACACTAAGTTGACGACGAGCGTGCGTGCAACGTGCGTTTTTGGCATCGTCGTCATCGTGTCTGTCGCCTAAACCCTTATTTCTGCTGTACGTAAAATACAATAGGCAAGCAACCAGCCATCGACCTACCGTAACTACCTACCGAGTAGAGTCACAGAAACAGAGTACCCCCAAAAGACTCAAACCCCTCCCCAGGCTACTCTCTGGTCTCCGGTCTCCGACTTCCCGTAAAGTGCCTACGGGGGTAGAGTACCCACCGCCCGCATCTGGCCCTCGGCCCCGCCGCGCCTTCCGGCTCCCGTCGTGCCCGTGTGTACATGCGCGGTACGCGGTAAAGCGATTGTAAGGCGCGCGAGCGAGTCGACTTGTCTTTGTCCTTGTCCTTGACCGGTCCTCGACCTAGGTAGCTGGGAGTAGAAGCACCTAGGAGTAGGAGTAAGCAGGTTAGGAGGAGGAACGCCTCGGCCTCCCTCTACCTTATCCTCATCGCCATCGCAATCGCGATGATGCACGCACACGCACGCACGGCTCCTGCCTACATCTCTACCTTGCCAGCCAGCACAGCTGCTGCTCACGCGAGGGTCTCGGCTCGCGGCTGCGCCGGCAGCGGGGTACAGAGCACTCCTGCCTACTACAAGAGCTAAGAGGGCGTGCATGGCCGTGGGCTAGCTTTCTAGATGGCCATGCCATGTTATGCCATGGACGCGATGCGATGTGATGTGAGTGATGTGATGTCGCGAGAGCGAGCGAATAGGTACTACGTATATCGTCGGTGTATAGGTAGGTGGAGAAGCCCGTCGTCGTAGGTTGCAAATCTACAAACCTACTCTACTACAAACACCTATTTGTCCTCCGTACTCCGTACTCCGTACTCCGCACGTAACTACTTCTTGCGTATCTAGATAGGTAGGTAGGCACCTGCCTGCTTCCATCGAGGAGCAGGTCTCACTCTCACGGCCACGAGCAGCAGTAGTAACAGCAGCGGCGATCAGGGCGCGCAGCGTACCCAGACTGGCCCACTGCCGTTGTGCGTGGCTGCTACTGTAGCTCTCAGAGCCTTCTGGCTTTTGGGGCTGGGGCTGGGGCTGGGGCGCTTTGGGTACTCCGTACCGCGGGGACTAACCACCTAAATTGTCTGGACCCTACTTCTTCTTCTTCTTCTTCTTTTTCTTTGCTCGTTTTCCCTTTTTCCTTCACTTGGGGTTCCCATGTCTCGTCTCGGGGCTTCCATGCATGGATAAAATAGGTGTCTCGTCTCGGAGGCGGTGGGCTTCCGTTCCGCATTGGTGCCGTTTGTTCCGTTGTCGGCCGGACGTGCGTGCGTGCGTGCGTGGGGGATGCTAGGTTTCGGCGTCGGCGCTCGGGTGCTGCTTGCTCCGTCTAGACTACGGAGGTTGGGTGGGTGGTTGACTGTGTACATATACGGAGGACCTACCTACCTATCTATGGCGGGGGTTGTTGGGGGTGGGGGTGGGGGTGGGTGCCGTCTACCTACCTAGGTGGGTGGTACCTTACCTAGGTATATCATGATCTGATCTGATCTGGCATCGTTGACACCGTTTCGAGATGGATGTTCTAGAACAGGACAGGCATCTCAAATAGAGGAGAGGAGAGAAGAAGGGCAGTACGACGGCTTTTCTGCTTAATGGTAGGTGGTAGAAACTACAACCGAGCGTGTATATCTATTGTATTGTATTGTCGCTGGGAGTACGGTCTTGTTGTTCTGTCTAGCATTTTCGTGTGTGCCTTTGGTGTTGTTCGTAGAATTCGCTGGCAAGTTTTGGTGTGAGAGCTTGGGAATGTCATGGACTTCTATCAACTCTAAGCGGGCATCCAGTATCTCAATAAACTGTCTAAAATAGCTCGCTAGCTAGGTATCATAGATATCATACCCACTCGCTCAAAACAACAACAACAACAACAACAACCACCAACCAGGATATCAATCAATCCACCCACCCCACCAACCAACCCATCACCGTCCCCCCTGCATCCTCCGAATCCGCTCCTCCGCCGCCCGTGCCCGCCTTTCCCGCTCCAACCGCGCCTTCATCTCAGGCGTCAGCCCCCTAGCCTCCTCCTCCCTCCTCTCCTGCGGCGTCGCCGCCGCCACAGGCGCGCCCCCCAAACTCCTGCCCTTGCCGACCCGACGCTCTCGCTCCGCCGCTTCCCGCGCCGCCGTCTCCCCCCTCAACCGCTCCGTCTCGGCGCGTCGCCGCTCCCGCTCCGCCGCCTCCTCGGCCGCCCGCTCCTTGGCCTGCGCGGCTTCGGCGTCAGCCCGGGCCAGCGCCGCCGGCACCCCCGCCCCGTCCCAGTCGATGGCGCCGCCCTCGTCGCCCCGCTCGGCGCGCGCTATGCGGAATGCGTCCCGCGTGGCACGGTCGCTGCACAGCTCGTAGGGCGTGCGCTCCTCGAGGTTGCGCACCGCGGGGTCGGCGCGCGCCTTAACGAGCAGGGCCGTCACGACGGCGGGCGCGCCCACGTGCGCCGCCAGGTGCAGCGGCGTCGGCGCGTGGTAGTTCTTCTCGGTGTCGCGCGGGTGGAAGCGGAAGTCGGGCGAGAGCTGGTTGCTCGCGAGGTAGTTGACGATGGCCGGGGCTTTGGAGCGCCGGATCAGTGCTTGCAGCTGCGTCGTGTGCAGTGTGGCTTCTTCCTCTTCGGGCGTTGGCTTGGGTGGCTTGGGCTTGGAGGGCGTCGCGGTGCGCGAAGACGCTTCGGATGATGCTTGCGCTGCTGCTGCGGCGGCGGCTGCCGCTGCTATTGCGGCTTCGTCTACGCGCGAGACCTTGACGCGGGTGAGCTCGACAAAGGAGCGCATGAGCTCGGCTTGGGTGGCGCGGCGGGTAGAGAAGGGGAAGCCTCTATTCCGGGGGTCGTTGTGCTTGAGGACCTGGCCCTCGTAAGGCCCAAACAGCGTGCGCCGGTTGGTGCTGCCCGTCGCACGGATGAAGAGCAGGTCCGCCGAGTCTATCATGTCCTTCCACTCCTTCAGCAGGTTCCGCACGTCCTGCGTGAGCGCTGCCTCGTTGTACCGACGGAGCGACGAACCGGCAGAGTGGGCAGCGCCTCTGGCCGCGTCGCTGGCAGACTGCGAGCCACCCTGCTTCCGCCGGGTCGTGTAGCGGTGGAACGTCTTGTGCGCAACAACGGTAGCCTGGCGTTCGTCCATGCCCGTATGCTTCTTGCCCATCTTGGGTGCAAGCGACACGATCATGGCCGCAAAGTGGCCACCTCCGATCATGCAGAGGAAATAGTGCGGCCCAATCTCTGGCGCGGCAGGTAACCGCACGCCGCCTTCGTCCTCCTCGCTCGCCTTCTTCTGCCCCGGCGGCGGCATAGGCGGGAGCTGCTTGTTGCGTATCGTCTCCACCACGTGCGCCTCCTCCTCTTGCTCCGCGTCAGACAGTATGGCACGATACACACCCAAAGACACCTCACTGGGCAGCGCGGGCGACGTGAACCACAGCAGCGGCGGCTTCCCCGCGCCACGCTTCCTCTTCTTGGGCGCAAAGTCGTCAAACTCGGGATTCGAAATCTTGGCCTGCTTCTTCAGCAGCGCGCTGAGCGTCGTCTCCTTCTCGTCGTCGCTGTCCGACTCGGACGACTCGGAGCCCGATATGCTCTCGTCCAGCTCGCCCACCAGCTTCTCGAACTCGCCCTCTCCCACCGGCTTCTGGCCGCGCATCTTCTGCTTCAGGTTGTAGCCATGGAGGTCGGAGCGGACATGGCTGCGCTGCTCTTGCAGGCTCGGGAAGTTGAGGTTGCAGAGTGCGCAGGAGGTGGCAGCGGCGGGAGCATTGTCGGGCGTCTCGGGTCTGGATTCCGCGGCAGGCTGTGCAGGGCTGGGCGAAGCGGCATTATCTTCTGCAGCCTGGGTCTGCGTCTGGCCGGCTTGGTCCTTGAGGGCTATGGTGGACAGAATGTCTTGAGGGAGGTCGAAGACTGCGTGGGGCCAAAGTAAGTGGGGGTGCGCGGAAGGGAATGGTGAGAGAAAGGGGAGTACCATAGAGAGGCTTCTGCAGAAGCGGGTGTTCCTCCTTCTGAGCCATTGTCTGAGAGGTAAGAAGCGGCGGGCGATTGTAACGAGGAGAGAGAGAGAGAGAGAGAGAGAGAGAGACAAAGAATGGGCGTTGGCGAAACTTAACAATCAGTCGCGCACTGTACGTCAGCGGGGTCGTGGTTGAGTCATGCAAACACCGCGGGCTGTGCTGCGTCGACGGTGTCTACTTGTGGCTTTTTGCGCCATCATTTACATTCGTACTACTAAGATATCTCCACCCAAATTACGCCTTGCTCAGGACGCCCTGCTTCAGCGCCGCCACAGCAAAGTGCGCGCCCAGCGTCGGCCTCGCCCTGAAGCTCTGCGCCGTCTCGCCCGCATTGGCTCCGCTGGTCCAATACCGGTCTCCAAACGGCGCCGTGTTCTTGCCGTTAGCAATAAACGCGTACAGGTCATTAATAAACATCTCCTGCGTGCCCTCTTCCGAAAAGGCCGCCGTCCACATCTGCCAGTCCGTCTTGGCCCATACGACCGCACCCTCGATGGCCACGCCCCACTCGTCGCGCACCGTCGGGTAGAAGGCTGACTGCGCCGTGTACACTTCATCGTCGAACACCTCCAGCCCCAGTAGCTTGTCTGCGTACAGGTTGAACGTCAGGAACCACGTCGAGTTCCCGTACGTCAGCGTAAAGTAGCGCGTCTCCGTGTCATCCGTCACCGCCGTGCCCAGCCCCTCCCAGATCGTGCCGGCGAACTCCTTGCCCTTGTCTGTGTAGTTGGTCGAGCCGCTGAGCTCCCCGTAGGCTGCGAGCCCCACGGCCGCCTTGACGCCCAGGTTGGTCATGTTGGTGAACTTGCCCAGCCCGTCGTTGGTCGAGAACTGGTTGGTGGGGTAAAGGCCGTTGTCGACGAGGTAGTCGGCATAACCCTTGAACAGCTCCGTGTGCGACTCATAGATCGACGCGTCACCGGTTGCCTGCTTGTGGGCCAAGGCTAGGACCATGAGGTTACCTGTCTCTTCGATGGGCATAGCCTCCTCCAGGCCTTCATCGTGGCCGGTGGAATTAGGATAGTGCGTGCCTAGGTCGTGGATGACATAAGGGTGAGGATACGCGCCTGCAGTAATGCGTTAGCCTGTGTTGCATGTAAAGGGATTTCCAGACTTGTTTACCTGACTCAAGGTAGGTTAGTGTCGGGTCAAGGAGGTATTTGATCCAGTTGGGAGCAAACATGTAAAAGAACGGGAAAGTAGGGAAGATGATGTCGATAGTGTTCAGGTTTCCGTTGCTGGAGATCTCCTTGATGAAAGCCCAAGGCTCACTCGTGTCGAGCGAACTCTTTTCGATGGTAATGTCAATACCACCGAATATCTGACGCGTAGACAGTTCCAAGATGGCAGTGTAGTTGGAGCCGCCAGTGGCATCACCAACAGAGACGACCTGAGCATCGAACGACTCAGACTCCGTGACTGCATCATCGTGAATGTCAAGGAAGCGTGAGACGGCACCGATGGTCTTCGGGTACGCTGAGCGGTAATAAGGCGTGTATGCGGTACCCCGGTAGTCGATGGCATCCTCGCGGACGTAGCCGACGACGAACACGACTTGCTGGGACGAGGAGACGGAACCGAGATCCTGGGCGAACCCCACAACGTTGCCGGCCGCAGACTCGGTGGAGTTGGCCAGGGTTCCGTTCTTGATGAACTGTCCTCGGACAGCGGCTGCAGTCCCCGCTTGGTAGGAATCGGTTCTTGCAGCGTAGATCGCTTGACCCCACTGGGCCATCTCGTCTGCCTCAGAGTAGTGCTTCTGTACATTGGCTTCCAGCTCGAACAGTGTAGTGGCACCGTCAGCTGTGTGCGTGATCGTAGTACCTTCAGACTGACCAGTCCACGTGTCATCGATGTCTGAGTATATTTGCACAGAAGGAGATGCTCCGTCAACCCCACTGACACTAACAGTGAGATAGGAGAACGGGTAGGATTGCCGAACCAGGTTGTCCACGGAGATGGGCGAGAAGAAATCCAGCGTGATGGAGGCGGACCCGGCAGTCAAGCTGAAGATGGAGTGGGTCGCTGTGTAGTTCCCACTAACGACGGTTGCAGATTGCGTGCCATCTTCGGGTGAGGGGACACCAAAAAGGTTGTAGACATCCCCATCAACACGAGCAAGAACACTCCATGTCAGCTTATTGGCGTACCAGAACTCCGGTTGGGCGGACGGCAGGTCTGCGGCCTGGTTCCCGGGAAGCCAGGCTGAATCACACTTAGCTGAGGATCAAACAAGATACGCGGTAGGATCGAAGGCGTAAGGCGTCTCGGATGCTGCCGGCGCAGGCTAAGCCGCACCATATGCACCTATCTAAGGCTGCTCGCAGCGGCCCGCCCGGACCGATGGCGTACCAATCCAACGTCCAAAGACGTACGCACGCCAGAGAACATCCCACCGACGATACCCACTGAAATGGAGAAAGTGCTTACCTGAAAGGTAGGGGTTCTTGACAGCTAGCGGAAACGACGGAGGGGTAATGGGACTGAACGTTGCCGCTTTGCTTCCAATCATGAGAACCGAAAGAATCAGGAGCTGCAGCTGCTGTGCAAGGGACGCCATGGCCTCATAGAATTGAAAGATCACGCCAAAGCCCTGGGTGTAAGCGGCGATGAACAAGCCACAACAGAGCAGCGAGGACAGGACATATTTAGTCCTCGCGAACGGGGGGCAATTTCCACCGCCTTGCCCCCTCGGCTTGGGAAGGAGGGGTTGCTTCTCCAAGTCCGCCAAGACATTGCGGAATGGACGCCTGGAGCCGGCATAGTGCTGATGCCATGTGGGTGTCTTTGCAGGTTCCGCCATGGCTGCACGCGATTACGAGCTTTTTCGTGCGTGGAGCCAAACAAACGTCGTCTTCCGAAAAGGGACAGGTACCGGGGGAGCTATGTGTCGGGCCAAACCGCGTAGGACAATGGTTGTGTAACTATACCACGGATGCAGGGCAGGAAAGGCGTTATCATAGGATTTTAGTAACGACGGCCCCCTGACCGCTTCCAGGCTAGGACTTCGGTTGCAACGATGGACGAGCAGGGCTATCTCGCAAGACTGGGTGAGAAATGGGACGGTAGCAGAGCCAAGAGATAGCGGCACAGGTCCAAGAGTGGTCATGCGGGTCGAAAAAGGCCTGGGGGCAGCGTTGTGCGTGATCCTGAGGCGAGATGTTGTCAGCAGTGGTGGAGAGCAAAAAACGACGTGCTAGGGCGCACTTCTTGTGTGAGTGCCGGCCCCACGTCTACCCCATGTTCAGGTAGACGACGTTGACGAATGATACGTAAGTCTGCGCAGATCATGCTGGCCGGTGGAGCCAAGTCGAGGCCGCCAAGGTCGCGCGCGGAGATCAATAATGCGCCGCAGACGGGGATCATGAGGCACACGGCTCGTTGCCGAAGCTGTGCATGCTCTTCCACGTCATTGATGGCGGTCGGGGCGATGGGCCAGAATCCACGAGTACGCGTCTATAGATTAGTGCCGGCTCGTCACGCAATCGCCGTTGGTGCCGTCTTGACCGCCGCACCGAGTGCTGGGTTGTTCCCCGACTGAGTTGTTTGTACAAACATGCCTGTGGCGCAGTTACGTGGTACATAGGTAGCTACGTATAAGCAGTGTTACCTTTGACGTGCAGCTGATTGTGGGTAGGGCCCCGCCTTGTACGAAAAAAGTCCTCTACGCATGCTACCTACCTACCCCGCTCCATCCTCCTTTGCGCCGTACCAATCCAGGGTCACCCATGCTGCTCCACCCAGAATCCGTTGCACAGGCGCGTGCCTCGACAGATATGGCATTCCGCTGTGGGGAGGCCTGTCGATTTGCTCTGCAGAGCCGACGGGAGCGCAGATCTGGTTCCAAGGACGACTCCGCGGACTCCCAACAACCGCGACGGGACCATGCGATGGGGCACAGGGAAAAATTGAGCAGATGCGAATCGGATCGTATTAACCGTTTCTATAACATGGGCCGCTTCACCGTGCCGACCACATGCACTGCTTACGGTCAAGGGAGGTACCTGGCCCTCTGCAACAAGTCAGCGACTTGTCCAACCTCAGCACCATCCTAGCATCGTGGTCGTATGACGAATATGGCATGTAAGCACTACTTATACTCATGGGACAATAATAACCCGTCCACAAGCAATGAAGCAAACGTGCTGCGGAGCGCAACTGAGGCAACTCCTTTGATATAGGGCGCGAATTGATACGGTTGCGACATGAGAAACAAGACGCAGCGCCATCCCTGATCGAACACCCGGAAGATTATGGTAGGTACGGATCCGTACGAGGAAAAGAAAGTGACGAATTTGAAGAAAAAACAAAAATACATACCAGGATCTGAGAGATGCTTGATGCAGGGAATGTCTTTATTAAAAGAGAAATCGTTTTCAAAGCCAGCCCAAAGAGCAAACTCGCAGTGGATTACTCCTTCCCGGAAGCAGCGGCGGCAGCAGTTTCTCTTTTGCGCTGCAGGTATCTTTCCTTGGCGCTGCTGATATCGCCAGTAGTCTTGCGACTCTTAGAGGCGTGCTCCAATTTAGCTCTCTCCTCCGCCTCCTGATCAGCCGCACGCTTGGCCGCTTGCTCAAGTTGAGCCTCCATCATGCGAGTTTGCCGTTCCCTCATAGCCTGCTTGTTGGTGTTGCGGCCTTGGAAGGTAAATTGTTGTGTTGAAGTGGAGGAGGCGGTGGCAGGCGCCGCGGCGGTGGCCTTGGGCTTTGGTGCGACATTAAGTCCGGCAGATAGCAGCTGACGTTTGTCCGCCACTTGACCCTCGTCGTTGATAATAACATCGACACCTTTCTCCTTCATTTCACGAGCAAGTTCCGCGTCAGTCTTCTCCTTAGGCTCCTCGGCAACCTCTTCTGCGGCCTCAACAGTAGCTCCAGGCTTGGGATCGGAAGCAGCAGCCATAGCCTCTTGATGCCTCTTCTCTTCCTCGTTCATCATACTCTTGTAAAAGCCGGACATGCCTGGTCCTCGCTTCTTACGCTCTTCCTCCTCCCTCCGTGCCTCTTCTTCCTCCAACCTTGAAACTTCCTCTTGCTGCTTCTTGTATGCTTCGGTAACGAACTTCTCCTTGTCGGCGAATGTGTCACCTTCGGCCTCCCGCTCCCTTTGGAGCATCTTCTCCTTGGCACGGAGTTGATCCCGTTTCCGAACCTCGGCAGATGCCAGTAGACCTTCAATGTACTTGGGCTTTCTAGCTGCGGCTTCGTCGCGAGCTGCCGCCTTTTTGGCGGCATCTTTGGCATGAAGAGCATCGTATGCTGCGTCGTAGTCGTAGATGCTCGGATCTAATGCTTGTGCTTCTTCCTGGTGCTTGCGCTGAGCCTTCATGGCAGAAAGATCACCATAGGGGCTGATCTGGATCTTGTTAGATTTGTTAGGTTTCGAGCTGGCGGCTTTCAATGGAGGTTTCGAAGGCTTTGACGGCTTGTCAAGGTCGACGACGCCGCCAATCTCCTCGACGTTGTCATCCTTCTTTGCGTTGTCTTCATCATCGGACTCGTCACCACCGAAGAGAGCTTTCGCTTTCGCCTTCGGGGGAGGAGCTTGAGACGGCTTCTTCTTGATATTGAGACCGTATTGAAGGCCTGACATTGTTGAGGGTGGGGAGTGCGAAAAAAAAAGAGCGTGAGGGTGGAGCCTAGGTCGGAGCTCCTGCCCCATACGCTTACGTAATCGGTCGGCTTCGGCCTTTGCCCGACCGTTCGGGGAAGAACCACCCAGCAAGCAAGCACTACGTACCACGTAGAAGGCCGCAATGCTCTTGCTAAACAGATGATCCCAGCTTCAAGCATCTTTCGCGCTTCATAACGCAATGTCATCTCCAGGTCGCGCTGAGGCAGTCGATGCCCAGCAAGACAACGACGAGTACGCCCGGGCACGGAGCTCGAGGTTCAGATTCAAGTCGAAGCGGTCGCGTCGAGACGATGACGGTGACTCTCGCCGTCATAAGCACAGAGAAGGCGACAGCCATCGACACCAGCACCGAAGGAAAAGACGCAAGCTGACGCCGCCTGGCGCGAAGGATGACCCGGAAGCGTACGATGATACCTATGCAGCGAACACGCGCTCCAGCCAGTACATGGACCCTAACCAGGCATTCCGAGAATCTCTATTCGATGCGCTGGCTGATGACGAAGGCGCTGCTTACTGGGAAGGCGTATACGGGCAACCGATCCACACGTACTCAAACACATACGAGAACGAGACCGGTGAACTCGAGCAGATGAACGACGACGAATACGCCGAGTATGTCCGGGGCAAGATGTGGGAGAAGACTCACCAACATGTTATCGAAGAGAGGCAGAAGAGGGAACAGCGCAGGAGAGAGGAGAAGGCGTGGCGTGACAAAACACAGAGAATGGAAGCGGATAGGGAGGGTTTCCAGAGGAATATTGAAGAAAGTCTTCGTCGTGGCGAGGAGCGAAAAGCAAAGAGGCGCTGGAAGGACGTCTGGGAAAGATATACCAAGGAATGGGAAAATATTGCCGCAGCTGCTGCCGATGAGGGGCGGAGCGTAGAGCAACTTATCCCATGGCCGGTAGAATCAGGCAAGATGAAGGATGTCTCAAAAGAGGAGGTCGAACACTTTTTCCGCAATACCCCCTCAACCGACAGCCCTCTGGACAAGGTACTCAAAATGGAGCGCGTGCGCTGGCATCCGGATAAAATGCAGCAAAGATTTGGAGAGCGCGGCATCGATACAGATATCATCAAGGCGGTCACAGCAATTTTCCAGGTCATTGACCGTCTTTGGACTGAAATGCGGGAGAAGAACGCTAATAATTAAGCTCAAGTTTGCGGAAAGCCTTTGCTATTCCTCGACCGGTGTAGGCTCACATATGGCTCCTTACTCAGAAACTATTCCTTGGAAAGCTTTGAAATAAATGGAACCAAACATCAGACTTCACATTCTCTCGGGATACGCTTTATAGGAATACGGGCCTTTGCTCTCCACGCACCCACCACGCTGAGTATGGCATCTCATTAATGGCTAGTTTAAGAGCAACGGAACCTTTGAAATGATCCTGGTATAACAATTGGGACAGTACAAATTTTCCGTACCAACGGAGTTACTCCTTGCTCCCGGCGAGGCCGTCCGCGTCTGAAAAGTTACGAAACTTTCTCAGTTCTCAATCAGCACCTTCAACACGAGGTTCCCATTTTCATCCATGGTCTTTCCAGCAAGTTCGAAGGCCTCCTTCGCTGCTTCGAGGCCTTTGAAGCGGTGAGTAATCATCATATCAAGTCTGGGCAGTACTCCCGCAGATATGACCTTCAAGCCGATAGGGTATGTGTTGGCGTAGCGGAAAATGCCAATGATGTCGACTTCCTTCAAATGTGACGATGACATCGGCAGTGTCTGAATTGGTGTGCCCATGCCCACCATGATGAGTTTCCCCCCTGGCCTAGTTGCCTTTGTACATGTTAGCCATGGTAAAGAGTAGGAGCATTGCTACACTTACGAATAGGCCAGCCTGCATGCAGACCTCTTTTCCAGTGCAGTCAAAGGTAATATCAGCGCCTTCGGCATCCAGTTCACTTGCACATGTTATCTCGAAGACCTCGTCGGCGATGGATCTGGCAGCAGCAAACTTGTCGTTGGTCTCACGCGCCTGAGGCCCTGTAGGAACGACATAACCTTTGGTAGCAAAACCGTTTCGGAGGGCATACTCTATCCGCCCAATATCGATATCGGCGATCAGGACAGTGGTAGCTCCAGACACCTTCGCCATGGCCGCAGTCAGAAGGCCGACTGTTCCCGCACCAAAGACGATGACGGTGTCACCCTGTTCCACAGCCGCACGCCGTGTGGCGTGGATTGCGACAGATAGCGGTTCAAGCAACGCAGCAGATTCCCATGAAACATGCTCCGGGATCCTGACCAAAGTCAGACTCAGCTTGCTAGGGGGTCCACGTGGAAAGACTCACTTGTGACACCATTTTGCCGGATGATTGATGCGTTCCTGCAGCGTCCCTTGGAAGTGCGGCACGCTTTTGGCGCTGCTCCTGAACCTCATCTTCGGGCAGAGGTTGTACCTGCCACGCTGACAAGACCTGCAATCATCGCACGGCACACCGACCTCGAGCGCCACGCGGTCACCGACCTGGTAGCCGGTTACGGCCTCGCCCACGGCGACGACCAGGCCGGCCGACTCGTGGCCCAGCGACAGCGGGCTGACGGCTTGCAGGTCTCCGTTGCGGAACTTGCTATAGTAAGCGACGTCGCTGCCGCAGATGCCGGTGGCTCTAACGGCAATTTGAAGTTCGTGGGGGAGCGGCTCGGATATCGTTCTGGTTTCCTAGAGGTTCAGATTCGTTAGCCGGGATGTGCTTCCTTCAGCTGTTAGATTAGCCCCCATGAGGTAGGCTATCAGCGTGGGGTGTGGAGAAGCGAGAAAAAGCATACGAGGCGCAGGTCCCGCTGCCCATGCAGGACGGAAGCTTGTATTGTCGATTTGCTGCTGTTCTTCACATGGATTGGATAGAAGCTTGCTAAAGCTGATGGCGCCATGATGACTTTGGGTTTCCTTGAAACAGTGATTGACAGAGCAAGCGTTGCTTTTCCACGCGCCTGCTGGGACAGGTATAAATAAGAAAGGCCCTCCTGGGCGCCTATCCAGCAACTCCTGGTGTCCCTTCTACTTGGTACCTCAGGCTATAGTGCTTGTGTACATCCTGGTAAATTCCACGTCACTCCCTACCGATGGCAAAACGGAGAATATGCAATCTGCGGAGACTACAGCAAGCTTATCTTTTCCTGATTATTTCCAAGGTACATTGGGTTAGGTGTGCGCAGAGACTCGTGTTGCGGTACCTGTTGACATGAGAGATTTGCCCCATTGGCGTGCACAATGAGCAGACGCGTCAACGACAATGCCTGTGATTTGTGCCCTCTTTCTCTAATTGTGGGACGATGATAAGGCGACATCGTGAGGCTTGCATCGATGAATACCTAAGAACATCAGGCATGGCTCCGAAAGCCCAATTACCCCTAGGCTCCACCACTTCGCCAAGCATCACACGTGCAAGTACACGACGCCTCATCTACCTCTGGCGAGGAGGCGACGTATGGAAAGCTCTCGGGCCGCTTGCAGATAGAGAATCTTTCGAGCCCGCCGCGCTGGACTACCCTTCAACGGTTGGGGAAATAAACTCGCCGAACGGACATCTTCGCCGTTGTTGGTGAGCGGAGTACACGGGGCTCGAGTGCGCGCACCTGCAGATTGACCCTCTTTCTGAAGGTGCGCCGGTTGCGCATACACACGGGCTTTGTGCGTCTGAGTTGGCTGGGCAGAAGCTAGTGGGTGAATGTTCCAGCCCAGCATGCATACCCAGGTTACAGGTTTAGTGACGGCGGACGTTCATCCCCCGTTTGAGGTGTCTAGGCGACGAGTGGCGATTGAAGTGGCCAACGAGGCTTCGCAGCCGATAAGAATCGAGAGTGGTGATGCAGCTGGTGGTGTTAAAAGATCACCAATGCATCAAGACGGCAGATAAAAGGCGGAGGAGAGCAAACTCGACGTCCTGGCATCAGGTGCATGAGCCAGGTTACCGGGTGCGAGGCGTCGGGATATCTTCCGCCTGGCTCGTGACGGGCCGGCGCGCTTAGGACGGGGGACAGGGATGATGATTAGCCGTCTTTCAACGGCCATCAACTCCGAGCAGGGTGTGATAGGACGCCCCAATTGGTCTGGTAAGGCTTGGGAGTTGAGCGCTTCGCTTAATGTTTCCACGTCTTTCGCTAATCGGCCGGAAGTGAGGTTTTCAATGCATCTTCCGGAAGCCTGGATGGAGTATACCGGGAGACAGTTTCGTCTACGAGTTGGTCTGCCATCTTTTGCGGTATTCTTCTTACCGTGCTTGATTGGAGCCAACTGGCGTAAGCAAGGGCGCCGCCAGTCGATCACTGAAACATATTTCCGGTGATACTGACCAGCTTCCTACGGAGATGAGAAATTATGAGAAGGAGGCTCCGGCTAATTTGCCCGCCTCTTCTAGCTGTCCTCCGTGACATCAACACTGTAAAGGTATGTGGCTTCTTCCCATACCTTTCTGTTTTTGCGCTCTCGCAGAGTAACTAGATGTAGAATTAAAGCTGGTTACCACCATCAACGGTGTACCCAGGAAGCATAGCATAACCTGATTTGAAAGGCGATGAAGGAAAGGCAACCCGAACAAAAAAGGACTATCAAGCTATAGGGCCATAAAAAAAACAATTCAAATGTTGGGTCATTGAAATTATTTCTTTACAATCTTATGTTTGAGGTTGGATTGGCTCACACCGTCTGGCAAGTCTTTTTTGATGGCACTCAGAGGGTACTCTTTCCACCAAACACAACTGCCTCAGACCAGTTCTTCAAGATAGTGTTGATCTCCTCCGGCTTCTCCCATTGGCCGAAATGGTGCGTGTTCACCTCAGCCCTGCTCAGGTTGGGAATGACCTTACCCATACCAGCAGACATCTCTGGCTTGAGAATGTTGTCTCTCAGGGTAGCGATAAAAAGAACCGGGCAGTTGATCGTCGGGTTTTCGAGCTCCAACTCTTCCTTGAAGTTGACCTCGCGCGTACGGTACCAGTTGAACGGACCGTGAAGGCCGTTGCGGGAGTACTGATCAACGTAAAAGTCCAACTCCTGTATTCATGTTTAGTCTTTTTTCCGACTTGAATCGTGGCTTGAAATTTACCTTGTCACTCATCCAGGGTCCCTTTTGGATCTTCTCCAAATTCTCGAGAATTACACCCTTCTCTGCCGTGAAAGCCATTTCACCATTAGGCCCCTTTCCGCCACTGATAACCCTAAGGAACCCAGTCAGCTGCTCACGAGTCTTGATGCCTTCTTCAGGCTCTTTGCTGGCCAAGTTCAGTTGGTACGCAAACTGCGGCACCGGGCCTTTGACCAGATCCTCTAGCGAGATGTAAGTCTTGGCAGGCGGCATGTAAGGAGTGCTGATGGCGAAAACATGCGAAACGAGAGACGGCTTCCACAGAGCGACCCGGTAAACGACGGCACCTCCCCAGTCGTGGCCACCCAGAACAATCTTCGGCGCTTGCAGCAGCTTTGCCAGCTCCGCGATATCGTCCGCAGCACGCTTGAAGCCATAGAGGCTGATATCATTTGGCGGTACCTTTGGAGCGTCCTACATATGGAACCGTTTAGCCTATTGATCTCAGATGGAGGATTTGGATTATGGCGCACGCACCGTACCACCATAGCCCATCATGTCGAGGGCCACGACGCGATATCCAAGCTCAATGAGGACAGGGATTTGGTAGCGCCAGCCGAAGGCCAGATCAGGCCATCCATGGACCTGTTTGACTCAAGACCACGTCAGTGATGCTGTCTCAACACCGGCATACGGTTTGCCGGGTAGTTCAATAGTGACGGACCAGGACAATAGTCGCCTTGAAGCTTCCAGTCTTCGGAACGCCGAGGAAATAATCTATGGGTAGTTAGTTATGTGCACCTGCAACCGGCGGTCAAGTTGCTTACGGTATGTGTGGCCATTGAGCACGGCGGTCTCGTGCGTGACGCGAGGGTCTTGGACCGGGTCAATTGGTGTTGTGGCCATGCTGGAAGAAGTTCTGGAACACAAGAAAGGAAGGTCGAAGGTCTGGGCAGGATGATATTGCGGGGTTTAATAGTGAAGCAGCCAGGCATCCGGTTAGACTTACGTACGTACGCGTACGAGCCCCTGGTTGCTGTGCCACCTGTCATGATTGGGCCGAGGTAGGAGGCGAGAGAGATCGATTAGTGTGCATAGGTATCTCATGATTCAAGACTGATATTTGAAAGCAGCGTACGAGATAAATGACTAAGATGTCAGCATCTGGAAAAACATAGGTTGCAGCGTGAAACCGAGGCCATTGAGTCATTCATGGTACGCGCGGACCTGGACATTTTTACGAAGTGTTAAGTCAATAGGTCCATGTGACGGGCAATGGTGATGAATGGGAACGTTGATCCGCAGAAGGAAGTTGTTGATGCTGACGATGACGCTCGCTTCTGCATGCTCTCCGGGTCAGTGCGCATGCGGCGGCCTGGAGCTCCCATCAACCTTCCCATCTTGCCCCCCGCCGCCGCAACCCAGCAGAGCTACCAAGATGGCCGACGCACAAGAGAACCCGCTCATCTCGGCCACGCGCGCCTCCGACACCAGCCCGCAGATCCAGCTGCATCCCCTCGTCCTGCTCACCGTTTCCGACTACATCACCCGTCACACCCTCCGCCAGCAGCAAGGCCCGGTCATCGGCGCTATCATAGGCCAGCAGCATGGCCGCGACATCACAATGGAGGTTGCCTTTGAGTGCAATCTCCTCTCCGGCGAGAATGGCGACGTGGTAGTCGACGACGAATGGTTCCGCGAACGCCTAGAGCAGTGTAAGTTCCCCCAGCTATGTAGCTTCCGTTGCCCACCTCAACTGACACACGCGATAGACAAGACCGTCTACAAGTCCCCGGCCCTGGACCTCGTTGGGTGGTTCACTCTCGGCGCGCCTTCTGGTCCTTCGCTGCATCACCTTCCTGTGCACGAGTACTTCCACTTCACCCACAATGAGAGCGCATTGTTGCTTCTCTTCCACCCGGAATCTGTCCTCGAGGGCAATGCAACTGGCGGCAAACTACCTCTTACTATCTACGAAAGTGTGTGGGAAGGCAGCAGTGAGAGCAATGACCAATCTGCGGCCATGGACATCGACGGAGGCACACAAGGACAGGACAAGAAGCTTAAGTTCCGAGATCTTGTCTACTCTGTTGAGACGGGTGAGGCGGAGATGATCGCAGTCGACTTTGTGGCCCAGGGCGGTGGCAATGCCACGGCTGTGGATACTTCGAAGGCCGGCGCAGGCGAAAGTAGCAGTAAAGGCAAGAGCAAAGGGAAATCTAAGGCTGAGTCTGAGAGGGAATCTGCGGCAGCTAATGGCACAGCCCCTGACGGGTCTGTTGCCTTGACGTCGGAGGATGAAGAGCGTAAGTTTGGCCTCGCGCGGCTGCCGGTAGAACTATACTGACCACCGCAGTTCTTGCCTCACTCACCGCTAAGGCCAACGCGATCAAGATGCTTCGCGCCCGCATCAACCTCCTGGAAATCTACATATCTAAGCTCCCACCTTCCTATCTTACTGATGCCATTTTACCTGTGGAACCAACCACCGAAGCCCCCAACTATGAGATCCTGCGTTCCATCCAATCACTTCTATCACGCCTTCCACTCCTCACTCCACTGGACCGTACCACGTTCGCTCGCGAAGCCGCTGAGCAGCGTTCTGACGTCGAGCTCACCAACATGCTGGCTAGCATCACGGGATCCGTGTTTGCGACCAGCGAACTCGGCAAGAAGTTCTCCATTGTCGAGATGGCGCGCTCGAACAAGAAGATGAACAGCAACAACCCGTTTGCTTTTGATGGAATGCCAGGCGCGGCCCCGAGTGGAGGCTTCTTCGAAACGATGATGAACCCTGTTGGTGGAAGCGCCGCCTACGCAAGCCCAGGCGAAGGCCGGACGGGCTTAAAGGGCGGTATGAAATGAGAACGGCAGTAGTATTTAGGTAAGGGTCATGACACCGGCAAGAATCCTTTTCCGGGCAGCACAAACTGCGCATCAAGCGATGAAGCTATGAGGCGATGATACCATGAAAGGTTGACGGCAGAGCGCAATTTGCGCGTCTTTGTAGTCCTTTCAACCTTTACGTAAAACGGGCATGGCTGAGGCGTTAAGGATATCATGATATAAGGCTCAGCGAGGGCCGTGGCTGGATATCGAGAAAATAGACATATTGAGTCTAATGGATTTTTTCGAAGGACAGGTTCCGTTCTGTGAGGCAGCTATGCTATGCAGTAATCCTCCGCAGTCCTTGGTCTGACTGTTGCCATTCAATCCCAATGACCGGCTCTCGACCAGAAAAAATCTCCAAGGCTTTTCCGGGATGAGGAGGATTAAATGGCTCCTGAAAAAGATAGGATGTCCTAGGTACATATGCTGCTTGTAACGCCCCCAATGAATGGTAAGGGCTAGTTTCGTCAATATATGAAGGCGGAGAGATGCAGCTTTTTCAGATGGCTATGCATCTGCTCCTGAAGCTTCTTCCGACGAATGCGAATCTGTCGCAAGCACAGTTAGCTGCGCACTGCGATTTAGATGCCACGAGAAACTTAGTTTGGCGTTCCTGGCGTTGGCGACCTTTCCGCAGTTTAGATACGATATTAATTCGTGCTTCAGGGCGGAGCTGCTTCTGGGCCGGGCGCTAGCAGCGTGCTGCTTCCACCCGCTGCATCTGGCCCGTATGCAACCATCGAATCATGGCGTGGGGGTTCTTGCTGGGCGACGTGGCTCTTCCCGTTGTAGTTGGCATCGTTTGTGGTAAAATAGAGCTGCGACGGATCATCGCCCGCGTCCCCGTCCTCGTCTGATGAGCTCGTCTCGTCATCATACGTGTAATACTCTTCCACAATTTCGGACTGCTGCTGGGGCCAGGAGTAGACGTCATTGCACGCCCCGTCAATGGCATTGGTTTCGGCAGCAATGTCAACTGTAGGGCCCCAGACGCTGTATGTGTCCATGAAGAATGACTGGAATGTCGAGTAACCAATGGGGCCTTCGGCGCTTACCGGCCGCTTCGTTTTCGCGCTCTGAAGAACTACGTCTTCCGGCATGACCTCCCGCCTGAGTGGTGATGCAGCAGAGACGCGGGTGTTCACCTCGAGACGAGGGTATGCATAGCGCCATTGTGTCGGGAAACGGTTCCTAACCTTCCAACTCCCAGCCTCAAAGTCGGCTTTGAGAGCTTCGAGCATGTCTCTACGACGAGTGACTTCTTCGTCTTCTGCTGCTGCCCCGTCGCTGTCCTCTTCTTCGGAAGCCCACGCGCTTCGCGAGCTGCGAATCAATGCCTCGTTATAGGCCGTTTGCGCATCGTCGATGCGCTGTTCCCAGCTCTGGTTGAAGCTCCGATATTGGCACGGGCCACAGGCTGAATTAGAGATGAGGTCGATGTAGCTATGGCCTAGGCAGGCGGCCGCATTGGTGTTGTCTCGTCGGCGTCGTTTAGTGAAGGTGGCACGGCACCGGGACAGGCGGTAGCTAAGGAAGTGGCCGCACGTGTACCGGTAGCCATGGAGCTTGCACATGGCGCCCCCCGCAGCAATGGAAAGAATGACGGCGGAATTGACGGTGGAAGGCGTGTTCACGGCTGCAAGATGCGAGCTGATGAAGAGAGGCGCATGACTCGTGAATCGTGACGACGTCGTCCGGCGCGTCTGGTCGAGCGGGTGCGCGAAGGAGTGGTAGGCGGCAAGCACGCGGGTGAGAGATGGGCGTGAGCGTGGATGGGCATGGTCGACGGTTGAAAGCAGGCAAGCAAGCAGGCAGGCAGACACGGACCGGGCACTGATCACTGATCAGTGATCTGACTGCCTGCTTGAGTGAGATGCTCCCGTGGCTCCCTGTGCGCCCTGATGGAGGCCAAGACAGCCGGAGACAAGGCCGCAACCTCACCGTCTGGCTTTTTGTGAGCATGCAGTGTTACGGCACTCGGCCGTCTCTCGACGCCTCACTCGGGTAAGAAGTAACACAAGCCATGTCACTCAATCAATAAGGGTATATACACTGCCAAACAAAGACACCTCACATAGTACGGGTCAGCTTCCTAGTACCGGACAACAGGCGCCCCTGCGGCTTCGTCGTGGATCAGGACTCCGCCCTTGACCCCGCTCCTTTCGAACTTGTCCATCCATGTCTCGGATTTCTTGTGCTTCCCCAAGCCCAAGCCAGTGAACACTTTCTTCAAGCCGCCCATGGCGCTGTGAACGGGGCTGCTGGGCGATGTCTCATCCGCCTTCAGCTGAACCACGTTTTTGTACTTTGCATCGAGAGACCGATCCTCCATGCTCGCCTTTCTGCTGAAACTCGGGGCTTTCTCGCCGTGCTGGTCTATGCTGATCTTCATGCTCGGCCGGCGGGCCTGATGCGGCTGTTCCACACCGTGCCCACTATCAGCCAACGATGGATTGCTCAGGTTAGTGCCATCCTGCTTTCTTGTGTACTTCATTGCGGAAATGAGGTTGTCAAAATCGATATGAGACGAGGCTAAATCCCGCGTGAGGGGATCCTGTTGCCGCGGCTGAAAATGCATCGGGACGTCAGAGTCATTGCTGTGTTGCGATGACGCAGTGCGTGATCCAGCATCGGCACGTTGGCGTGTCCTGTGCTCCCTAGGTGTCTGTCGGTCATGTCCGTTTCTTCGACTGTGAGCCTTCGGCTGCACTTGCATTAAGTTCGCAATATGCGTAGGGTTGCTTGGCTTCGAGTACGGCACTTCGGGCCTCGGGGCCTTCCATTGATCCACACTCGGCAATGGTGGCAATTCCCTGTTGAGGTTAATCCCCTTTTTGCCATCTTGGTTGCGCTCGGTACTCCCGCAACGGATGCTTCCCGATCGACTGCCAAGGCTGTCACTGCTTGAACTCCGCTGCACGCCCCAGCTTCTCCAGCCATGTTTTTGGGTAGTGGGTTGCGTGCTGGCGGCTTCTGACCTCCTGCTCCTCAAGGAATCCCGGGATGCTGATTTGCTGAGCTGTGAGGAGCCTGGCCGGAAATACTCTTTGATATCCGTAACGCTCCTCCTCGCACTGGCGGTTTGGCTTGTCCGTGACACCGGACGGTGAAGCGCATCTTCTCTCCCATGGCGCTCGCGTTCCATCCGCGTCCAATTTGCTGCCTCGGCATCTGCCCGTGATGCAGCTTCCTCGTCGCTGTGCACGTAGTGAGAGTTTCGCTTTGAGCATCGCGAGGGCATCCCTGCTGAGGTTCTTGCAGTGGAGGCATAGGGGTTTCGGTCGGTCGTCGAAGCGCTCAGAGGCGTAGAATAGCTTGTTTCGGGGGAATCCAGGCCTTTGCCAATCGAACCCGTGCCTGGCCTCTCGTTCGCGATGGGCCGCGACGTGTGTTGAGGCGGGCGCTGTTCACTCTGGCTTATGGACGCCTTGCAAATTGCCGACTTGGATTCGTCCAAAGTGTCCTGGTGGTTTCTTCTGCGACTGGAGTTTGCCGGTATCAGGTTGTGCGCCAGATGACGCTCCGGGGACGCGTCGCTGGGCACCACGTTCGATTTGTGTGGTTGGGTTGATGGCATCGCAGCGATAGGCTTAGCGGCTCCTCGCGGTGGGGCTGGGTGGGCTGGCGGGTGGCTCTCGGTCCGCCTGGCTTGCATGGTCTTCATCGAGCGGTGCAGAGGGTCGGCCGCGTTGGCCTCGGCAGCCTGAAGCGCAGCAGCTTGGCCATACGAGTTGTCATCTTGCTTGAGGACGGCCTCGCAGGCGGCGCGCAGTTCTGCTTCGGTGTGGGGAGAAAGAATGCGGCGGTTGATGAAAGGCGACGAAGGCGTAGCAATGTCACGCGTTGCGAGCGACTCCTTGAGAGCCTTGGTTTCGGCCTTGGTGGGGACTTTCTGGGGCATGGTCACTTACAAGTTGTGGGATGGGGGCGCGAGGAGACTTACGATGGGCGCGAGGTTGAACGAAAACTTGCCCTTCATGGCGTCGGGCGTGAGGAGAAGATGTGAGGGCTAGGTTGCGGGCGGGACGGGAAAGGCAGCGGGTGCGATCTACAGGCGAGACGGGGTGGCGGCGCATCAGCAGCACCGGGCTGCGCGGCACGGCGTCGCTGGGGTCTGGGCTGTTTATGCGCGGCGTTCTGGACAAACGATGGACAAACCATCCGCCCTTGCCCGTCTATCTTTGGATGTGGGGAAGCCCAGCACACCCCCCTGCCCGATGCATGCGTCGACAAAGGCCGCCTGCGGCTTGTTCCTTTATCGAGTACCAGAGACACACGTCTTCATGCCACCACTCCCCCGTGCCCCCCTTAGACAGCCGTCGTCGCTGTCTCGCTGTCTCGCTCAGAGGTGAGAAGTGACATGATGACCGACCTCTCCTTAATAACCCGCCGTTGATCGCCAGCAATGTCCTCATGGCATCGACCCGTCGATGGCTCGGCGAACATCATCTGTCGTGCGAGGGCCGCACCGCGACACTGAAAGCGATGAGCAGAAAAGACATCAGCTGCTCAAACGGGCCAAATCCAATGGTCTCCTGAATCGATTGTCCATCTCATTCTCACGACACTCCCTTTCCGAGTCGCTGGTCGTCCCCGGGAAACAGCTCTCTACTGGACATGCAGCGCATCCAAGCATCATCTGGGAACATTGTTCCTCTAGGCCGGACAGGCTCTGGCCGGTCATTACCGAGCGTTCCTCTCGTTCCTCTCGCTGTGAGGAAAACGAATCTGCCGTCAGAAGTCCACTGAAGAGTTTTTCGTTCTGGCCTTATGATCATCCACATCCCTTGCGGTCGAATCCGCCGCTTCCGAATCTACCGACAGCTCCTAGTTAGAACATCATCGCTTTTTGTTCCTGTATGAGTGCTCTCTATGCGGGCAGATGGTCTTCTTTTTCAGTCGCACTTTGCATTGCTGTTCCCGTCCGAGGCTGACCAGTCGTCATGCAGCAGTACCTGTCAGCAGCGGGTGGCTGACGGCTGGACGGGTAGCTGGCGGGTAAGGATGAAATTGGCAAATCGCCGCTGCCGGTGCCCGATCCTGTCGGCACTGCTGCGGCATTGTTGCGACATTGTTGCGGCAGTGATTGGACGCTGTCGACAGTTCCTTCTATGCTGTAAGGTAGTCCATATGCGCTTGGAATGCCGTTTTGGGCAATCAAGGTGTTAAAAGACCACACATCTCTCCACCTTCTGTTGCCTAGATAGGAAGGCGCTAGGCCTGCTTTTCGTTACAATGAATGTCGCTGTGCCGCGCGCGGCGCTGCCGCCACCGCGGGACCCCAGGCAGGTGCTGGCGGGGCGTGTGGCGGGGTTAGGAATTGATCTAAGTCCGAAATGGCGTCAGCACCATGCCGTGCATGCTTAGCAATTCGTGCTTAACAATCCTGAACGTCAACCCCGCATATATTCCTACACTTCTGTTACGTTTCCGTCACCACTTGCCACTCTACACCTACTACTACTATACTCGCCTTTTAAATCCAACATGGTCAAGAACCAAGCAGCTTGGATCACTGCCGGCAAGGCTAAGCCCCTCAAGGTCGACGAGGCGCCTGAACCGAAGGCGGAGGCGGGGGAGGTCGTCATAAAGAATCAGGCTGTGGCCGTCAACCCTGTTGATTGGAAGGTTCAGGTATGTCCATGGGAAACCATGCAACTCTAACTCTGCTGACGCTGCACAGGACTACGGTATGCTTGTTCAGTGAAGCTTCGGCAATCCGTGCTCACAGTGAATTAGACTTCGTCATCAAATCTTATCCCAACATCCTTGGAACAGACGTTGCCGGTATCATTGAAGAGGTGGGAGAAGGTGTCACTCGCCTACACAAGGGTCAACGTGTCATCGGGTGGGTGCATTGATCACTAGAATCATACTGTGGCGATGAGGACAACTAACGTTTATGTCCGAATAGCCATTGCCACGGACTAGGTACTGGCGAAACAAAGCACGCTGCATTCCAACAATACACCGTCTGTGCCGAGATCCTCGTGTCACCGATCCCGGATTCCCTGAGCTTCGGCCAAGCCGTTGTACTTCCTCTCGCTATTTCAACCGCTGCTGCCGGCTTGTATCAGAAGCCGCACCTTGCCCTCCCATACCCGTCAAAGGATGCGAAACCAACGGGCAAGTCGATCCTCGTTTGGGGTGGCGCCTCGTCTGTCGGTGGCACTGCGGTGCAGCTTGCTGCAGCTTCTGGCGTACAAGTCGTGGCTACCGCTTCAAGCCGCAATCACGATTATGTGAAGTCGCTAGGCGCGAGCAAAGTCATCGACTATAACTCCCCCAGCGTGGAGGACGATGTCGTAGCCGCCTTGAAAGAGGGTGATTTTGCCGGTGTTTACGACTCTATCTCTACTCCGGACACTTTCAAGCATATCGGCACAATCGTTGACAAGCTGGGTGGCGGAAAGATAGCCTGCGTGCTTACTCCTCCGGATGATTTGCCTAAGAGCGCACAGGCACAGGGCGGTAAGTATTTCTTTTCGAACACGGAGACCTTTTCCTTGCACAACCAAATCTTTTTTGTCTTTATGCCGTCAACTGATATCGTTTCTAGTTTTCGCTATCACCATTGCGTCTGAACACAAAGAAGTGGGTAACGCTATATGGCGTGAATATGTCCCTGAAGCTCTGGCAAGTGGCCGTTTACAGGCAAAGCCCGACCCGCTTGTTGTAGGCTCTGGCTTGGAGAAAATTCAAGACGGTTTGGACAAGCAGAAAGCTGGTGTCTCAGCGAAGAAGGTCGTCATTACCTTGTAGTAAATTACTAGCTACTGAAGCAAGTGGGAAAGACAAACATAACAATTTGTTATTCCTCTAAGAACCGTCTGGTACTACTTGCAAACAAAATGGAATACGCAAAGACAGGCTAGTGGATGACATCAACGAACCTAGAACTTTTGGTTGATATGTTTTCACAATTTAAAGTGAGGTGTTCATAGGTCATCCCAGCCGGCTTGTATGTTTAGCACCTGGACTGGATTTTGGTCAATTATGAGAAACTGATCACAAACTAGCTCAAAGAACATCTAAGTTGCTTGGTTTCCAGGGTTGAGAAGGGCCAGTCTTGGATGCCTCGACGAAACACCCTTAAGTTTGGAGCATTAGCTATTGCCTGATCAGTCGCGTCAGTAGTCACCTACTATAATTTCCGGGTAAGAGACGGGTGGCAACTTGCCTATCTCGGTGCAATACCCTACAAACCGACTTGTTCCGGCCTGGGGTACTTTCTGCTCTAAACCCATCCAGTGAGTTTTCTCGTGATCTCTGCTAATTCATACCTGTAGTATTTAGAGGGGTAAGCCGTACAGATCATGCTCAGCAGCCAGTGAACATTGTACGACTATACTGAGGCGTGTGAGATCGGCGTAAAGATAAAGACCGACAGCAAGTAGTTGAAGAAAAATGGGAATTAAGTAAGTTAACTGCGGCAGCCAGACACAGACAAGTCCCAAGTGTCATGCTTTATTAACCATCATGGACAGCTGTAAGTGTTTGATAACGATATACCCAATCGATAGTCGCGGTGGGGTTGGGATTTGTATACTAAACAGGGCATAGTGGCTTTTGTGGGCTAAACCACTTCCAGCTCAACTCTATCGCCTGGCTGAATGTCACAGCAAGGCGTTGGAAATAGAAGCCGACATATGCGGCGAAATCGTCTACATCCTCGGCTTGGTGCACGTCTACCCCTTCTGGATAGAAATTCCACTCCCATGCTGTCTCGCGCGCATCATGCCCGTATCCCACGCCGCAGATGACCCTCTTTGGCATTCAAGAGGATCTGATTTTCCTGCTTCGCAAAGCGTACCTTTCTTCCTATCTAAAGCCTCTTAGGACCCCGCATCTCTTGGAGATAAGCTTCTGCCAGCTTTGCTATGACCATTTACACGGGAGTTTGCCTCCTGCGTCGATAGAGACTTATAAAAAACGTCTACGGCAGAACACAACACTGGACCTTACAACAAAAGTCTGTATTCGCAAGCTTTTTAGAAAGCCGTTATCGCCAAGGCTTCCTCTTTCTCCACTCTCCTACATTCTCGCTCGCCCTACTATTCTCAGCGACCTTGAGTCAATCAAAATATGGGTGGCATTATACTTCTTGCACTTGCGGTGGCTTTCCTTGTCAGCTCCATCTCATACCTCTCAGTCAGTAAGCAACAGCGCGGCATTCTTCTTTCCCGACTGAGTCTCCACCGCCGACGATCATCCGGTGCGTCGACTCCGCCACGGTTTTTGTCGCAAGAAAAGAAGGACAGCAGCAACTCGTCCTCCCCGGATTACGTCGACACATTTCCACCATCGCGCCGGTTCATACTCGATGAGGTCAGGCCCGATATTGCAGAGAAGTCTAAGTATTCCCTGAACTATTTGAGCCAATCAGCCGGATGTCAACAAACTCCATTAGCCATTGATGCCAACTTTTCAACCGCGGAAGGAACAGCCTTCACACCGACCGGGTTCTCTGTTGAGGAGGTCAGATCACTTGGTGATTTTCCGGACTATGCAGCGCTCAGTGGCGTCCCTCTCCCAAAGCCATATCCGGAGTTCGACGTCAAAAGAGCAAAAGCAAAGCCATACAGACCTCTACGATGGGCTTACCACCAGACAATGTGTATGTTAATACCAGTTTTCTAAAGCTTGGGTTGTACTAACGTCTTACAGCATTCAGTAAGATGGATTCTGACTGGTGGTTGGAGCTTGAAAACACCTACGTCAACCGTGTTAAACAACGACAAGACCTCTTCGCCAAACACGGCAAGCGTGTTCTTGATAGCCTTCCCGGATCAGAACTGGCTTGCAAGGAGTTGATGGAGATGTGCCTTGAGTTTCTCTGCGCCAGGTATCCGCATTATTTCCGATTGGACAAGTGCGAAATGATCTTCCACAACGACATACTCCGGACGCAGTCTAACCTGAAGCAAGAACATCCCCTCCATACCATTCTCAACAACATTCCCGAAGATTTCGGTATTACTTTGAGAGACGACAAGACTGGATATTACTATTTGCGTGCGGGCGTAATTTGCAGCTCACTGGGATGGGACTTGGGAGTCAAGTTGGGTATGCGGCTGGACGAGATTCATCAACCCATTCCGGATTACAAAGAAAAGATGCGGTTTTCTATGGACAGGTAAGCCTGGTTCTCATACAAAGACGTGATAACATTAGCTGATCTATCATAGATACTTTGCAAAGAAACCCACTGACAAAGCCATCCAACGCGGCTCATGGGGTTTGGAAGTGGACGAGCCCCTGTACATGCCTGCTGGCGATCCGCATGAAAAGTATCGCGAGGTACAGGACCCCAGCTTGGACATCTCTCGAATGCATCTGCGAGTGGACTGGCAAACACTCCGGCGACTACCGCTCTCTGGAGCAATAGTCTTCAACTTCAAAGCCTTGTTTACTCCGGTAGAGGCTTTCCGTGAGGAACCTTATATCCCATCACTGCTTTTGAGGATTCTAAAGAATGGCAAAAAGAATTTGATGGAGTACAAAAACACCTGGCACACTGAGCACGTTGTGGTTCCCGCGTTGGAAGCATATAGAAAAGAGCAAATCCAGAAAGGCATGATACCCGAAAATTGGGACGAGCACACATTGGAGGAATACCCGATGTACCCAAGATGGGAAAAGAGATGGCATTTGGAACAAGGCTTTTGAATCGACCAGGCTTCGTCTCAAAGTTTCATTTATCATGGCTTTTTGTAAGGGTATGCAGTTTACAATTCTTTGTTTGATACTCAATCAACTTGAACTCACGGTGCAGCCTGCATGAAAATTCTGGGAACAAAATAGCAGGACATCTCACTTGACAGTATTTTGGTCCATCTTATCGTATCCACCTATAGTAGTTAGTTATAAATATCGATAGCTAAGGCTACGAAGTAGTCGTTGGTAAGGTAGAAATTTCCTTAACTCCTAAAAATACCATAACACTAGGAAGATAGGACTGTAGTTTGATCGAAAGGCTAATCAAAGGATTTGTTTTTATAGTGGGTTCTAGTAAACCCCCGTTGAGACTTACAAATACTCCTACCTCGAGACACCGGCGATGTTATTTGCGCGTGGATGTTACCCGGAATTTAAAAATCCCGGATCGGTCTGTGACGTAAGCCTAGCTCTTTTGCTCTTCCTGTCTGTTCCATGCAATCCACAGAGCTGACAGATTGAGGGGTCCTTCTTGCTTGCTTCTCAGACTTAACCCCTTGACATGTCATTCCCTCCTCTGGCTGCATCCTCACCTCCACGAATACCTTCCTCATTGGACTTGGGTGTTTTACCGCCAATGTTTATCTTGCCTACTCATTTGGCTGATGGGGAACTCCAACGACTTGAAGACTGGCTGACAGAAAACGGCGCGCTCTTGACATATAATGTAGCCGAGGCTAAACTGGTCCTCGGCAGGGTCGGTACCAAGCGGCGTGCAGAGTTGGAGCTCCGTTCTCGACAGTTGTGGACCGAAGAAGTAACGCTGCCCCCAAGCTCGCCAAAGAATTTCCGCTCCGAACCTCCAAGGAAGCGCAGGAAGACAGCCGGAGTGGAGGGTGATTCGACTACCGATGATGAAGACCGAACATTCGAGAGCCACGGCGAAACAACTCACACCCAGACACCCTTTCCAATAGATGATTTCTTGAATAATATCACAGTCGTCAAGTTAGCTTGGCTGGAAGACTCTAAAGGGTTGGGGAAACTTCTTCCCTTGAAAAATTATATTACATACCAAGGGAAGCCTATAGACCGATCCACTCGAGCATCGGTGTCACCTTCACTACAGCAATCTCCGGTAAACAAGTTGCCACATTTGGCACCTGAATTGCAGAGCAGGCAACCCGAGAAGCCGCGCACAACGCAAGATATTCTGGAAAGAGCAAAATCCGATGCACCCTCCAGTCCTGGTCGGCGTCAGGGCCTCACGCACTACAGTTCAGTCAACCGCGGTCAACACAGGTTCGGAGGCCGGTCGTTTGCTTCGACCAACAAAACTGCCGATCACCATTCACCAAACAAAGTTGCACTTCTTCAGCAAACGACGAGCGAGTATGAAGGTGTAGGAAGTGATATTCCTGAGCCTCCCGAATGGGTAAAAAAACGAGTCAAATATGCATGCGAGCGGTCTACAACAGCAAATCCGGCAAATGGCTCTTTTATAGAAGAGCTGAAGAAGATAAGACTAGCGCGTCTGCTCAGTGGCGATGAGATAGGTGTCCGGGCTTATAGTACCTCGATTGCTTCAATCGCGGCATACCGATTCCCCTTCTCTACCGCCCGTGAAATTTTAGCCTTGCCAGGATGCGATACCAAAATCGCCAATCTTTGGGTTGAATGGAAAAACAACGATGGCAAAATTAAAGCGGTCGAGGAAGCGGAAGAGGATGAAGACATGAGAGTTTTGCGTCTCTTCTACGACATATGGGGCGTTGGGGCAACAACAGCTCGTGGGTTCCTTTGTGATAAGGGGTGGAGAGACTTGGACGATATTGTCGAATATGGCTGGAGTGCATTGAGCAGAGTACAACAGATTGGCGTCAAGTACTACGATGAGTTCTTGACGAAGATTCCACGACCTGAAGTGGAATTCATTGCAGCCAAGGTCAGAGAACATGCGGTAAAGGTCCGATACGAAGGAGTGGAAGTAGTGGTCGTTGGCGGGTATAGAAGAGGAAATGCTGAAGCCGGCGACGTCGACGTCATCGTATCTCACAGAGACCTCGCAGCAACGGCCAATATCATCACTGACATTGTCGCCAGCCTCGAAACTGAACAATGGATCACGCACACGCTACTACTCAGCTTGAAAGGTACCGAACGCGGACAGTCGACTCTCCCTTTTCGCGCCGCCGGCGGGGGTGGACATGGCTTTGATACCCTCGATAAAGCTCTCGTTGTATGGCAAGACCCGGTCTGGCCTACCCAAAAGAAGGACCTTGCTACCAACCCCAAGGCGAAGAATCCAAACATCCACCGTAGGGTGGATATTATTGCATCACCCTGGCGAACCGTCGGCTGTGCCATTACAGGCTGGAGTGGCGGAACAACATTCCAGCGAGATCTAAGGCGGTATGCGAAAAACGTAAAGGGGTGGAAGTTCGATAGCAGTGGAGTACGAGACAGATATACCGGAGAAGTTGTCGAATTGGAAGGGCCCCGGGGCGTTGAAGGAACCTGGGAAGACGCTGAAAGAGCCGTCTTCAAGGGAATGGGCTTGGTCTATCGCGAGCCTTGGGAAAGATGCACTGCTTAAGAATTGTTGTGCGCGTGGTCGGCTTGGATGTCTACAATTAACAGTGAAATGGACTAACCTTAAAAGAAAAACGAGTTTATTTACCATCACTGTCTACACCCTTCTAGATATTTGATTTCCTACAACGTGTCAGGTACGCAATGCAAAACGGTTGGTGAAAGTTGGAATCTAGCGTTTTGTGGGCATCATCTCTCGAAAGATACCACGATCATCGATATCTTTGGAATACCTCTTCTTCTTGCAGTCTCGCTTCGACTAGTTCTACAACCTCTTTGTCGTAGATGTCTTCGGGCTGTTTGTCGCCCTTCAAAACTTCTTTTTCGTGCCTCGTAGCCTCCTCTTTGGTCATGCACACCAAATCCCTTATATGCAGCAGCGAGTTGTTCTGTCCAGGAAACCTGTTGTCCACGAAGCCCTCGGGAGGTGCCCTCCATCTCGTGAGAGCTAACCTAGTAGCCAGCCCGGTGACTACGCTACGACCCCTGTAAACCTCTTCCACAAGATACCCAACATCATCTTGCGTGATGGGAATACGGAGGCCTACGGCATCCACCCCACGGTGTCTTGCTAACCTCTCCTCCAAGCCTTGTAAGGCGCCGAGCATGCCATCGTACATCTTGTCCCGAGACTTTGACGGCAAGTAGTCATGAGGATAGCCGGTGATTTTTAGAATGACGTGGTTTGCGACTGAAAGTCCAAACATGGCTGGCATGGTTCCAAGTACAGGCAATATGCGGACTCGAAACTCGGGTAATACCCCAAGCTCGCCCACGCTACCCTTGTTGTACTCCTCTTCAGGGAGTGGAAGGAGTTGAGCTTTACCCGGAGCTGTCTTCTCGGTGGAGAAGACGACTGGTACGCCATCCTTGATACCCATGGCACGCAGCCTTCTCCGCGTAGACCTGGAGAGGGGATCTTCAGTGCTGGCGGATATGTCACCAAGGAACACTCTCGTCGGGTCCGATTTGCACCCTGCACCCATTGACGAGATGACTTTGATACCGTTTTTATGGCAATAAGCGAGCAGGGCAACCTTGCTGTCAATGTTGTCGATGGCATCAATTACGAAATCCGGCTTTTGTCCATCCATGTCGGCAAGTTGTCGCTCCGCAGATTGCTCGTTGAACAACTCATTCCAACAATCAAAGTGTGTCCAGGGGACAACTTGTTCCAATCTCTTCCGGATGCAATGCACCTTTGGTGTCCCGACATCTGCCAACGTCGCCAATGCGTGTCTGTTCAATGAGGACAATGTAACCTGGTCAAAATCGATGAGACGCAACTTGGAGACGCCAGACCGAGCGAGGGCGGCAACCGCATGGGAACCAACACCGCCGCAGCCGACGACGATGACGAAGGAAGAGCGCAGCTTAGCAAGGCCCTCGTCGGTGAGAAAAACGCGGTTGCGCGCAAGCTGTTCCAGGATCAGGTCTAATGGCTCAGTCAGTAAATCGAGCTTGTATACCCGAGGCTCAATCGTACCATCATCGTAGTCGCCAGAGCGGGCTCTAATTGCTAACGCAACACTTCGCTCGTCTTCTTTTGTGGGCGCAAACACATCGGCCGCAGCACCGTACTCGGTAAGCTTTACTTCGCGGAGCAATGTTAGAGCGCAGTTTGATCGGGTAGCGGATGGATGTTGTACGCACCCTTGTAGCAGCATGCTCTTGACTGATGTCAGGAATATGTGCTTTCACGCGGTCAACTTCGCGCTTCCGCCTGACTGTCTGAAATCCTAGCACCAGCCCAGCGGCGAGAGCGCCAGAAGCAACAGCAGTTGCGGCTAATTGAGCATTGTGCGAAGAAGTACTTCGTGATATCCAAGAAGACATGGTGTGCTGACACAAGCGGAGCAGAGGCGGTTCAACGGCGCATTCTCGTGCGAGTGAATGGACGAGTCTGGTGATGGAGCCGCAAAAGCTTCGCAGTCGCAGGGTTCGGCACCTGCGGCGTCATCACCCAAAGATCCCTGTCCGCAGCCGAGCCATAGTCACATTGTTCAATTCGAATAGCTGCGAGCCATGCACGACTCTGTCCAAAGTTGTTTTTATTATAGCAATATTTCCTTTTCCTGTTTGTTTTATTTTCTATTTTATTTTATTTTTTTTTTTTTTTTTTGGGGGGGGGGGGGGGGGGGGGGGGGTGGGGGCCGCCACCGGACGCACTTCCAAACCTGCCTCGTGACCCAGGGCCAGGGCGACCGTCCACATTTAGTTGTAAGAATGTTTGCTTTTGAGCGCCAAAGCCCAAGACCCTCCTTGCTCCTATCGCCACCGCCAATCAATACCCCGTCCTGCCAAGCTCCTAATTATGTACGTCTCTTCCGCACAACGACAACGAAGAAGAAAGGAAAAGTATTTAGTGGAACGAGAGTGGTACCAAGACCCGGATTTGCTCAGGGAATCAAAATGAAGCTTGTGTGCTTTCAAAGATGTTTTCGTGGCAATATAGTGACAAATGAAGTATCACACGCCAAACGCCAATGCTAATGTCGTCAATATGGATGAAAATGGAACGTTGGTATCGAGGCACAATAGCGAGCCTGTTGATCTTCAAGCAGTGGGCAGTGATTAATTGCCCCAGGAGGATCGCGCATCGAATGAAGTCCTGTCAGGCGGATCGGGGTTGCGCACCTGTCAAGCACCACGTTAGAAAATTCTTGTCCAAAAACGCAAGATTCGGCAAGGCTTACGTTGAGCGTCCTGGTATAATCCTGATTGTCATCCAAGGATATTATACTCGAGCGACTGCCGGTCTCCACGCCGAATGGAGTAGGGTTCAGTCGCTGATCATGGAAGACCGGACGGCTGTTGCGCCTTTCTGAGTTTGGCGTCATAGTGTCTGACCACTCGGTGCCGAAGTGAGAGCTGTTCCGAGTATTGACAGGAGGAAGATTGGCGCCGTGATCCTTTTCACCGGTCCGTAACAAGCCGGTCTTGCTCATAGTACTGACGTTCCGGCGCGGTCCATTTTCGTCGTTTGCCTCCGCATCTTGTGCTTGCTTCTCGTTTTGCCGACGACGAAGAAGTAAAAAGACGAAGGCTAAGAGGGCGGCAAGTCCCAATAAACTGCCAATCACAGCTCCGGCAATGGCACCACCTGATATTCCTTTAGATTTCTTTCCAGACCCGTCAATCTCCGGTGTGCTGGTGACGGTTTGTGTGACAACAGAGCCGCCGACAGTGACCAAGGTGACTTGCGTGACCGGAGTAGCAGTCTTGGAGGACGTAGACTCTGAAGTGGATGAAGAATCCGATGTTGAGGTCTTTGATGCAGAGGTTGTCGAGTGGTGAGTTGTGGAACTATACTTCTGCAAGATCAACAATCAGTATCATAAGTCATGTGACTAGTAATATGAAACAACGAGAAGAGGTCCGTTCGTACGGGTATGGCTTGGGTGGTGATGTCCCCTGCAGATTCGGTGACCGTCTGGTAAATAGTCTTGGGATCAGCTGTCACCGTGGTCGCCTGAGCAGAAGAACTCGGCGACGCCGTCGAACTCTGCACAGGTGTTAAAGGACGTCTCTTTTAGGAATGTCGAACACTAATCGGCAAAACGACCACGCAAAACGAAGAACAGCAAACCAGACACCGAACGGTCACCAAAAGACTGCAGAGCCATGGCGCACGCATGGGGGAGGGGAAGGGAGAAGAAGAATTGGGAAGGGGAGTGATTGAGTGTAGGGGAGAAAAACGAGAAAAAGAAAAAAAAGGCAAAGAAAAAAAATACTCATATATGAGTAGACCAGCAACGCATGAATGCAAGCAGCTCCGACATAACTAACTTACCGTACTCGTCTTATGAGTTGAGGTACTCGTAGCAGCGCTTGAGGATGCACCTATGGTACCAGAAGGCGAAATATTAAGCGCTATGTAGCCGTAGAGGCTATTATCTGTAGACCCGCAGTTTTCCGAAGGGTAACCTGGGCAAGTCTGGTCACAGCTATCGGTGCTCGACTGGGCGGCAGGCACGTAATTGGAGCACCAACAAGCGTTCCCCTGAATAACAGCAAAGGCGTACTTGTCAACACATGCGTCATGGCAAAGTCCGGTGGTTTGATAGACGCTCGTGCCTAGAAGAAACGTGAGCGTGAGTATGGCCGAGTAGGAGTAGAAAGCGCACCCTGCGAGTTGCCAGAGCCAGTGTTCTGGGTGGAGCAGTATTTCTGCGTGAGAGCCTGAGCAGAACCGACAAAAAACGGCAGGATCGAGAGCAGATGCAGGACCCGGATCAGCCGGGGGGGCTGTTGAAGGCGCATGTTTGACTTGCCCCAGGAGGCAGATTATGCTTTGGCGGCCCAAAGCCTTGGGGAAAGGATGGCGGAGAGTGGCGGAGCGGCGAGTGGTGACTGCGTGGAGCGAGTGTCTTTGAGGCTTGCCAGCGGAAGATGGGTGTTGTCGGGTGTTCGGATGTCAACAGAAGACCCAAACCCGGCGAAGAAACGGAGCCTTAGAGGAGGGTCAGCCTGGGCCGTTGTCGCATGGCGCGCGGGGCCGGCGGGAGAGGATGGCAGGAAAGGTAAGAGAGACGCGGTCGAGAGGTGTGGAGATTGAAGGTGAGGATCACGAAACAGACAGCTGGGAAACGCGGCGCGCGGACCACAGCCGAATGCAATCAAGCCTTGCCGGAAGCGATTCTGGGCCGCGCAAAACGAAGGGGGGTTGTGCGGAATACGAAGACGCACCAAGCACTGTGACGCTGGATGGGAACGGCCGCCTCGACAATGGTTTCCTTTGAGCGTCTTGACGTCAAGACAACAATGTGGTCAGAGGGTTGGGTTGGGTGCGTGCGTAACGAGCGGCGACGAAGCAAAAACACAACAACGAGGGTGAAGAGGGCGCAAAGGCACGCTCGGCGATGAGTGACGGGAGCTGGGAGGTGTTGACGGGGCGGGATCTGCCTTCTTGCGTTGCGTGTGTATGCGGGGGGCCTAGGTTTGTCATTGCATACGATGCACTGGTGAGCGTTCACTCGCTCCGGCAAGGCCCTCGTCCGCTTCCGCCGCCTGGCGGCCGCCACATGGCCCAAAGGGGATCTTCTTGTCGCCCTTTACCTGGCTCAACCGGCCGTAGCGGCGTGGCTTGCGCGCAATTAACACCACGCAGCGTTTGATGAGCTCCTGCACCGCCCGCGTTATTTCGATCGTCAGGAGAAGCAGCCAGTGAGAGGCCAGCTCCGCCAGATCTGCCTCTCGCTCGACCTTGCTTCAAGGCCCACGCCGCGTCTGAAGCTTGCTGCTCCTACTCGCCCAATCGCCGCAAAGTGGCCGCCGTGCGATGACAAGTGTGGCTGTCTAGTGTCTCGGCCGGCACGGCGCCTTCTCCCTAGGCAAGCCTCCCGTTGCTTTGTCAACTGCAACCAGCAACCACCTGACGCTCCAGCTTCCTCGAAGATGCAAACGTTCCCAAAAGTCCCCAAGACCCAAGTCGCCGTGATCTACGCATCGTGGGATCCTTGCCGTTGATCACGGGTGAGCTGCACAGCGAATGTGAATCCCCCGCCATTCCACAGTAGAGCTGCTTGCTGGGACGTGTAGCATCCTGACGTCCGCCCGATCTACCTAATCCTCGACTGCCTATTGATCCATTCGTCAATCTCTGTTGGGCCGACTTGGCCAACTGCTTACAAGGTCGTTCCAGCATTCCGGAAATTTGTTGTTTTTCGCTTCTCCATCTTAAGATCCCCACCGTCCCAAACAGGGCAGGCAGGGGTTTGATCGTATCGAGCGAAGGCGATCATACAAACTCTTGACTATCCACTGTGGAAGAGCGTCGATTTGACTATATATTAGTACTTTACATGTAGCCCGTCTCTCCTAATTCAGCTCTCGCCCAGGCCCTAGATGATATATCCACATCTGTATCCCCGGATGTGCTCTTGATGCTTAGCCTTCAAAGCTTCGCTTTTTTCCCACCTTTTACCCCTGTAACTGCTGCATCACTTAATAAAAAATCAGGGTACTGGAACTCCTGACCAGGTCCAGTGCTGGGCATGTGCCAAGCTCCGCCGTCCACGACCAGAATTTCGCCGTTCACATAGTTACCTGCGTCGCTGAACAGAAAGACGGTAGCATCAGCAATTTCTTTCACGGTTCCCCATCGGCCGCTAGGCAGGCCTTTGCCCTGTGTGGCTGTACTTCCGGCTCTGGAGAGACGTTGCATGCCTTCCGTACTACCAATGGGGCCAGGTGCAATGACATTCGACGTGATGCCACGAGGGCCTTGTTCAATGCACACGGCATGCGCGAGAGCATCTACCCCGGCTTTTGCAACAGACACGTGGGTTTGAAGAGGCGCACCGGTATAATGAATGGTTGCAGACACAAATATGATACGGCCACCGGTGCCATTCGCAGGGGCTAGTTGAAGCTGTCAATTATGGCTCATTGCATACTAGGCACGTGCGCGTCCCTGATAGCGATGTTCGGTAGACTTACGGGTCTTTCCATCTGTTCTGTGCTTCACTGCTGATTCTAGAAGATATGGCATTGTTGCTTTGACTGTGTTGTAAGAGCCCAGCACATCGATGTCCATGACGGATTTAAATGCATTGGTAGACAGCTGTGCCATTGACGCCAGGAAGTTTCCCGCAGCTCCGGCGCTGCGATTGTTCTATCAGTGTCTGTATATATTGAATGATGGTCTACAATTTGAAGGGGGGAGAGAATACCGCAAGAGCGGAGACGGACATGGAACTCACATGACAAAGTCGATACCTCCAAGCTCTTTGACACATCTATCGGCAGCGCTCTGCAAGCTTTCCGGTTTCCTAACGTCCACATCCCCAAGTCCCAGCACTCTTGCGCCCGGACGTGCTGTTGCGATATCTGCAGCCATCCGTTCGGTTTTCTCAGCATTGCGGCCGATGATGCAGGCATCCGCGCCCAGATGAACAAGAGCCCGAACTTGAGCGCTGCATATGGTGCCAGCTCCACCGGTACAGAAGACCACTTTGTTGGCTGGGAAGATATTATAGGTCAGTTCGGGCCGTTCTACATGTGTGCGCGAAGTACGGGCGGTCAGGTACCAAAGATGCCATCTTTCCAAACATTGCTCACATATTCATTCTTGGGCAACGGCATGTTGTGTTGCAGGTGCCAAAGAAGGTTGTTGCGGTAAGGTGTAGGCTGACGGAGCTAGTGAATATGGAGAACGGGGGAAGAACGGGGCAAGTCTGGGGTAAGTTAGACTACGAAGTACCGACGGCCGAGGTACAATACCCAGCCGATTACTATTGCGTGCTTCTAACGGGCCAGCAAGCGATTATGGGTTATTGGACCTGGACCATAAGGCCTGAAAGGTCGACCACTGCAGTACTGATGGGCGAATGGCTGCTGGTAGCTGAGTAGGTGGGAGTTGGGGCCCTGGGGCGCCGTGGCCAAGGACCCGCCAACACAACCCGACGTCACCTCCTCACGCCTTGAGCTGGGCCTCTTCAACTTTCAATCTTTTGGAACCATCTTCATCACCTGCACACCATGGCACCCACCATTGCCGTCTGCAAGTTTGTAGGCACGATCAGCCTCGGTTTGTTGACGGTACGTCATCTGCGTAGCTAAAGAATACCTAATGTTCCCCGCAACCTAACAACACATCTTTCACAGGGCGTATCCTACACACTCAGCGCCACCGCGCTTCCCTCCCTCCTAGGCCTTCCTACTGCTGCCAACGCCTACACGGCTTTCCTGTCTCTTCAGACTTCCGCAAAGCGCAACCTGCGCCTTCTCACTGCCACTACCATCACCAGCCTGTCTCTTGCGTTCGTGCTCTCTCCCTCGCGCGCTCGACACCCTTACCTGCTTTGGGCATCTCTTGTCGCAGCTGCAGGCGGCGCTGTCGACTATGCTTTGAGGCACGATGAAGATGCCTTGATAGAGGAGGCTACCAACGGTGGTGGCGAGAAGAGCTGGGTTGATGTAGAAAAGGGCGAAGATGTCAACGGCGAGATGGTACGGAGCGCAATGGAGAAATTCACACGTGCCGAAAGTGTTAGAGCCGCCATTAGTGGGCTCGCATTCACCATGGGAGTGGTCGGTATCTGGGGCGACGGCGCTTGAACGTGCCGGATCCTTCGCGAAACGAAATACATACGACCGTGGAATTACTGGACGCAACACGCTCATTGAGGGGCATGTTAGGTAGGGCGTGAGGAGTATAGGCGTGGCTGCTGGATTTCCACTTTGCGCAGAGTAGTAGTTATTACCGCGGAACCACCGCTTATTGCATCAATTCACCAAGTCTAATATGCGGTAGTACTTGAAGTGACCATTGTCATCATACTAGTAGGCTATGAAGTTTATCGTATGTAAGACTAGTTACGTTGTGTATCTTAGTAAATTGCCAAATTAGTTATTAGGTCAAACAAGTTGAGTCGAATATTTTCTAAGATAATATCTCTCATCGCGAAACTATATTAACCGTATAGCGAGACAGTAGCTAGAGCTAGTTAGGCTCCCTTAGGAAGACAATTTTAGTAGTAATTTAGCGATAATTTACTATACTCTATATCTTAAGTTTAATGCCTACTAAGTATTAGTTAGTATCGGCTATTTACTGAGATATACATATACATTTATCTTCATAGAAATAATATGTGTACCTCAGAATTTTTCGCAATATATAGTAATTTACTATAAAAAAATATATATCTTAGAAATTAAATTCGAAAATATATGTATCTTGAAATTTTTTTAATATATATATATATATATATATATATATATATTCTTTTTTAAGGATATATTTCGCTTTTTTTTAAGAACATTTTTTTTAAAGAATATATTCCTTTAAAAAAAATTTAAGATATATATATTTTCGAATTTTATTTCTAAGACATATATTTTTATAATATATTATAATATATCGAAATATATCATAGAAATATTTAGATATATATATATATATATATCTTAGAGAGAATTTTTTTAATATATTTATATTAGAAATATAATATATATCTCAGAAATTATGCGATAAAAAAAATATAAATCTTAGTAAATAGCTAATAGATTTAGTAGTAATTTAGTAATACGGCTATTTACTGAGAGAGATATTTTTTTATCGCATAATTTCTGAGATATATATAATATTACTAAGATATATATGTATCGAAAAAGTCTCTCTAAGATATATATATATTTTAAATATTTCTATGATATATGTCGATATATTATAATATAATATAAAAATGTGTATCTAAGAAATAAAATCGAAAACTACGTGTATCTTAGAAATACTATATAGTATATCTTAGAAATAAAATCGAAAAATATATGTATCTTAGAAATAAATTTTAAAAATATATATGTCTTAGAAACTGTTTTTCTTAGGAATATCTTTAACTTTTTATGAATATATTTCGCTTTTTCAAAGAATATATTTTGCTTTTTTAAGAATATATTTTTTAAGAATATATATTTTCTTTAAATATATCTAAGACTATATTTTTTTTTTAGGGTATATTCGTTTTTTTAAGAATATATTCGATTTTTTAAGAGTATATTTACTTTTTTTAAGAATATATTTTTTAAGAATATTTTTTTAAGAATATATTTTTTAAGAATATTTTTTTAAGAATATATTCGATTTATTAAGAATATATTTTCTAAAAAATATTTCTAAGATATATAATTTTTAATATATATTTCTAAGATATATATTTTCGAATTAAATTTATAAAATATATATTTTTGTAAGATATATATTTTTAGTAATAAAATAATACTATCATATTCTTCTTTTTCTTAAGAATAATATATTTCGATATTATTTTAAGAGTATTTCTCTTTAAAGAATATATTTTACTTTTTTTTAAGAAAATATATATATTTATCTTTTTCGGCTATTTACTGAGATACACATTTTTTTTTTCGCAAAATTTCTGAGATATACAAATATGTTTATCTCAGAGTTTTGCGCTATATACACAGTATTTTATTACTAAAAATATGTATCTCAGAAATATATTTAAAAAAAAAGCATGTGTATTTCAGAAATCAAATTCGAAAATATGTGTATCTCAAAAATATATTTTCAAAAATTGTGTATCTTAGAAAAAATTGTGTATCTTAGAAATATTTTTGTGTATCTCAGAAATTAGTTCGAATAAATTGTGTATCTCAGTAATATTTTTTTTTAAAAAAAAATATATTGCTACAAATAATAATTGCACTCTTAAAATATTAAATATATTCTTAAAAAAGCGAATATTCTCTTAAAAAAAAAACTGAATATATTTTTAAAAAAATCGAAATATATTTTTAAGAAAAATAACCAAATAGAATACCTAAACGCCTAAAAGTAGAACTATACAAAATTAATCTCTTCTTCTTCTTCTTCTTCTTCCTGCGACTATGACCTAAATATAAGCTAGGAAAGCGTTATAACTTAGGAGTTAGGCTGGTTCTCTATAGCCGAATTTTGTAAAGAATTAGACTGATTCTCTATAGCCGAATTTTGTAGAGAATTAGGCTGATTCTCTGCAGCCGACTTTTTAGAGAAACCTTAAAATTCTTCTACATTTTCTGAAGAATTCGAATATTCTCGAGCTATCTTAGAAGAACTCGAATTTTATCTCCTTGTTCTCCTAAAATTCGATCTTCTAAGATTAATTCTATACTAGTTAAAGGTTTCCTAGCGTTACCTTTTAGCTAGGTGATTATAGCGACTAGCTATTATTTCTTTTTGTAGGCGTTTAGTAGGAGGTCGCCCTAGCTTTCTCTTTCTAGTACTATTTTTACTTAGCTACGTATTGTTAGATTCTAGCTAATTAAATAGTTTTAGAGAAAGAAATCTTTTAGGGTAATAAATTACCCTATAGGAATCGATTTTCTAGCTAAAATTAATTAAATCTATAAGATCTAGTCCTAAAGTAGTAGCTAGAGCGTAAGTATATTAATAGGGGAGCTTATATTCTATAAGATCTTTATAGGAATATTCTTTTTTTTAAGAAATAAGCCTAATTTACTATTCTCTATTAGAAATAGAGATAATCTAGTGTCGAGACTATTAAATAAATTAGTATATTTTCTTTAAAAAATCGAAATAGGAGTATATCTTCTTAGAAAAAAAGTAAAAATATATCTTTCTTTTTTAAGATATATATCTTAAATAGATAGCTATATACTACTAGACTATAGTAAATATAGTACAATATTTTTAAATCGCTACGTTTTATTTTCTATAACTCTCCTCGCTAGTTAATATAGAATAAGGCCTATTTTCTTACCTCTTTTATAGTTAAAAACTCGGTTCTAATTAAAAATAGCTCTATAGTCGATAATTTAAATAAAAAAAGAAAGAAAGAAAGGTTCTAGTATTTATATCCTAATATTAGGCACCTATCTAACTAAACTAAATATTAGGCGTCTAGTTCTAAGTTTTAGAATTTTAATTATAATTAAACTATAAAATTAATCGCATATTTTTAAGTTCTAGAATATAGATCCTAACGAAACTAAATATTTTTATAAATTTTAAATCTTAATAATATAGATCCTACTAAAACTAAATATTTTTGTAAATTCTAGGTTTTGAGAATCTAAACTTAATTAAATTAGATAATAATAGCGTAATTATAATAAATATATATAATATTTTTATTTAGAACATATATAATCTTTTTAATTTAGAATATATTTGATTTTTTTTTATAAGTATATTCGATTTTTTAAGTGTATATTCGCTTTTTTAAGAATATTTTTTTAAGAGTATATTTAGTTTTTTTAAGAGTATAATTAATTTTTTTAAGACTAAATTTATTATTTGTAGCAATATCTTTTTCTTTTTTTTTAAAAAAAAAACATTACTAGGATACACAATTTATTCGAACTAGTTTCTAAGATATATAAAAGTATTTTAGAGATACATAATTTTTAAAAATATATTTCTAAGATACACGCTTTTTTTCGCAAAATTTCTGAGATACACATATTTTTTATAATTTACTATAATATATCTGTTTATAAGCGAAATATATAAAAAAGTATGTATCTTAGAGAGACTTTTTCAATATGTATATCTTAGAAATACTATATATATCTCGGAAATTTTGTAAAAAAAAAATATTTCTTAGTAAATAGCCGTATCTTTTTTTTAAGAATATATTTCGTTTTTTTTTTAAAAAAAAAAAGAATATATTTAGCTTTCTTTTTAGGAATATTTCGATTTTCTTAAAAAAAAAAAAGACGAATATATATTTTTCTATAAAAAAAAATATACTCCTAAAAATATTTTTAAGCTAAGCTGTATTTAAAATTAATTTTTTTTACTAAGATATTTATATTTTCGAATTTTTTTTTTCAAGATATATATACTTTTAATTTTTATTTTAAAGATATATTACTTTATATAAAGCTAAAAGCTAAAATACTATAAAAAATATATTTTAGAAATTAGATTCAAGAACATATATATCTTAAACATTATATATATATATATTAGGAATTTTTCGAAAGTCTACTATGTAAAAATAGATAAATCTAATAATTAAAGCTAGCTATAAGCTATTTTATATTCTAATTAACCTAAATCTATAATAAAACTATTATATTTTCGTAAGGGTAGAGTAGTAAATCAAATTAAATATAAGTTTATTTATTTTATTTAATTTTCCTTAGTTTTCCCTAATAAAAATTTGACGGATTGGAGCGGGCTTTAAGAGTTAGAAAATAAAAAGAAGTAAGAATTTAAGCTAAATCTAAGTAATAAATTACTTTAATTTATATTAGTAGGTATTAAGTTTTTTTTATCTTAAAAAACAATCCGTAATATATATTCTTTTATAATATATAGTTCTATTTTAGATAAATTTATTTTAAAGAATAAATTGTTTTATTCTTAAAATATACCTACAAAAAAAGCGAAATATATAAATTTTTTTTTAAAAAAAAAACAAATATATTCTTAAAGGAATATACTCTTAAAAAATAGAATAAATCTCTTTTTCTTTTTTTTTAAAAAAAAAGCGAAATAAGTATTTTAAAAAAAAAGCTAAATAATAATTTTTTTCTTAAAAAAAGTAAAATATATTATTAGAAAAAGAATACACTCCTAAAAAAAAGTAAAATACACTCTTGATAAAATTCTAAGATATATATTTTTTATTTTTTTTAAAGATATATTTATTTTTTCGGCTATATAGTACCAAGATATATATTTCTTTAAATATTTCCTAAGATATATATAATATTTAAAAAGTCTCTCTAAGATATATATATTTTTATATATTTCGCTTATAAATAGATATATTATAGTATATTATAAAAAATATATTTATCTTAAAAAAAAATCGAAAATATACATACATCTTAGTAATAATTTTTAAGAAAATGTATTACTAAAAAAAAAAGTAAAATGTACTCGTTAAAAAAACCGAATTTTTTTTTAAAAAAAAAATTAAAATATACTCATAATAAATTCTAAAGAATTCTTAAATATATTTTAAAAAATCGAAATATATAGATAATAATAGCGTAATCCTAGTATATAAAATGTTTTTTTTTATTTAGAATATATTCGTTATTTTAAGAATATATTTTCCAAAAAAATATTTCTAGGATATAAAATATATATTTTTCGATGTTTATTTCTAAAATAGATAAATTTATTTATTTATTTTCTAATATATATATATATATATATATACATTAAACATATTTCTAAGATATATAAATTTAGTAATAAAATATTATATATATCTTATAGTAGAAAATATTTAAGACATATATATATATATTTCTGTATAAATAGCCGTTATTTTTTAAAAATTATTTCTAAGATATATTTAATATTTCTAAATATATATATATCGAAAAAGTCTCTCTAAGATATATGTTTCGTTTTTTTTTAAGAATATATTTTTTAAGAGTATATTTCGCTTCTTCTTCTTCTTCTTTTTTTTTCAATGAATATATATATTTTTTAAATATATTTATTTAAGACTGTATTTGTTTAGGAGTTTATTTGTTTTTTAAGTATATATTATTTTTGTAAGAATATATTTAATTTTTTTAAGAATATATTCGATTTATTAAAAATATATTTTCTTAAAAAAAAAATTCTGAGATACACAAAAATATTTCTAAGATACACAATTTTCTAAAATATATTTCTAAGATACACTGGATTTTTCGATATTTTTTTCTAATATACATAAATATTTCGAATTTATATCTGAAATACACATCTTTTTTTTTTAAATATATTTCTTAGATATACAATTTTCGTAATAAAATACCGTGTATCTTAGAAATACTATATGTATCTCAGAAATTTTACGAAAAAAATATATATCTCGGTAAATAGCCGTTTATTAAATAACTAAAATATAGTATACTATTATAAATATAAGTAATTTAACTTACTATTCTACTCTAGTCCTAATTTATAGATTAGAGTAATCTAATCTAGATTATTTAATATAATTTCTTTAAAAAGAAATTCGTGATAATATATATCTTAGGAAATAGCTATTAAATTATCTGTCCTAGTAGTTTAGTTTACTGCTACTACTAACGCCCTTTTTCTATAAACGAAGTTTACCGTTTAGTAAAGTCGACTAATTAGACTATTATTAACAGCGTGTCACATAGGTCTCCTCAGCTAGAGAATTCGGGTTTTAATTGGCTAGCTTTGTTAAACGGTGATCTTTTGCTCATAGGTGAAGGACGTTAATAGTATGATAATAGCCAGTGGGAAAGAACTAAAAGTTACAAATCCATTAGATATCTTATCTATAGGCCGTTTTGCCTCCTAACCACGGGTCGACATCACCAAGAGTTTTGTCTAAATTTCTGAAGAAATTCATCTGCCAGTTTCGGATTAGAAAATATTAGCTAAAAGCAGAACTAACAGAATGACATACCGTAGTTCAGCGCCGAAGAACAACCTGAATCCTGCATTTTGTCGAACGCTTCCGGAAGCCTAACATTTCGTTAACATAAAAGCATGATACCTACTCTGCTGGTACTCACCACTCCCTAATTTTATCTCCGCGATTGTGGCTCGAAGGATGGGTACTGAGGAACTGTGGAATCGAAACTTCCTCCATCTTTTCCATTCTTGCCCAAAGCTGAGCGGCTGCTTCAGGATTATAGCAGCTTTGCGCCATCATCACTAGGAAACGTCAGCAGACGAGAACGTACGTAGCTTATGGATAGTTCTTTACTCAGTCCGATGTAGTCTGCTTCCGACTGAAGAAAGTACATGTTAGTGTGATCGCCTAACCCACAACTCGGCATTCAAGCATACCTCTTGAGCTCTGCTGCCAGGCTTCGAAAACGTGAGGTCGAACAGCATACTCGAGAGCCCTCCAGTGCCTCCCAACGCGAAATCGACAAGGGTAGCCAAACCAAGGAGGATGATACTGTTACTCATTCTTTCCGCAGCATGATCCGCAACATTGTGTGCAATTTCATGACCCAGGACCGCCGCCAACCCATCTTCACCGCCGCAGATAGGCAGGATCCCAGAGAAAACAAACACTTTGCCTCTAAATGCAAGTCAGCTTTGATGACGCTGGAGAGGAGTCTAAGGTCTACCCCGGTATAACAAATGCATTTTTTTGAGGATCGTCGATCACATTGACTTCCCATTTCGCATCTGTAAGACCCGAGGCCGGAATGAGGCGATCAAGGACCCGCCGGACCATTTGGACGCGCTTATCGTGTGGAGGTAGTATATTAGCGCGATACTCGTTCATGATTTCAGCATACATCTGCTGAGACGTGATTTCCACCATATTCGTGCTAACGACATTGAAACGGCGCCTTCCAGAGACCTAGGGGTTATCAGACACCAAAGATACGGTGGATATAACCAGAAGTCATAGAAACGCACAGGGACAGTCTGTAGTAGTGAGGTTAGGTGGGCCTATGAAGATGCAGAGCGGGTTATCAACCTCAAGATGATACACGTAAAATCCACCAACTGCAGCACCGATGCCGCCTACTTCATAATAGAATGTAGGGCGTGCGCTCCATCGCGTAAAGATGCTAGCAGCCTAAGAAATGAGGATCAGGAATGATTTTGGAAAGGTGACGGTTCAAGGTTTTACCTGCTGGAATCGTTGATATTGACCTCCACGGCCAAAGCGGTAGTAGCTCTGATGACGCACGTGTCGAGGCGCTTGCCGAGCTGGTGATGAGCGGAAAACAGTAGTCGGGCGTAATGACCGGAAAGCCCACATATTCCTAAGGGGATCTGCGGTAGTGGAGAGGCTGGAGAAGATCAGATGAACAAACAAATGGCCACTGGGATTATTGGCATTACAGTAGGAGAGCGTGTAACAGTATGGCTTATTTCTGACGCAATTGCGGGGTCGCCTTATCACGTGAGGTATAAAGCACCCGAGGGATCACTAATTCTCCGGCTATAAACCTCAAGTACCACTAAGCTGATTAGGAGACGAACGGAGAAGAAACTAGGTATATTTAGAAGGTAGTAGAAGAAACGGAAGGAAGTATAAGGAATAAAGGTTCTTTAGTTTAGAAGCCGATAGTTTCGCGTAGAACGAACAACCGGCAGATCAATAAACGCCGGTATTAAAGTGGAAAAGGGAGTCGGTGTTTTGTTCCATGTCCTTCGTCGAGAAGGTGGGAAGATCGGCGTCTAAGCTGGTCTAAGCTGGAGTGATACCCAGTGCTTCTTCGTGCTTCGCACAGCAGGCAGTATTTGACATAACAGTGGGAAAATTTCTGTCCTGCGTACAATATGATTTCGTTTGCGAGAAGAATCAATTTGAGTTTCAAGGCGACATTATTAAAATGACTATTTTAAGGAGAAACTCTACTAGGTACAAAGACGTAGCGCTTGTGCCCCGTGATTATCAAGTCCGCTTTTGGGTATTATTCTAGATGCTCCAAACATGAGCTCAATCCTTGTCCTACCGGAAGGCGTTCGTTGCTGACCACTGATTAACCAAGCTTGTCCAGCAGTTTGCGCCGTCTTCTTTCTACCAATTCCTCTTGTACTTCGTCAAGCGTGGGCAACGTCCATCCGATACCGTCTCCCGCATCACCCGGCAATTCTTGCCATTCTACGTCGCTCTTCTGTCGCTTGATGTTGTCTGCTCCTATAGCGTCGTCTTGTGCTAGCAGGTTCCTGAAGGCTTCGTCTTCCTTCTGCTTCTCGTAGGCAAGCAGTGTGCCGTCCTCCTCGTCCAAGTTGTAACCGTAGTATGCAGCATCCACATTACGACGGATCTCGGCGCGCTTCTCCCTCTCCGCTTCAGCGGACGGTGGCGGTGCGTGTGCTGCTTCGAACAGCTCCTTGACGCCTGGCAGTTCGCGCGCGCGACCAAAATACCTGCGAGTGGATACACATTAGCACAAACCCTGTTAGTGGCACCGGAACCCAAAGCTTCCAGCAATACATGATGCGTCGAAAGAGGATACGACGTACCTGTATCCCTTCCCGCCGCCTGGTATTTCTCTTCCGTCTTCATCCACAACGCGCCCACCGCGCATGTAATTTGGACCGCCGAGATTCCGGATTTGCACTTCCCACATATGCTTCTCACGCATGAGCTTGTTGATCTCGTCGTTCAGGTCCCTAATCTGAAAGTCTGAGAGCGCTTCGTCCTGAATTTTTGAAACTTTGCGCGATATTTCCTTCAGCACCTGGCCGCGCCATTTCTCGCATGTCGGGATCGAGTCAATGGACGTGATCATCTTCGGGCGACGGGTACGCGATATGTCCAGAATGCCCAAGTCCGCGGCTTGGGCAGCCCGGAAGCGGAACAGCATCGACTGCGCTTTTTCTGAATTACGAGCCTGCGAGCTGGGTCAGCGCGGGTACGAACGACGCGCGGGCGGGAGCCTTTACCATGATGGAAATGCGCAAGTGCTTGAAGCGGGCAAAGAGAGGTCAAGCAACAGGGCGAGAGATGTGTGGAGGGGTGCGTTGCGGTGGTTGTTGTAATGGTCTGCGGTGGACGCAGGTGGATGGTGATGGTGGTTGGTGGTGCGGGCGGAGCTGAAGCTCGATCGCGAAAAAAGGCAATTACCGGGGTAGGTCACGGTTGCAGTTGCACCAGTTGCATCTCACAGGACATGGCAACACGACCCAAAACACAAAACACTGATGCGCTCTCACCTCACTTGCGAATGGGTATCTATCATTAAGTACATATGGTCGTGATTTTCATTCACCCCAGAAAGCGCCCTTCAGCCCCATAGAACAAGCACCCCAAGACCCAGTATGAGCGCAAGGACCGGCCCAGCGCCCATTTTCGAAGCCGGTGCGGCTGCCGCTTCCGAAGTTTGCGACGACGACGGTGACGCTTCCGCTCTGGTCGCTGACGGCGTCGATGACGCGGCGACAGTGGTCGTCAACATTTCAGAGGTTGCTGCCGGTGTGGTTGCCATCACAAAAGACGTGGCGGTGGTCACTGTGCTCGCATCTCGGCGGAGATGAGCAGGGGGAAAAGTCTTTGTGTTGCTGTCGCGCCAGACGGCGACGCAGTGGTCCTCTTGCTCCTCGAAACAGTATTTCTGCAGAACGGGAAAGCGTACGACGGAGCTAGTGCTGGTGACGCTGGCGGCGGTGGTGGTGCTGCTGGCGGGGGCGGTGGTGATAGTGCTGCTGCTGAGAATTGCAACGGAGGATGGAGAAGCTAGCATGGGATGGTCAGCGGCGCGGCGCTTTCAATGGAGCGCGAAGCGAGACTTACGCAGCAAGGCGGCGTGGACGAGCGACAGCAAGAGGGCGCAGAGCAGGAGCAGCGAGACAAAGGGAGCCATGATGGAGGTTCAATGCGAAGAAACGCGGCTGCGGGGAGGAGGCATCAATAAAGCCTAGCTAGTTAACCCTGAGGCCGGCGGTTCAAGCAGGTTGCGTTGTACCGAAGCGCCCGACCGGCCAAAAGTCGAGCGTGCAGCGGGCCGCCCCCAGCGTCATTGGCCAGCGTCCCCGCCACATGCGGCATCGATCCTCGCCCGCCCCCTGCAATGACGTGCCCACGCTCGCTGCATGCGAAGCTTGGCCAACGGCCGCCCCAGCCATCCTGCAACAGCAATAACGCTATGGCCGCCTGTGCCTTGCTGATCGGAATTCCCTTCAGCCTCACCGGCTCACCTCAACTGCTGATCTAGACCCTCAAGTGCCTCACCACCGCCGCTTCCGTCGCTAGTCGCAATCGCCCTACTCGCCTTTGAGCTCCTTCGTCGCCTGCCCCTCCTCGTGCCTTTTCAGGGCCTCCTCAATCTTCTTATAAGGCCAGCCTGCGAGCGGGGCGCGTTAGTCTTCAAGACCCACGTCCACGTACTTCAGGTCACTTACTGAACACCGGGTACAAAAATGGACGAAGATCAAACCTGCCACACAACCACGGTTAGCTGAGCTGGTTTCTCCTTCTCGTCGGTGCCGACTCCACGCGGCTTACCTATTGTCATCGGGAGAGTATGCCTCTGCGTGGTAGGCAGGCGTGATGGTCGTCATCTTGTGCCGGTTGATCGCATAATACCAATAGAACCTTCTGACCTTCTCGTACACCTGCCTTGGCCCCATTCTGTCGTTCCAATCGTGCAGCAGCTTTTCAAACATGCCGTACGGTCCGAGCTTGTGCACCTTGCGGAGTCGGCCAAAAACCGAGAGCTCGTCGTCTGTGATAGATAAGTCAGCATGCGGTCGTCCCGAGCTCACGTTAAAGCCACTTGCATGTCATTCCCATGTCAGCCTCGTCGGATTGAACGTAATCTGTGACGCGTCAGTCTTCCGCTTCTCGAAGTAGCCCGGACGAGAGTTACCCTTGGTAATGGGTTCGAGTTCAGCCGTTGGCGTGGCATTGATGAAGTCCTCCAAAATAGGCAGATCGAACTTTTTTCCGGCCCACTTGATGAACTTTTTAAGATCGGTCTTGGAGATAGCACCGATAGGGTTGATATCGGCGCTACTGCAGTCATATTTGGTGAGATATCCGCGCAGGGACTCGTCTACGTTTGCGGATCCGAGAACGAGCAAGCTTCCAGGGGCTTTCCGGCCCCTGACAAGAGGAAGCATCTGGGCAAACAGATAGGCAATTACCATCCGAAGTCTGGCCTGAATATTCTGCAGTGCCAAATTCTCAGTGTTGCTACCACCATGGATTCGAAACTTCGGGACAAAGCCAGTGACGGTGGAAAAGAGCTTCGTGAGTGCGTCTGAAACCGTATCGATGTTCAAGTCAGTGTGGTATGCTCCGATATCCTTGGCGAGATCTTTGGCGCGATTGCGGGTTTCTGCCGAAGAATTCACGCTGCCCATGTAACAGGTATGGAACATCCGACCGCACAGCTCTTGTGGAGTCGAGGGTTTCCATTCAGAGTCCTCAGGTTCGCCACAAATAGCGCGAGCGTCCTTGATGACCTGCTCATTACCATCTTCGATAGCTTGCACTGCCAATCTGCACATCGAGTAAACAATGACTGAAGTGGCACAAGAGTCAATGCCGCCAGACAACGGTATGAAGAAACCAGCCTGATGACTGCGTCGGACGTAGTCCCAGAGCCAACAGGCGGGGCCGAGAGCTATCTCAGCCTCCGGGGCATGGTAGAACGGTTTGCGGACGGGAGATGGTCCAATGCTTGGGTTCAAAAGCCCACCCTCTCTTGACAAGCTGAAATCAACCTCGATTCGTTGATAGGCTGGGGCCTGGACTGCTTGGAGACCACGGCTCGGCACGTATCGGAAGGCTCGAACTTCCTCGAGATCGACGGTGGCGGTGACTACTTCGACATCGTTAAGGCTGAATTGAGAGCCCTGTGCTACTATTTCTCCGTTGATGATAATCATGGCACAGCCGTCATAGTAAAGACGGTCGCCGTCACATCCTTGCTGATTGGAATACATGTAAATACCGCCGGCCTTACGGGTCGCCTCCAGGATCAACTGGACGCGGGTGTCAAGCTTGCGCAGCTCATGGTGGCTACCAGAAGAGTTCGTGAAAATCTCCACGCCATTGAGGCTCATGCCAGAATGCGGAGGATTGGGAGTGAAGAGCTCTTCGCACGTCTCTGCACCGAGACAAGTATCCCTCGTAGAGATGACCGCGTCTCCTATAGGTACCTTGACTTTGCCAACAACGTTCTGAATGATCCTGGGCAGATAATACTCTTCAACGTGACGAGCTGGACTCCAAGGCGTAAAGTAACGCATTTCACGGTAGTTACCGTCATTGGCCAGCCATAACTTGGGCCTGATGAGCAATATCTGCCCATTGTAGCAGAGGGCGCGAGCATTGTAGCGTACATTTCGATGCATCACAGGCATCCCAATGTCGAGCAGGATGCCATAGCATGATTGGTCGGAGAGGATCTTGGCCATCATCTCCCACGAGTGCAGGAACGTGTCCGACTCGAGAAAGTGATCCAGACATCCATAGCCTGCTCAGAATCAGACTCAATACTCTTCGGTTGGCTGGGAGTCGTACGCACCGGTCACCTCCAGTTCTGGGCCGACGCGGAGAGCAGCGCCGGCGGCCTTTGCCTGCCGGATGGACTCGAGAATCCTCTCGAGGTTGCCCTCAAAGTCAAGCGCCCATTGATTGAGCTGGGCGGGCGGTCAGCAACAGCACGGCTTGGCTGTCACAGACATTGCTTTTCTCACCTGGCACGTGGCAACGGTCGTAAGGTGGCCCATGATGGGAAGGATGTCGTCTTGCTGCGTTTGGCCGTGGGACGAGGTCGTCGACTAGGTAGCGGGCGCGCAAAGCTCCGACACCAAACGTCATCAGAGTCGAATGCACAGTCCATGCCTGACGCCCAAGTGTCGCCGATAGCACAACTCACAATCACCAGCATGCTGCTGGCCCCTGCCGCCAGACCACCCATCCCCCGTCCTTCAGCCTCGACATAGCTAGTCGGCTTGCATCATCCACGCCGCCAATGGCTTCCGCTTCTGGGCCCGACGAGGCCTCCCCGCTTCTGCAATCCAACAAGCCCGCAAAACCACAACGGAGCGTCACCTTCAACCCCAACGTCTCCACCAGCAGCCCGTCGAACTCTTCCTCGCTCCGCCCCTCGTCGCAGTTCCCAGTCGCGCCGCTCGATCGGAAACAGAATGGCGGTCAGCCCATGCTGTCTGCGCTTAACAGCAAGCTGCGCCGACGAAACAGCCAGGGGGCTCCATTGATGATTCCGAGCATACCGCAACCAAAGATTGGCCCTCAGCGCACCTCTAAAAATGTGCAAAAGTTGAAACTGCTGCCCAATCCCGAGCAAGCGGGAGAGGACCTGGAAGATGAGGAGAGCGGGAGGGACGTCTACGCTCAATTCACCAGAATTAAGGACCCGACAGCCAGACGTGATGCTGCAAGGCTAGGCAAAGAGGACCGGGAGAGGCTACCCAGAGTCACGGCATACTGCACTGCGAGCTCCTACCGCTTGGAAGACATGATGAGGTATTTGAAAGGCAAGACCAAGTCCAAAGGAGCTGCGCCGAAGCTATTCGACGAATGCATATATACGCCCTACAACTATGGTAAAAGCTTCGTGGACTCCCAGCAAGGCTTCGAGTCAGAGCCCCCAAGACTGGTGGAACGCAGACACTCGGATAGTGCGGTCGAGGTGGAAGGCAACACTGAACAGAGACGAGGCGACCTGATAGACCTGCATACGCAAGGCGGCGACACAAGTCTAGACGCGGGCGAAGGTTCCGTTCATATGACGAATGATGACGCGATTGACATCTCTCGCGATTCTCAGAGTTCCCGTCGAGACTCGATAGACTTCGATACCCATGTTCATACGCCTGAAGTTTTCCTGTTCAACTATGGCACGGTTGTCATTTGGGGCATGACGCTGCAGCAAGAACTCCGCTTTCTGAAAGAGATTGCGAAATTCGAGAACGAGAAGCTGAGCAAGGATGACGTCCAGACGGAAGACTTCAATTTCTACTACACGCGCGATTATCAGGCGCGCATCTACAATGACTTTATTAGTCTGCGCGACAAGAAGAATTACATGACAAAGCTGGCCATCAGCCATGCACTGTCTCAGAGCGTCAAGGTAAGCGGCCGACAATGTTTCTCTCCGACGTAGACGGCGGACTGACTTTGTGTGATGCAGACGTCGCTATACGAGGACCTGGTCGACAACACGATTGAGACAACCAAGGAGATTCCTTCACAGATTGCGACAACGGGCAAGGTAGACCTCACGCGACGGGAGATCAACATGCAAATCGGCGAACTGTTCATTCTGCGCATCAACATTCACCTGCAGGGCTCGGTGCTCGATTCGCCGGAGCTGATGTGGGCGGAGCCGCAGCTGGAGCCCATTTACCAGGCGGTGCGCTCGTATCTGGAGATGGACCAGCGCGTGGGGCTGCTCACGGAGCGGCTAGACGTGATTGCGGACCTGCTGGCGGTGCTCAAGGACCAGCTGACGGTGACGCACTCGGAGCTGCTGGAGTGGGTGGTGATTGTGCTGATTGCGGCGGAGATATTGGTCGCGGCGGTCAACATTGTGGTGGACCTTTATGCAGGCGTGGACTGATGGGGTGCTATCTATTAGAAAATGCATTCTTGACGGCGACTCAGCAAGGAGAGTGGAGCGGAGCCCCCTTGCAGCTTGCGCGCGGGCAATTTGCATGCAGATGCACGGTGCAGCCCTACTGTGTAAATGGGTCCCCTAACTAGGCGTTTAGTTAAGCTGCCCTTCACACGCGTACGCAACCCTCGACGCGGCCATGCCTGCTGCTCCTTCGCACACCGGCCACCCAGAGCCCCCCTGCCTTTGTCCAAGCATCCTTTTCTGAGCGCGTCCGCCCGCAGCATCAGCGGCCGCGCGCCGCATCTCACCATGTCTGTATCGTCTACGTCACTCGGGCCTCGCCGCCCGTTGCGCTATCTCGTCGCGCTTGCCATCGTCTCATTCCTGTTCATTCACTGGTCTTCGCTTTTCCACAGCGCTTCGCCCTTCCTCACGTCCGTCAATGCCGTCTTGCCGACAAACTCCACCCTGGGCTTCGGTGCCATCTACGTTCTGTCCAAAGACGACTCGCCGCGCAGAGAGCGTCTCATCCAGGCCGCCAATGTCACCGAAATCGACCTCACCATCCCCGTTCAGCCGCATTGGACCCTGGATGACGAGGAGAACTTCCGTCTGCCGGTGAACTCGACTGTGGGCCGCGGCTCGCTTTTGGCCTGGCTGGGCCACTTGCACATCTTGCGGGAGTCAGTGCCACTCAACCACCCCTTCATTGCAATTGCGACGCTGACTGTTTCTTTAAAGGTTCCTCAAGTCTGGCGCAGAGACAGCCATCATTCTCGAAGACGATGTCGACTGGGACATCCGTTTACGTTCCCTCCAGGTTCCTCTTGTCTCGTCTGCCGTCCGCTCTCTTCTTCCGCCTGCCAAGTACCCATCCTACCCCTACGGCCATCCCAAAGATTGGGATCTACTCTACATGGGGCATTGCGGCGACTACTTCCATGGAATGGACGTTGGGTTTGAAGACGGTCATGTTGTACCGGAGAACTTGACCCAAACGCCGCACATTGCCTTCCATGACCCCAGCTTGCCGGAACTGGAAGAGCTGCACCCGTGGACGGAAAGCCTGTTGGAGAACTTTAACTTAACAGACCACACGCGGTTGGTGCACCGCAGCCGTTTTCCACTGTGCACATTCGCATACGGTGTTACGCGTGCCTCGGCGCACCGACTCTTGACTGAGCTTGCTGGCAGCGAATCACCGCGACCCGGAGCGCATGCTTACGACGTGACAATCTTGCGCGCCTGCATCAGTGACGGCTTGCGCTGCTGGAGCGTCAACCCGGAGCTCTTCCATCATACACCCGGTGCCAGCATGATTGCTGGCATTGAAGGCCACATGAACATCCCCCCTGTTGATGAGGCAGGGTGGGAGCAGGTTCTGTATCGCGACGAGACAAGCAATATCGATTGCGGTTTCTGGAACGAAGCCTTTATCTTCGAGGAAGGCGATCACAAGAAACTGGAGTGGCTGCGCGAGGAGGTGGCTCGCAAAGGAAAGTGCCTGAAAGAGGGCAGAGGCCTGCTTAACGGACGAATCGTTGAGGAGTCTCAAGAAACATTTGAGGAGTGACGAGACTTCCCCTCCTAGACACCGCGACATCGAGCGACGAAATTGATGGTTTGTGAGCATTCCTTTCTCTTTCTTTTTCTTTACATGATCCTTGTTCCTTGCAAAATGAGCGCTTATAGACAGCATGGCTGTTCCTCTTTACTTTCTTGTATACCACCGTAGGGCCACGGAGTCAAGGTGATGCCTTGAATTATGCATTACGGGAGTCACGGATACCCTAACTTTCTCTTGTACCTAACTACTAAACTTTTTTTTTTAAAAAACTTTTTTGTCTCTTTTGCTTCAGAAGCGTCGTATCAGCGCAATATTTCATAAAGCTTGTCTAGAGAGACGCGGATACGTTTCAGTCCGTAACCAAGCGCGGCATTTGGCTTAATTTTCGAGTTAAACTATACCAACAACCGTAGTTGAATGTAGCCCTTTCCTTTTCTTTTTATGCAAAAGGCTCGCATGTTTGAAGGCGTCCGTCAACCATTGTTACAGTGGTGATAGTGTTGATGACGTTTATATCCCCACGTTGAATGGTCTTCGTATCAAGTCGTCCCGGATTTTAACGGTTGGAAATACTATACATAAGAACAACTACACAACCGCTACAAATTGACCAAGATGGCCCCTTATAACTGCACCTGTGGCTAAATGAACAGCCTAGGAAGGTTATGTAAATTAAGAAAATATTCTCCAACCATATGTGGTAGAGTGGAGAGCCTCATCTGCACATGGACACGTTCACTGCACGAATTCAAGCCCACCCCCCTTAAATACAGCGCCAAACCATCCCGATCTTGACAAAGAACCTCACGACAATGCAATAAACATCAAGAAAACAAAGTTCATATGCCGAAGCCAAATCTTGCCTGCTTGCAGCGCACTCATCCATCTCTAGGTATTCAGTTTCACGACGCCGGACAACGGAAAAACACAAAGCTCGTGCAGAACGTCAACAGCGTATGCCAAGCTCAAGCAGACAAAAACGAAAAGTCAGTCGGTCCCTTTTAAACCAGGCCCGTCACACCGGGAATCCTACAAACCTTCGACCAGAGAAGGGGGATAGGGGGAGGGGCAAAGGGTATCTAATCGTGCGGTGTCGTTAGCCTAACAAAAAAAGCGAAGAAAAGAAAAACTGCAAAACCGCAAAACCTCCAGCCAGCCCAGATATTGATCCCAGAAAACGCCGCGCCCAATGCGCGCGACAGCCCGCTATGCTCTTTCATTAGAAGAAAAAAGAGGTACGAACACCGAAGAAGTTATCGAAAAAAGAGAAAACGCCCGCCATAAGTTTCAAGTTTAAGATGTGGCGTCAGAGACCAGTTCCTCCTTGGCAGAACCGTTACCTGCTGCTTCCTCTCGTAGCGCTTTGACAGCCTTTTTGACCTCGTCGGTGGCCACATCCTGCCACTTTTCCCGTGTCCTCTGCTCCGCTAGGTTGTTGGCATCACCTACGATATCGTACATCTTGCGCGATATCTTCATGTTGATATCGGTGTACTCGTCCTTGTCGATTTCCTGCTTTGAGTACATGGGCTTGAGAACCGCCTTGACCATGCGTTGAATCTCTGCTTTGGCCGAGTACGACATGTTGGCACGTGAAGGAGATGTGTCCTTGGAATGCGGGGGACTAGTGCGAGGCGATCTCTGTGAAGGGTGATGGCATCTTGTCGGCCTTTGTTCAGCAGTCTCGGCACCGCTACCGTTGTATTCATGGTCGAAGCGGGCGTCGTCCTCAGCGGGTGAGAAAGGGGCAAATTCAGGGGCACCAGGAACAACAGATGGGAAGATAGGAGTGATACTAGAGGACAGCAAGGGGGATAAAGGTCGCGCAAGCAACAGCGGAGGCGGTGTCATGGCCCTGGGAGTCGGTACATTTGAGCCAACTGGCGAGCCACCAGGAGAAGACAGCTGTGGTGACGAGCCTCGCTCGTACGCTAAAGCGACCTTCTGCTGCCGGACTGGAGCAGGCTCGGCTGCTGGAGTGGATGTCTCAACCTCTCTCAGTAATGACTGGAGGAAGTTTGAGCCCGAGCCATCCACAGCGCGATCTTTTGAATCCCGACGAGGGGCGGATGCTTCGGCAGGAGAGGTGGCTGGTGTGGCAGAAGGCCCAGCAGCAACACTGGTTGAGGGGCCTGTAGCAGCCGGACCTCGCCTTGTTCGGGGACGCTTCAAAGCTCTCTCAGGCTCTGCTGATTGTCCTCGAGGTGACGATGTGGGGGATTTTCTCTTCCTTCTGCCATTGGTAGGTGAGGCGACCTCCCTAGCTTTTTCGAAGGCGTTCCAAGCTCTGAGCTCATCTTGCGACTCAGGAGCCGGAGGACCGGGCCTTGTCCTTGGAGCTAAGAGAGCTGCAGCACTTTCTCTAAACCGATTGCCACTGCCATACTGCTCCGCTACCTGGATACGTCGCTCATAGGCAGCTTGTTCGCGGCGTTGCGCATCAGCTAACGCTTCAGCTCTGGAATGCCCTAAGACTTCATCGTCAAAGGGGAAATCCAGATCGATGCCGGTACGGCGGTTTACTTCTTGCCATACACGTGCCCAGGGCGACGCCGCCCTAAGTCTGGTATCTCGGATGGTACGTTGACGAGAAGTCAGGCGAGCGTTGACAGCCGGGAGGTTGTGTTGTCTGTCGCGTTGGCTCTCTGCCAGAAGAAATGGATTCTCCATGCAATCTTGACAGTACCACATCGCCGAAGGTAGTTCGTCCAATCCGGCGCAGAACACATGGCAAGTGTGATTGCAGTTGCTACAAAGCATCATATGCTCCTCGTCACCAAAAGCATCGCAGACCATGCAAGGCTCAAAGGAGGGCTCGAGTAAGTCATCATCTTCGATAAGCATGGTCGGATCCACATCGGCGACTTGTTGTTTGTCTTCAACGGCGTAGGATGACAAAACAGAGCCTGCAAGGTTACTAGATTAGTCAACATGGTTCGGAACCGAAGGGGCTTGAGGGTTGCGACACGAAGAGAACCCTGAACGCACCCACAGAGCATAGGAAGCGAAAGTTGGTGGTCCAGCTTAATTGCGACCGTCCTTCGTAAGCGCGCAGCCTCTGTGGGTGCGTCCAAACCAGCGTCAAACCTTCACAAGAACTCACCTCCTATGTTTGTTCTAAGTTCCACCTGGTGAAAGCTCGCTCGGCATATGGGGCAGCTGTTCGCCCTTTCAACCCAGGGTTTGAGGCATTCGTTGTGCAGATTGTGTCCACATGGCAGCAAGTGGGCAATCCACTCATGCTCGGGGGTTGGATGTGTCGGAGAGGAAGCGGGGCTGGCGTGGTCAAGTCGAGCGTCGGGCGAGTTGGCTACGGCTGGTTGTTCAGCTTCAAGCGAGCCATTTCGAGAAGCGGGAGCTTGTTCTCCGGCGGGTGGTGGCGACTCGGAGGATTCAGTGAGCAGGTCGCCGAGGCAGACGATGCAGGTCTCGGCCATGAGAAGCGGGCTTGGAGGGAAAGCGATGCAAAGGTCGAAGCTGGTGTATTCATGAAGTTTGGTGGTGTCGCATAGAAAGGTAAATGGAGACAAGAGGTCGAGCAGCAACCGAGCGGCGGGGATTATAACGACGCTAGGCAGCCGACGCTTTTCCCCTTTGGGTGGCCTTAACCGCCAAAGACCAGGCATGAGACACGTGCAGGTCGGACAAGAGTCCATCGTGACTTCGAGTGCCTGCGCAGCGATTAACAATGTATGACTCGTGCGGCGGGGACAGGGGAGGCCCAGCCGAAATGGCATCGCAAGCGCGCCACGAAACGAGGGCTGTGGTCTTTAAGCCGGCATGAGCTCATGCGCATCCATGACGGTCCTCACAAAGCATGTCCTGGAAGCCTGGGCTAGGAAAAGGCCCCAAGCGGCCGCTCAAAGATCGCATCTGGGGCCGGTCATTTCCAGATTGTTAGATTACGAGGGCCAAATGACCGCCAAGGGGCCACAGCCAGAGCGAGGGAACGCCTCGGAACGTGGCCAAGGATGCTTGTACGTGGAAATCGTCGCTGTCCGCAGTAGATCGTCCGCAAGGGCATGGTTTTCTCAACCTCCTCACAATCCAACAAGGAATACCATTTGTGTTGTTCTTCATTCTTTGTATTCGTCCCGACCCGTGACTAAGCAGGTTTCGGTCGTGGTTAGAGGGTTCTATTGACTGTAATGTCGCCGCATGTCGTATGAAGAACGGAACCCTAGACAAAGACAACACCCAGGCACCGTGATCATAAAGTCGCAATTTTCCCTTAAACCTCAGCAATCTCCCTAAGACGGCGGATCGTCGACCTCGTGGCAGCCGCGGCGGGGGTCCTGTGCGAGTAACACCGTTAGCCTTTTTTTCGTGCCCCTCCGTCACTCCGACCCAATGCCGCGCCAAAACTTACGAGACAGTGTAGGCACCACCGGCGATGGTCTTGTTGCACGACCTGCAGTTCCAGATGCCGGTCGACTGGCGCTTGACGGTGACCTTGCCGCAGAAGGTGCAGGTGTAGCGGGCATGCTGGGTGATTTCCATCTTCTTCACCTGCTTACGGAGCGAGGCACCATATCTGGTCGGGGGTCAGTCCAGGCTTCTTGGAGGGCGCGCCGAGGGTTCATCGATTTCCGCGGCGCCGACGGGGTGAGAGAGCAGTTCGTACCTAGTACCGTACTTGCCGGTGATGCCGACCTCTGGAGAGCTTGTTAGCACACTGAAAAGCAGTCCATTTGGAAAGCCAAAACTCACTCTTCGTGCGCTTGGTCATTTTGACTGTGGAAGTGCGCGGTTGTTGGTAAGGTCGAGGGTTGTCGTCGCAGCGCGGCCAACTTTTCGAGAGGGAGGGCCGCAGCAAAATGGCGCCGGTGATTGTGGGTGCCGAGCGGGCCCGTATTATCGTTTATCCGTAACCGCATGCCAAGCATCAATGTTTCTCTCAGCTGCCATCGTCATCGAGCTTTCTTTCTCCTCAAAAAATCTTGATGGTTGGGAGAATGGCTCTTTTCTCGGTTGTCAGAGTTTTCCAGATCGTCGTCCCTCATCAATTCGTGCTGGAAGGCAGTTTCTGAGAGACAGTGACCACCTCATTCTCGTCCGCACGTCCGTGATCTGGTAATGACGTCTGATCGCCTTCCGAGGCTCTCATAAGCACTCAGGTGATTCCGTTGTTTATAATTGAACCTGTTCCTGTGTAAACCTATCTCTGTTGTGCATTCCACTGCCTGGATTTTGAGCCACTCATCGCTGATCGCTCGATATTTGCTGTTTGCTCATTTCTGTCTGCTACGTCCATTGCAATCGTCTTTGTCCTGTTCATCGTCAATCCCCATTCAGGGACATCAAAAATACGCTCTATCGTATTTACTCCTGCCATCATCCATATCATCCATATCAATATTTCAGTCTTAACTTGTAGCATTGCTTCCCCGCTATGGCTCCCGGTTCTCGCCAATACGAGCTGGTTCTCCTTGGAGCGACCGGTTACACGGGAAAGCTCACAGCCGAGCATATTGCCACGAGTCTGCCGACAGATCTGAAATGGGCAATTGCAGGCCGCAATGAACAGAAGCTGTCTGCAGTCGTGGAAGAGTTGAAGAAGAAGAACCCTGATAGGCCTTCGCCCGGTAGCTTCCCCTTATTGCCCACGTGATAAGAGTCGTCTCTGACACTCCTAGATATCGAGGTTTGTGAGATCAAGAAGGATGCGTTGGACGCGCTGGCCAAAAAGGCCATACTTATTATTACCACTGTTGGGCCATTTATGAAATTTGGCACGCCTGTTGTGGAAGCCTGTGCGAATAACGGCACCCACTACATCGACAGGTCAGTCCAATGAGTATTCCAGCCATTACTCCTCGACTAACGAGAACAGCACTGGTGAGGTGCCTTGGGTTTACGATATCATCAACAAATACCATGATACGGCGAAGGCCAATGGCGCCGTTGTGAGTATTCCTAAGTTACTTCCTTGCTTGGCCTATACTGAATCAACGGCAGATGATTCCTCAATGTGGTGTGGACAGTGTGCCGGCTGATATGATGGCATACTTGATTGCTACTCACATCCGGCGCACTCTCAATGCAGGCACATCTGAGGTTCTGAACGTTGCCAAACTGAAGTCCAAGCCCTCTGGTGGCACGCTTCATACCATTCTTTCCCTGTTTGACCACTACAGTCTCTCCCAAGTTGCTACCTCCCTGAAGCCATTTGCGCTTTCGCCAGTCCAGCCACCTGCTTCCAGCACCTCGCCAACGCCTGGTCTCGTAACGAAGATCCTTGGCATTAGGCAGGACAAGGATCTGGGAATCCTGACAGACTGGGTCCAGGCAGGCGTGGACACCGCGATCGTCCAAAGGAGCTGGGGTTTGCTTGATGGCGGAAAGCTGTACGGTCCTAACTTCAGGTTTAGCGAGTGGATGGCTGCCAGCAGTGCCCTTATGGGCGTTCTGGTTCATTTTGGCATGGCTTTCAGCATGCTCATGATTGCCCTGCCGCCTGTAAGGTTCCTTTTGAAGAAGCTAGTCTTCCAGCCAGGGGAGGGGCCGGAAATCGAGTAAGTACAGTGACCACATGTTTTGTTTACACATTGCTAATCACGACGCACAGGAGCACAAAGCAAGACCATGCCCACTACAAGTCTGTGGGCATCGCCGATACTCCCAAAGCTGAGCGCGCAGCCGGGACCATCAAGTTCAATGGCAGCATGTACTATCTTACAGGCCTGGCTCTGGCGGAGGCTGCAATGGTAATTTTGCGTGGCGGCGAGACTGATGCTAAGAAGCTCGGCGGAGGTATCTTGACACCCGCAACGTTGGGCGATGAGTACCTGGAGAGGCTGAGGAAAGCCGGCGTCACGGTGGAAGTGAACATGATGTGATTTTCGAGATAAATTGGCTATGGCATACGTCTTTAGGTAAGAAAGAGGAGGAAGAGGCACCGGGAGTCGGATAGTTTTGTTGTTAGATGTCGAATCAATTGAATGTCGGAGACATGCAACATATCTTACAGGATTCACAGGGCATCTTTATGGGAATAATCTATGCACATCTATGTTGTGAAACCCAGACAGACCTCAACCAACAAATTCATGTCAGACGTAATCATTTAGAGTTTGGCTTTCAGCGTGCCGCCCGACTTCAACAGCTTTTCGACAGCCTCCACTCCCGCTTTCGAGACCTCCTCATCCTGCGCCGGAGTACCCGTACTGCAACCAATAGCGCCCAGCACCTCTCCCTTGGCGTCCTTGATGGGCACGCCTCCGCCCACAGTCATGAAGCGGCCACCGTTGGAGTGGTTTATACCATAAGCCGGGCCACCGGGCCAAACAGCCTCCTTGTACATGGAAGTGGGGACGCGGTGCCCGGAAGCCGTGAAGGCCTTGTCGATGGCGACATTGATCGAAGTCAACTTTGCGCCGTCCATGCGCGAGAAGTGGAGGAGGTGGGTGCCGGCATCCGTGATAGCTATGTTCATGGGGACGCCGATGTCGCGGGCTTTGGCTTCGCAGGCGCTTGCGGCGTGCTGCGCGGCGGCGAGGGTGAGGTTCGGGACGGAGCGTGTGACGGACATGTTTATATCTTGAGTGCTTGCGCGTCGTGAGAAGGGCGTGGCGTGTTATCCCTCTATCTTCCTGCGGTTGAGCTGTGAAGCTGGGAGCTGGGGAGCTGGGGAGCTAGGATAGCTTGAGGGCCCGAGGTCTCCGGTCGACCGTGAGGAGACACTTCTCCACAAAACACCTTACTATCACCACGAGCAAGTCTCAGGCCTTGTGGCTACGAGAGCAATCCATCACATTGTTTAGGGCGGTTGCTGAATAGACCTGTTGTTTAAAGCGCGCTAGATTATTTACATGGCAACGCAAAGCTATCTGTACTAACTACCCATTGACGATTGATTATACAAATCCAACGTCTTTCCCCCGGGACCAATCTTTTCATTTCTCGTTTATCCAGCGTATGATGCGCTCAAAGATGGCCTTACCATCCTGCTCCCTTTCCATTGCCTTCGACACACCATCTCGCCGCTCCGCTGTCAACTTTTCCGTATACTTCGGCGCATCCGCCAGAATTGACTGCGCCAGCTTCGCATTCATCTCCGGGTGACCCTGGAACGTCAAAATCCTATTGTCGGGCGACATGAAACTTTGATTGTCCTCGGTCAATGGCACGAATTCCGGGGCTGGGTCCACGATCTTTCGCCGATGGAACTGATGCATGTCCTGCTGCGGGTTAGCTTTTTGGGACAGCAAGAAGACATATCCGGCAAGAAAGAAACCGTCTTACCAGCTTTGATGCCTCTGCCGCAAAATCAAAAAAGGCCCCGCCTTGCGGCGTCAACTTGATCGTAGTCACACCCAGCTACAACATGGACGACGTGCAACCGTCAGCAACCACAAACAACGCAACACACGCCAACACCCGCCAGCCAAAACTCACCTCCGGCTCTTCCATGACGACCAGCCTCCCCCCAAGCGCGACATGAACCGCCTGATGGCCCCAACAAACCCCCACCAGCTTCACCGTCGACGCCGCCACCGTCGCCCGAATAAACTCAAACATCTTCAGCACCCACGGCTCCGGGGCATTGATATCGGCGGTGCCCCCGCTCAGCACAACCAGGTCGTAGTCGTCCGCGCGCGGGTACTCCTGCGCGTCGACGGGGTCGTAGAAGTCGATTTTGGCCGAGGGCGCCACGCCTAGGATTGTCGTGGTGAAGGAGTCTCGCGTGGATGGCTCGAAGGAGTATCTGCGGTATGTGTTTACCAACACCGCAATCTTCGGGGCTGAACTCTGCTTGTGAGGCATTGCGGAACAAAAAGCGTGTACGCTGGTCGCGGGTTTTGAGGGAGGACTAGTTTGTTAAAATGTAAAAGGGTTGAGTTTGTGGTCCTGCCGCTACATGTATGCTGGGCGCTTGTGACACCTTTATACACAATTCAGGGAAAACCACAAGTGGGCGGAAGTTTAGAGATACGCATCTCATTATCGAACTTCCCCAAACCCCCGCTGAGGAAAGTGCCAAGAGTGGGGTGCGAGATCGGCACCATATTGTGGCGTCCAACTCTAAACACATAGATGCTTTCTCTAGCGTCATGGCTGGATATACTCCTATGAATAGCGAGTGGCTAAGAGACCAACTGGACATTCATGTCATCCCACTTGACACATCAATCACATCTCATAGCATCCATCACCACCCCAACCAAGCCAAACACCAACCAATTCTCTCCAAGTAATAAGTCGTATTGCATTCATTTTAGTTTCCTCATTTTCTCGTCTCTGTGTAAGTGTAGCTGTATGAGAGCGTGTTTTCTGTATGCCATGCATGTTACTGTTATGCTCTGCAAGACAAAGCAAAGCAAAGCACACGCAACGCAGCGCAGCGGAGCGCAACGCCAAAGCAAAGAGCCAACAGACAAAACCACCAAACCAAGCAGACAGACAGACAGACAAACCCAAAGATGTCGAAAATGGCGTCGTGTGGTACGTAGCTATGCTATTCCCGACAGCAGCGAGCAGCAGCAGCAAGCATGCAGCAACACTATAAAAAATCGCAGCAAATTTTCTTACAAGAAGTGGTTTTTTGGAAAATGACAGGAGGTGAAGAAGAAAGAATCAGAATCAGAAGTGTGGTAAGAAGAACTTAAAAAAAAAACGCAGCAAAATGACTTTGATGGTGTGGGAACAAAAAGTCCGCCGGGGCTCCAGCTCGCAAAATAAAGCTCGCGCGCCGAAGCCATCGACACACCTTTTATGGGGCCGCCGCCGCCGCTCCGATGAGGTAGATTCAAATCACCAAAAAATCAACTCCGCTTTGCTCCGAGCGAAACCCCCAAGACCCAATCAGTGTACAAGCGAGTGAGGACAGCGTCGAGTCGTGAGAAAACACCATGAGAGATGATGCCGCAATGCGCCGCAGCCGTTGGACCGGCAACGACGCGTGCGGCGGAATTCGTAAGTATGCTAAAGCGCACACATGCTGGGAGTCTTGGTTGTGGAGAGGCGGGACAGCCAGTGTCCTTGCCCCCACGCCAAGGCGTCGTGTTGACCACTTCGACAAAGCGCTGATAGCCTGTGTCGCTGATGACGTCGGGCTATTGACGGTCATCCGGATACTGGACAGCTATGATCTTCAAGTAGCCCTTCATGCTTCTCGGCTGCCTGGGAGGGAGTGCCGGCGGCGCTACAAATCGGTCCTCTTTACCGCTGTCACACTGCGTTAGGCTCAAACGAATTCCAAGACATCGGCAAGGGATCTTAACTTACACGTCCACGGCGACCGCCTGCTGCAGCACCCTGCTGTTGTTGCTGAGGCTGCTGCTGACCCATCGGAGGCGAAGCAAAGCCCATCGGGGGGTATCCGTAAGGAGACTGCGTCTGCGGGAACCCCGCAACGCCCAACATCGGTTGACCGAAGCTTGCCTGCGGCATCATCGGGCTACCGGTCGGCAAGCCCAGCCCCGGAGCAGCCATCGCCGCACCACGGTACGGGTCGGCCGCACCGGGAGTCGTTGCCGGGAAGCCGTTCACACCAACGCCCATTCCACCGACGCCCATGCCGCCCAGTGCGGCGGGAGGGTAGCCAAAAGCACTGGGCTGGCGGCCTTGGGCAGCCAGCATCGCTTGCTGGTACTGAAGCTGTGCGAGGTTAGGGCTGGCAGTGCCATACGGCAAGAAAGCAGCGTTGGGCTGCTCGAAACCCTGAGAATCCATGCTGGCAGTACGCTGGAGGTCGAAAGGACCGACGCCAGGCGGAGCCTGGGGCATGCCAGGAGGGAAGAACGGCTGTCCACGGTTCAGCTCGGCCGCGGCAGCGGCGTTGGTGGCTTGCTGGTGCATGTTTTGGTTGTTGGACGCGTTGGCGTGCTTCGATCCCGGACGAGAGGCAGGCGACATGTCACGAGCGTGGTTATCACCGCCACGGCCGCCGCTGCGGGTGGACAAGCCAACCTCATCCATCAAACGCTTGTAGCCCTGAGCGGGCTGGGCCTTGATGCGGAGAAGGACGTTGCGCACGTTCTGGACAACGTCGGGGCGGAGCTTTTCATCGAAGAAGGGCGTGGTCAGAACCTTGAAGATCAAAGTTGCACCACAGGATTGATCGCTGAGGATCGCTTCCAGGACCTGGTCGTTGGGGGAGAAGAACAGCGCTTGAAGGATGGCGTCGCGAGCCTCAGGCTCGTTGCGCTGGTTGATGATCTTGAGAACCGTGAGGTAAGCAACCTTGTGCGTGCACAGGTGGACCAAGTGAGGAACGAGACGAGGAGCAAGCACCGTCCGGCGGCGGGGGAACGTGCAGGTGTCAAGGAACCAAGTCAGAAGCAGAGCGCCGTTGGCATTGGTAGCCAAGTGAACGCTGTGGAGCGCAATGGCAGCGGCAATCATGCGCTGCTGGTCCTTGGTAGCAAAGTGACTCTCCAAGCAGGCACGCATGGCACGCGCACCAAATCTGCCCTGAGCAAGGTCCCAAAGACGGCTGAGCATGACCTCGAAGATAAAGTTGTTAATGGGGTACTGGTAGCGCAAGCAACCTTGCATGACATAGTTGCCGAACTGGTCGAGGAACAGAGCCATGCCGTAAGGGCGCAGAGCGTCCACAACCATCTTCATCAGCACAGGGGTCCTGGCGACATCAATGATCTTCTGAGCAGCCCAAGTACCGTTCTTGTGCACACCAATCTCGGCGAGGTGAGGCGCAATTTCGTTCAACATGGCCTCCTTGACAGTCTCGGAGCAGTACTCGAAGAGCTTCTGCACAACCGTGTTGCCGAGGTAGTCAGAAGACAATTCGGCAACCTCGGGGAGCATGGCCAGAGCCACGTCTTCAATCTCGCCCTGAGTGCATGAGTTGTTGTCAATCCTCTTGCGGATCTCACGCAGACGGGGAGCATCGTGGACGCGGTTGTGCGAGGGCTCGGGAATGGGCGGGATCTCCGTGTGGTAGTCGTCGTTGTCAATTGCCTGCTCAACGTGCGCGGAGATACGCATAGCCTCCTCGTCGTTCGCACCGAGGTCCTTGACGATCTGGACAATGTCACCGCGGACCTCCGACAACACAGGTGTAGCGAGAGGAGCGGACGCAGCCTCGGCAGCAGCCTTGGCCTGGCGGTTGTTACCACCGCCGACAGCCTGAGAATCATTGCCTTGAATCTTCGAGTTGGGGTCAGGGCTGGGCGAAGGGTAGAGCCCATTGGCGCCAGGAGTACCAGCAGCGCTCGGAACCTTGGCGTAACCAATGCGGACGGGACCAGCGCCAGGGAAAATCTCCTTGCCGTTCAGTTGCTGCTTGGCGCGGACGGCGCTCTCGAGGTTCTCAAAGTTGACAAAACCGCAGTTCTTGTGCGTGAGGACGCGCGTAGATTCGATGGCACCAAAAACATTGAAGATGACGTTCAGCGAAGAAACAGTGGTCGAGGAGGGAATGTTGCCAAGCCACAGAGCTCGCGTAGGTCCTTCGATCGTGTTGTCCTCACCTTGAGTCTCAGGAATTGGCTTGCCATTGAGATTGAGGCCTTGGACAGCCTCGGTCAAGCCGCTGTACTCAGCCTCCTCGTTGAGTTGCTCGCCAGAGAGGCTGCTCTCTCCCAGTCTAGACGGGGTGGGAAGGTAGGAGCGGAGAAGACGAGTCGAAGGCGATTCAAGCACACCAGCAGTTCTAGCTCTCGGACGGTTCGCGCTGGCAAAGTTGGCGAAGGCCTGGACCTCAAGATTGTGCTGGCGAACGGCTTCATGGATGTTGGCGTAAGCAGCAGCGCTGGCCTCGGCAGTGGGAGTGAGGGTGCCGCTGTAGTGTCCACCATACGGGCCCATGTGGTCCAACTCTTCGTCCTCCTCGTCGGCATACTTTTCCTTGGCATTCACAGAGTACGAGCGGAACCGGTTCGCGCTTTTGTTGAGAGCAGCATAGCTGGCAGCAGCACGTTGGTTCTCCAGCATGAGCTCAATATCGGACGGGGCCAGAGTGGCGCGGGGCTGCTGAGGCGTGTCGACCAGGCCCAAATAGTCGAGCGTTCTGACGTCATTGTCAAGAGATTCGCGTGAGAATTGCGAGTGCGCAGGCGAAGATGGGGCATCGGATGATCTGATGCTGGCCAGAGTGCTGCTGCGTTCGCGAGTGCTACCCCAACCAGAAGAGAAAAGCGAAGACCCAAAGGGGTTCTGGTTGTTGGAGGAGCCAAAGCCAGCAGGGCGCTGTGGCATGGAGCCCGCCCGCAGGCGCGAAAGCATCGTGGGCGCCTTGGGGGCAGCCGAGCTGGTGTGCGCCGGGAAGTTGCTGCCAAGCTCCGTGGGCGTGTGCGATCCAGGCTTGAACGGGCTCGTTGAGGGGGTCGGGCGCGACGTCTGCGGCAGAAGGGAAGAAGAGCCTTGGTTCAGACCGTTGAAGACGCCGGCGGTCGAAAACCTGGAGGGCAGAGTACCGGCCCTGGTCCTCCGGGTGGATGTAGTCTGGATGGGTTGTTCGGTAGGCGCATTAAAGTCGGGGAAGCTGTCACCGTTGGGCGACTCGGGGATCGTCTCGCGTAGAGGGGTCGAGTTGCCGCTGGTCGGCGGGCCCCAGACTTGAGGGCTGAGGCCCTCTTGCGCTTGAATCTCCCTGGCGCTGGAATTCCGTTAGTTTCGTCTCGTCTCGTCTCTTTGCGGGGCGGCGCAACTCACCGTCGACCCAACAGCCTGCCGCTATAGTCATGAGAGGGGGACCCAGCTCCCATCCTGGTCGAGGCGACCGAGTTGCCGATGGTGCTCATGGCGCTGCCGCCGCCCATCTGGTACCTAGAGGTGTTGGCCGCAGTGGGCGGCTCGATGGGGGAGGTGGCGGCGGTCGAGGAACCGGAGCGAGATTGGCCGGGCGTGAGCTGCGGCAGGTAGTTGAGGTTGATGTGATGATCGGGCCTCTGCGATGGTGCCATTATGAATTATTCGGACGTGACCCCCTATCTCGTTGGCCGCGCGCGCTCAATTACCAAGGGCCAGGACAATGGCGAAAATTGTGCTGGCGAGCTTGCGAAGGAGCGTCGAGGCGGTGGCCGTTGGCGGAGGCGTCCAGAGGCGAGGGACAGGAAGTGAGGTGCAGTGTGCGGCAACTGTACAGGTCGCGCCCTATGCTCCGAGCTCTGCTGGCGTAGGGTGCCGCGGTGGCTGGGGGGTGGAGGAGCAGGCGAGGGACGATGAAGACAAGCCGGGGGTTGCAGGGTCCGCCAGCTGCCGTCAGGGTGAGCTCCAGCGGGAAGACAGCAGCGCGATCAAGGAGCGAGGATACAGGGGCGTGACGAGCGTTACGGGCGAATTATGCTACACCAATAGACAGGCCGGACGGAGGGAGGGGGGGCCTGGAGAAGGGACAAAGCGAATTACAACACCGCGCGGATTAGAGGGGAGGAAGAGTGTGTGTGAAGGAGTCGGGAGGTGGGAGAGGAGGGAGAAAGCGAGGGGAGTCGGGAAAGAAAAGACGAGGCCGGCAGGGTAAGTGTGGGTTGTGAGTGGGCGGGCGAGCTGGGCTGGAAGAGGGAGCGTGAGTGCCTGAGGATTGATTTCTCTGGCACACTGCGAGTGCGGGACGGCGATCAATCACGCAGCACGCACGCTGGCGGCAGTCACGGCAAAGGGCACCACTGGCGCCCACGGATTCTCTGCTGCTCTGATCCTCGCAGATCGAGCAGAGGACAGTTGGCTGGAGAGTCTGCGACTCTGCCTTTTTGACACCTGAAACACCCCATGGCCCCTGGCCCTGGCGCCGCAACGCCGCCGCCAAAACGAAGCGCGTGCCCAGCCGAGGCCCCTGTCGCCCACCCGCCCGCGACCCGCAACCTAGGTACTACTTGTCGTCAACCATCATCACCGTTAACCGTCAAGGTGTCATTGGAACCGTTAGGTACTCATACTCATCAATCATCAATCATCTCCATCCTGCCCCTACCCCTCATACATCACCCCGCCGCAAACCCCTCAAACGCCGGCACATCATACGTGCCCTCCGGATCCTTGCCCTGCTCCAAAATATACGCCTTCGTCTTACTGATGCGATGCTTGACATCCGCTGCCTTGTCCACCAAATCCACCCTCACTGCCTCGTTATGTAGAGACGCGCCCTCGAGCGCCCGCAGCGCGACGTCATACCGACTGACCCCATTCACGAGCATCATGTCGAAGGGCGTCGTCGTTGAGCCCTCCTCGCGGTACGACGCGATGCTGATGCGGCTGAGCTGGTTGCGCCCGAACAGCAGCCCCGCCAGCTCATTGCGGTATCCGTGGTAGTTGAAGTGGATTGGCTTGTCGGACGTGAAAAGCGAGTTGAAGCTTTGGTCTGAGAGACTGTGCGGATGCATTCCGTCCAATGACAGCACCATCAGATCTGTCACGTTGACTACGCGCACACGTAGCGCCGGGACCAGCTCCCGCAACAGCTCGGCCGCCTTGACCACTTCGAACGTCAGTTCGGCGCCGATGCCAACTATCACGACGTCTGGGTCGCGACCACCGTCCGTGCTGGCAAATTTCCAGACACCAGCTCCGGCGCGGCAATGGGCGTCTGCTTCCTCCACGGAAAGGAAAACTGGGGATGGCTGCTTTGATCCGACCATGAGGTTGATGTAGTTCTTGGAGCGAAGGCAGTGAGCAAGAGTAGAAAGGAAGCAGTTCGCATCTGGGGGCAGGTAGACGCGTGCAGCATCGGGCTTGAGGTTTAAGACGGCACCGATGAAAGAGGGGTTCTGGTGAGAGAAGCCGTTGTGCTCCTGGCGCGTCCAAGTCGAAGTCTCAATGTAGTTCAGAGAGCCAATGTCTCCACGCCAGGAGACTTCCTTGGCCCTGTGGCACTGTCAGTTTTTTGCGCAACAAATATATGAAAAAACATTCTTACATCTTGCCAAACTTCGCATACTGAACCATCATTGTGTGGATGATGCCTGCATTTTGTCAGTGGGTGCAGACACAAGACACATCGGAATGTATACCTAAGAAACTTTCGTAAGACGGGAACAATGCAACACGTCCAGTCAACGTGTAGCCCTGCATAAATCCCTGGCAGCAATGCTCAGACAGGATCTCAATGACACGGCCACCTTGGAATCGAGAAAATTCGTCCCATTGGAAGTTCCTCCCAGTGTGGTTGAAGACTGCGTCCAGTTTGTTGCTGACCAGCTCATCAGGAGAGAATATTCGCATAGATTTGGGATTGTCGACAAGAGCTTGATCTAGTAGGTCTCCAATGGTTTTCATGGAGCTCGCCTCCCCGCCTTTCTTGGCCCCAAACGGCTTCCAGTCCGGCACTTTGATACCAACGTATGGGTCATATGTTTCCTTGACCTGGCCGAGTTTTTTGTGGTGATTCTCGGGGATCATCTTCAACACTGAGTCCTTGGGAGTACCATCGCCATTGAACAACTCCTTGGGACCATAGCTCTCGAGCCATTCCTGCAGCTGCTTGAGCTGGCCGTTGTCGCTCTTTGCCTTCATAAGGGGGACCTGATGAGCATGGAAGGAGCCTTCGATGAACTCTCCATCAACCTTCTTTGGACCACTCCAGCCCTTTGGAGTTCTCAAAATCAGGACGGGCCAACGAGGCTTTTGGAGGGGCTTTCCGGAGCGGGCGCACTGCTGGATCTGCTTAATCTCAGCCAAAGCCCACTCCATCGACCTGCCTAAGTCTGCATCAATGTCGTTCAGATCCTCTACGAAGCGGGACTGGTAGCCGTAGCCTGTGAATAGCGCCGCAAGTTCCTTGTTATCCATACAACCGTAAATGGTGCGCTCCGAGATCTTGAAGCCATTGACGTGCACGATGGGAAGGACGGCGCCTGATTCGGCAGGGTCAATGTACTTGTAGGCATGCCACGCAGTGGCAGTCGGACCACTCTCGGCCTCGCCATCGCCGACAATGCACGTTACGATAAGGTCTGGCTTGTCCATGACTGCACCGAAGGAGACAGCAAGAGCATAGCCAAGCTCACCGCCTTCGTGGATAGCGCCTGGAGTTTCGGCATTAATGTGACTAGGAGGACCGCCGGTGACTGAAAACTTGGTGATTAAGTTGTGTAGGCCTTGCTTGTTACGGCTGTATTGGGGAAAGAACTTCTCCATGGATCCCTCGAGCCACAGGGAGGCCAGCAAAGCGGGGGCACCATGGCCGGGTCCGACGACGTAAATCATGTCCAAGTCATGTTTCCTGATAAGATAGTTCAAGTGCGAATATACGAGAATCAAACCAGGGCATGTGCCCCAATGACCCAACAAGCGCGGCTTGATGTCGTCAAAGGTAAGATCACGTTCCAGAAGAACATTGTCCTTGAGGAAAATCATGGCTATTGCAGATGTTAGCCGGATTCTGAACCGTGATACACAGGCATGTCATGTCCCAATTATTGCGGCGATAAAACGGTGCTAAGACCTCCAGTGAGCCATTTAAGGGATGATCTCCCCAAGGGTGGCTGCAGAACGCCGTCGCGGACCAGTGCTTTTTTCGACTTCATCTATACAAAAGAAACGTTACTCACCAGCTGCAATGTAGCAGGCAGCCTTGCGAAATGCAGAGAACTGCGCATTGTGATCCTCGGGCAGTGTTTCCTTGCCCAGCTTGACGGCGAGGGCGTCGAAGACATCGTCGGGGACGTGGGAGGGCAGCGGCTGAGGGTTGGGACGATCAATGACTTCCCCAGCCATCTTCAAGTTGGATATGGGTTTCGGTCAAGAATGAAGGAGGAGGGCGGCTGAGGAGAAGAGGGGGACATATTAAAGTTGAAGACAGGCTGCGGTGACAGGAGTATGACGGAATGCACCTGTCGTGTCCGGAGAAGGAGAGTGAGAACCACACCACCTCACGCTTGCGACATCTCCACGCCTCCGCAATATCCACGACGACATGCACACACCAGGACACCAAGACACCAAATCTAGCCGCAGGGCTGCTCCCGCCCTCCCCGTGACGTCAGCTTGGCAGTGGCTGCCGAAGGTGCCGATCGCCGATGGGGGCAGAGTAAGCCGTCCCTAAACAACCATCGCCGACGGCAGCGGTGGGGTGATGAATGGGCATTGCTGCTTCAGGCACGGAGAGCGTTGCGGGTGAATATAAGAAGGCCTTGATTCAACCGCTCGACTTCTGTTCCCTTCAACTCCTCTGTTCGTTGCAAGCCGGCTTCGTGCATCTGCTGCCCCACTGCGGTTAGAACCACCACCTGAGTCTGACGCCAGGGGACTCACTCCGGGACCTAGCGCGTGCCTCGGCTTGGAAGAGGTATCGCTGAGAACATCTCAAAAGCACCCCTCTGTTCGTCCAATTTACCCCATCACCAATCCCCAACCATGCCCAAAATCATTCTCTCTATAAATGCTGGCTCGTCGTCCGTTAAGGTCTCGGTCTATGCTACAAACGGCAAGGCCGAGGATCCTACCGAACTCGCCGAAGCCTCCATCTCCGGCTTGACTGCACCACCTGCAAAACTCAAGTACAAGCGTGGCGACTACAGCATCAAGGACAAAGAACTTGAAGACATTGACTACCAGGAGGGTGCCTTCAGGTATATCATCAGCCAGTTGCTGGAAGACGAAGGTCTCCCAGAGCTGGGCCATAAGGATGACATTAGCTTTGCGTGCCATCGTGTCGTCCATGGCGGAGATTATCCTCACGCTCAGGTCATTGACGTAGACACCTACCACCACATCGAAACACTCTCGGACTTGGCCCCACTGTAAGTATTTATCTCTTTCTTTCTACAACTTCAGCGAACTATTATTTCAGACAATGAAGCATCAGTTCATCTTCGTAAAGACATTTCGCTTTTTCATTCTTCAATATATCTTCATATCAAAAAATTTATCTCATCTGATCCTTCTTATTATTTTCACAAAAGTAATGAAAAGAGCTCACGTTGACTTCCCCTTAGTCACAATGCCGGTGCCCTTACTATCGTTCGTGCCGTAAGCAAGGAGCTCCCCAACACCACCAACATAGCCTACTTTGACTCTTCCTTCCACACCACCATCCCCGAGGTAAGTCTCACAGTGTCAACACAAGCCTTATCCCCCGCCTAACAGCCCACCTCAGCACGTCCGCACCTACCCCATCGACCAAAAGATAGCCAGCCACAACAAGCTCCGCAAATACGGCTTCCACGGGATCTCATACGCGTTCATCGTCAAAGCCGTAGCGCAGCACCTAGGCAAGCCGCTAGACGCCCTCAACATCATCGCGCTGCACCTGGGCTCTGGCGCATCGGCGTGTGTCATTAAGAACGGCCAATCCTGGGACACGACGATGGGGCTGACGCCGCTGGCAGGGCTGCCCGGCGCGACGCGCAGCGGCAGCATCGACCCGTCGCTCGTGTTCCACTACACGCACGAGGCGGGCATGCCGTCGCGCAGCAGCACCAAGGAAATGCACATTACGCAGGCGGAAGAGATCCTGAACAAGCAGTCGGGCTGGTCCGCGCTGGCAGGGACGACGGACTTTGGCCAGATCTCGGCGTCCGATGACCCGCGGTGCAAGCTTGCGTTTGAGATCTTCGCTGACCGTATTCTCGGCTACGTCGGGAGCTACTACCTCAAGCTGGAGGGCGAGGTCGACGCGCTCGTCTTTGCTGGCGGCATCGGCGAGAAGGGCGCCAGGCTGCGCGAGCGCGTCGTCGCTGGTGCCAAGTGTCTGGGGTTTGAGATCGACCGCGAGAGGAACGAGAAGGCGGGGGAGGCGGAGGCTAAGGTCACTGATGTCGGCGCTGAGGCCTCGAAGCACAGAGTCTTGGTTTGTCGCACGGATGAGCAGCTGGAGATGGCCAGGGGCTGTGTGGCCGAGGCGGATACGTTTCTGAGTAAGAGCGCGGAGGCGCAGTCGTGACGTGATGGTGAGGTGAGGTACGGCTTTTTACGCTCTCTTTTATGATGGAATGAGTGTGTGAACTATACGCATTTTCCTAAAGTAACCAAGTGCCAACAATATTGCGCGTGGGAGGAAGTAATATAAACATGCAGGTAGACACGGCTTTTTCGTGTGTACCAAACCTAACCTAACGCCATCTCTCTGGGTTTCAGTGTATATAGGAGCATAACTAATACACGTCAGCCCACCTACAAATTACAGCATGCATCAACTAGGTGGCCAAGGTATAAGGTATGCTCGTACCCTCGTTTCCCATTCGCATCACTCAGTGCCAGCTATCTAAATACTAAAACAATAACGACGATGACGAAAACGACAAAGAGCAGCTAGGTAATTAAGTAGCTAGCTCTAAGCCCGTTCCGCCCCGTCCCATTCAGTTCGGTTCACTTAATCCCCCTTTTTTGCTCACTGCACCTCACTGCTTTCCACACACTGCTTTCCACCCATCCCATCCCACCCATCCCATCCCACCCTCTACCATAACAACCCCACTTGTTCGCGAGTCATCTCTCTCCACCACTTCATCACTGCACGCTCCAACCCGCAACGATGACGATAACGTCAAGCCAAAAATACCCTCAGCAGCAGCAGCAGCAACAGCAGTAGCAGGAACAGCACTATCAAAAAAGCAAAACTAGGGGAAAGACATCGGCAAGAAAAATAGAGAAAAGAGACAAAAGACAACCAGCCAGCCAGCACCTCCCGTCCAGGCTCTGACGCAATCAAACCAAATCAAAAGACCGAAACGAATAAAAAGAAAGGAAGAAAGGCAGGATGCAAACCAAGAGCAACAAAAAACAAGGAGAAGGGGTATGATGAGGGAGGAAGGATGTGCCAGAGGCACACGCGGGGTCGTCTACGACTCGGAGGGCATAGCTTGGATGTTCTGGATCTCGGCCTTGGCCTCCTCCCACGACGCCTGGTTCTTTTTGGCCCAGTCAATGTGGCACTTTGCAAAGGCGATCTACAAACAAACAAAACTCGTCAGCTGGCCTGTCCTCTTTCGAGTGGATAAAGCTTCCTTACCATATACCGCCTGAGGTCGTCTTCCTTCTCGCCCTGGAAGCGCTTGAGGTCTCGGAGCACACCGACGCTGGCATCCTTAACGTCCTTGTCCGCGACGCCGAGCGCTTGTTCGAGCTGTTTGTAGGTCTTGCGTCAGCCATCTCTCTTCTTTATGCTCTCGTCCAGACCACACTTACCTGAGACAAGCTCTCCCTCGTCTTGCCAATTTGGTCTCGCCTCGTCCTCTCCGGATCAACGTCCACAATGCCGTGGATGGCGTGATTGATGCGGCCGAAGATCTTGTTGGTGACAAAATTGCCGCTGGCAGTCTTCTTGTGGTGGTTGCTTGGCGACGACGGCTGGCTAGAGGGCTGGGGCTCGCCCTGAGGCGCCGAGGGCGGCTCACCGCCGTGCGTGGGCGGAAAGTCCGAGTCGAACGATGCCCGATCCTCCTCTTGCCGCGCCCTGTCGGAGTCGCTCCGCTGGGATGAAGTGGAAAGCGATCGTCTAGGTGCACCTGGCGGCACTCCAGTCCCGCTCTGGTTAAGGTACTGCTCTATCCGCTGCGCCTCGGCTTCGCTCCGTTCAAGCGATTCCAATAGAGTCCGCTTCTTTTGCAACTCATCCTTTGTCATCTCTTCCTGCACGCGCTTCAGAATGCGGTAACGCAGAACGTCGCGAACGATACCAGCAAACTGAGCGCTCTCTCGCATTGGTTCCGCAAAGCCAGCACTCAACGAGGAAGACAACTCTGCGGTCTGGATGTAGGTCGAGTCTACGGCCTGGCCCATCTTCTCAATGGCCTGGGAAAGCGTGCGTGACTGCTCGTTCAACGCAAAGGCATTGTATCTTGCGCCCAATTCTGCCAAGTCGTCGCCCCAAGAATTGAGATGAGCAAGCGTGCGACGGTTGACCTTCTCCATGCTTCCCTGTAACAACGCTTCCAACTCCTTTGACGAGGCCTCAAAGTTGACAAAATACGGATCTAACTCCTCCTCGGACAGATTCTGAGAATTCGGTGGGAAACGTCCAAAGACTTGCGGTCCGGGTATCGTATGCGCGGCAACCGAAGGCTGAGCAGCATTGCTAGGCGGCGACGTGGGTGTGCCGCTCGAGGACTGGTTGGCGGCCTTGAGCTTTGCAGATGCAGCAGGAATCGGGAGATATTTGTGTCCAGACGTCGGGTTCGCGGCGTCGAGCGGTGGAGCTCGAAGCTTGTTGGACGGTAGAGATGCGGCGGGGTGGGAGAGAAGAACCTCACTCTGTGCGATACAATTTGCGTTAGCAAGGAATGCTCTTCTTCTTATCTCGGATCTTAAGGCACTAACCCAGCTGGCGTTGGGATCCAGGAATCTCCACCACACACCATCCTCCCGGACTTCTTGCATTCTCCGACAACGGTTGAGGAAGACGGCCAACATGCGCTTGCGGAGCTCTATGATGCCGGCATCTTCCTTCGCCTTCATTGGTTTTGCCACATAGTCTGCAGTGGTATGCTTTTCAGGAATTGGCGGAATGATGAGCGTCGGGTGGAGGTTGACAAGGGTCTGGCGCAGAGATGCGAATTCGGAGTACCGACGCTTGACTTCGAGGTCCTGACGAGAAGGTTCAGCAACTTGTTCACATAAGTGGGGAATGTACGCATACGCCAGTCCTGATCGTGTAGGCGATGTATTTGCCGCCCTCAGTATTCTTCCCGGCATGCGTGATGATGATGGGAAGGTCTGGGTTCTCGTAGAGTATTTGCTCTATCCGGCTGTCGTAGCCTCCCTTCTTGGGCTCGACCCTGCGTCCCAGCGGACGCTCATCATCATACTCGACGTCGCTAAGGTCTCTTTGGTGGTTGATATATTCGGGCGAGTTGAAGGGCGGGGATGACGCTTCCGATGGCGGGGTCATGGGACGGACTGGGGACTCTGTCAGCTACACCATGATCCCAATCGTTCCGGGCCATTATCTGGTCTTACAGCCGCCAGGCGAGCCGAGGTGGCCGGGGTTGGACAGCGAGGAATCATGGCGCTCAAACGAGCCGTACGGGTTGTTGTCTTCGTCGTCCCACATGGCGAAAGCGCGCGGGGCAGAGGGCAGGTAGTCAGAAAGATGGCGAAAGCGACGGCAGTGAGGTCGTGTAGCAGAGTGGTGGCGGACAGGCGGCAGCGGAGAGCTGTGGTTGTGTGGAGTTGGTCGTGTAGATCCAAGTGAAGCTCGCACCTTGGGAATGGGGCTGGTAGGTAGACGAAGCGAGTGACGTTTGGGCGCGCAGTCCTGCCAGGCTAGCGCTGCAACACCACCGCCAACCTCTCACGATACTTGGCAGAGAGCCGGATTTGGCTTCAGTGTGTTCGAGCTTTCTTCTAAGGCGTTTGCGAACCCGTGGCACTTCTCAGCCTCATGCTTGGCGGCTTGTCTTTCCGTCGTGCGATCGCCATGATGCATAATCCTACCGTGAGCTCGGTCCTCGTCACAACCCCAGACCTCCATCGCTGTCCCCGCGTCTACGAACCTCCGTAAATGGCAACCCTTTATCGTGTTGCGTCGCACGGCTTTCATGCAGGAACCCCGGCAATCGTCAAGAACGCCTTCCAATACCTGGCGACTGCCTCTGATCACGACATACGATGCCATGGCCGAAAACGGTAGGCCATAACCGCTTCTTCCGAGGTCAACTCTACCACCCTGCCACTCTGCTACTTTTGTTCGGCTTACCCTCGTTTAATAGTGAAGCCCAATGTATGCAATACGCCCACAGCATAGGTACTCTCCACTATTAATTCAAAAGCAGAGTGCTGCCTTGGATAGTACGCTCATGCAGGGCTGACCACGGATTCGATAAGCGGAGTGACCAACTACAAGCATACATGCGTGTGAGAATTCAGTGCAATCAAAGCCAAGAAACGTCGGTGACAGGCCAAAGCACGTACACGCTCAGGTCCAATGAAACCTAAAGCAAAATAAAAGACCATGTATAAGGAATACTTCGGGCAATATAGGACGTATTTCAAAGCAGATGCTAAACCCATTTTATTAGCAGAAACCCTGACCTGATGCATGATGACTGCTAGTAAATATGAACATATGCCACTATCAAGAGCATTATCATCTCTACCGTATTTTCCTCCGGTCGTTGATGGTGTTTTTGTTTCGGCGAGCGTAAGGACACGAACAACCTCGAACGTGCAGTTCACCCTGTGACATACGACAGTATCTTGTTGGGCGAATCCGAAACCGTCAAGAAGAATCCATTGGTATGCTATGCCAGGTTGGGTCAGCAGACTAGAAAAACGCCAGCTTTTCTCCCAACCGCAATCTTGACGTGCAAGACGATTAGGCGTGCAAAGTGCACGAAGTCCGCTGCGATCCTCCTGTCGCCATGACCTTGCTGCACAAAATCCGTTTTCGCCCGCATCCCCGTCATCCGCGATCCGCTTATTTCTTGTCCTTCTTGCCGCCCTTGTTCTTGGCGGTACCCCGGAACTCCTTCGACCTGTTCTTGCGCTGCTTGCCTGTACGTCGAGTTCCGTCAGCATTCCGTCATGCTCGCCGGCGGCGAATCCGTCTGCATCCCGCGCGCACGCGTTCTGGGTGTACGTACGCTGCTGCCTGCTGGCCTTCTCGATCTTGTTGGCCATGCCGACACGGACCAGCCTGTAGTGAGGCTCGAACTTCTTCATCGCCTCGTTGGAGTCGTAGAGCAGGGCGAAGCCGGTGCTCTTGCCACCACCGTACTGGGTGCGGAAACCGAAGCAGGAGACGGAGTCCTTGTTGATCTTGTAGAGCGAGGCAAGCTTGTCGCGGAGCTCATCCTTGGAGACGTTGGCACGGCCGGGGTGGAGGACATCGCTGTGGCCGTCATTAGACTCGTCGCCTTGAAAACCGTGGCCAAGGTGCGAGCTGCACTTACACAACCATCTGCTTGCGGCCAAGCAGGGGGTTACGGATGAACTTGCGCGTGCGCAGAGTAACTTGCGAGTCGGCCATCTTGACTGAGGATCGGGGGATAGGTCGTCGGTGTCGTCGCAGCAAAGACTTTCAAGATGGGAGACGGAAAAGCGATATCGTGGTGGGCGCTAGCGACTCGCTAATCTCAAGAGAGCTTAGTGGCTGCAGCACTGGCTCGCGGGAACGTGAAAAAACCGCGTAAGTCATGTAACGTTTTCGCTGACTGCATAAACATCGTCTGCACGACTCAACGGGGCTGATATTCCCAGAAATTGCTCAAGTATGCCACACCCACGTCGATAATTGATGATCTGTGATATTCGTTCTACGCTCGCTCACACACCTGCTATATAAAATTTTAGGGTAGGCGTTAATTGTGGGCAAGATGAAGTGGATGATCTACATTTAGCGATCCCCGCCACGAAACTACAGTAGATTATTAAGACATGCCAGTACGGTATTTGAGCCGCGAAACATCTCAGATCTTGAAATTTTCGAGCGCTAATGGAGCCGAAGACAGGCGCGCGAACTTCAACACCTTGACGCTTCCCTACACTAATCGAGCTGCTCGAGGATATCACGACACACTGCATACAGGATGAGCTTCTCCGCGGAAGAGAGGGAATTTTTGGAGATTTTTCGCCGACAGTACTTCCAGTTACTAGAACCGAGTCAACTACAATGGCCCAACGCCGATTTCTTGAAGCAGCCTCACGTTCAGACCTGGCTCTTCCAAGAAATGTTTGACCGGGATTCCATCCAGTACTCACCGCCGGTGAGATATCATGTGCGGGTGCTCAAACAACTCGTGGCAAAGATAGAGGATGCCATCGACAATCCCGAGGAGGATGTATGCATCTCCCCATTTCCCTAAGTCTAAAGCGGCATTATTTCCTTCTTCGTCCTTCCAGTCAACAAAATCACTTTTCACGTAGATAAAGCTTCGAGTCCCGTAAGTACTAATTCATGTACCTTTTCCCGTCGCGCAGGAGATATCCGACGACCTCATGTCTTCTTTGTCACTACTTCTGGCATCCAAGCTTCCTTCAGAGTCCGAGTCTGCTCAAGCGAAAGCATACGTAACCTACAGCTTCGATGGCGAGCGAGCAGTGACGTTGCTTGAGTCTCGTTCGGTGATCTCGTCCTCCGGAACCACCGGGCTTCGCACATGGGAAGCCGCTTTGCATCTTGGCGCTTATCTCGCGACAGACGCCGGAAGCGCCTTGGTCCGGGGGAAGAGGATCCTCGAACTTGGCGCTGGGACAGGGCTTCTGTCGATTCTCTGCACGAAGCATCTGCAGGCACTGCACGCCACGGCCACCGATGGCGATGAGGGAGTTGTGGATGCCATCAAGTCCAACGTATTCCTCAATGGTCTGGACCGATTTGCCAGCACAGACTCCATCGTTCTCAGATGGGGCGCGAATCTCAATGGAAGCTTCTACGACGATGAGACAACAGAGGGACAGTATGACGTTGTCCTTGGAGCAGACGTCGTAAGCTTAACCAGGAGCGGTCTGACCGGTGAAAAAGTTCTAATGTAGGGCTGCGCAGACTTACGACAAATCGGTTATCCCAGCACTCGTCTCCACCCTAGCTGAGCTGTTCCAGCATCAGCCTGCCCTGAAGGTTCTCATTGCGGCAACCATTCGTAATGCGCAGACCTTTGAGGCATTTACTGTGGCTTGCCGTCCGTCTACCCCGCATGACTCACCCTGTCAAACTCCACCTTTTTCCCGTTCCTGTTCCTGATCATTCGCTGATCCACGTCCCAGGGCGCAACAAGCTTAGTTTCGAAGACGTTGGCGCTGCACCGCCTCACGACGGCAGGCAGACTGGGCCGTTCTACCCAACGTCAACACCTATTCGTATCATCAACGTCACCAAGGCGGGCGAATACGACCCCTTTGCTCTGCAATGACGCGGAGACGCTCGGTAGAGCGCGAGTAGCCTGAGGTGGTTGTTGACGCACGCTACGCGGCCACGATGCTCTGCTGACGGCGAATTGGTTTCGCCGTGCACGACAAGCGACGGTCCGGATTGCGTTCCCTCGGCTCCGCACGGCGAAAATAGACTGATGACAGCCGACGGGCGGTGTCAACATGGTGGCCAGTGAGCGCGAGAGTCAAGACTCAAACCTGCATTGAACCCTTTATGATGATATGCCAGCAGGGCGCCAGCATCGAGCCAGCACAGGGCATGAATTGTTCATGGTGCATGGTACCCCGCAAGCTTCATGGCGCGGCTCGCGGCGGCCCCTGACAGCGTGAAACCCCATCGTCAGAGGCTCCGGCCGTACCCACAGCTGAATGTTCTCGACCATACGCACTGGCAGTAGGCTTCAGCGGCTGCGGCTTCCGGTTGGGCAGCCTTGGACGTCGGCTAAAGCGCTGGGATCGTGGGATCCTGCGGGGCGCGGCGGGAATAGCGGTGGTAGCGGCGGCTCTCATCCACGTGTGCTTGCAGCCTGTCGTTTAGGTAATGTGGAAGAGCGTCGCGGAGGGCCGGATACGCGGAGGTGGCAGCTGTCAAAAGGGCCTGGCCAAGGTACCGTGGTGTCGAGGGGCCTATCAGAAATTTTGTACGCATTGGACCGAAACCCCACCGGGTGATCCGGCCTGGGCGTGATTCGCGATGGGCGCGCCAGGCGGCAGCGCATGCGCGTCGCGTCGAGCGAAAGGGGCAGCGCGGCGGGCCAACCGAGGCAAGTATGCCACGGGGGAGGTTTGCCGGATCGCTGCGAGTGAAGAAAGCCCGGTGTGAGGTGTGGAGAAGCCAGGGCGCAGGAGGCGTGGGGTGACTGTTTGGATCTGAGACGGGCGGCCTTCGGGCACTCGGCGGGATGATGTGCTTTGACGATGAATCGTTCTCGACCTTTCACTCCTCCCACGGGAATGGTGTATAACTATTAGCCCCCCGCCGACCCTTCATATCGCTTTTTTTTTTTTCACCTATCTCCAACCCACCGCTGCGAACAGTCATCCGTCCATCCATCCATCCATCCATCCAGCCATCCTTCGCCTCTCCCACCAACCTACTTATCAAGCCGCTGCTAGCCGAGAGCCCGCCCACTCTTTAGCGTGAATCGCCAGCAAAGCTCGTTGTAAGCCTTGCCCTGCCCTTCCTGCCAGACGCCCGGGGCGCATCGTGTTCGGGTGCTAACCCGGTCGCAGCCAGCGTCATTATCTTCGACGATAAGCACGCAACAAGAGAGACAAAGCACCTGTCTCTTGCTGTGTTACCCGCCTGGTCCCCTGTCATTCCGGCTGTCGTGCTCTGTGACTGTTGCGGATACGTTGACGGCGCACGCGACACTCCGTGCTTGCTCCGTGTCGATAGTCCTCTGCTGCTATCTATAAGCCTCACACACCGCCCCTACAATGGCGACCGCATATCACGCCCGCACTCCTTCGCATTCCAAGAGGGCTCGTCCATCCCGCCCGGGCTTGCCGAAACGCAACTCATCGTATAGCAAGAGTCAATTGCTTGGAGCCCCGCGCAAGGAAGAGGAAGAAGACGACGCCATGGCCGCCAGCTTCCTGAACTACTGGTGAGTTTACTCTCTTTCTCTCATGTATCCGAATGCGCGACTCACATCAGCCTAGCACCGTTTGCGAGAAGCAAATCATCACTCCCAACAACTCAATCCTGTACTGCTCTGAAAGGTAAGCTTACTACTGCGATCCGCGTCTCCACACATTGCGCTAACGCGTTGATCATCCAGCTGCCGGAAGAAGGACCACACCAAGCCTATCAGCTTGGACTACTACTCTCCCCCTCAAACGCCCTACACCCAATGCTCCTTCGACGAGCTTGTTTCCCACCCTATCCTCTCTCCCCGCTCGCCGACTTCGCTTCCCTCGAAGCGTTTGTCGTATGGCTTCTCCGAGGTTTCTGATGACGAGGCCGACTGGGTCGACGAGAAGCCCAAGGTGTCGGAGGCCACCCGGTACCTGCGCGCTTCGGCCGACACCACCTCTAAGAGGAGGCCAAGCTACAAGAGGTCGACTTCGTCAACGCCCGTTCCCCCCAACAACCGCACGCCGTCACTATCGCATTCGCCGGGCAGCACGGCCAGCGTGTCGGTCCCCTTCACCCCCAACAGCCGGCCCCTTCCTTCGCGCACCAACCCCAACTACAGCAAGCGCTCGGTCGACCTGGTCAACCCCTTCGCCGTCCAGCCAATCACCGCTCCCTCGAGCTTCTCGCAATTCTACTCGCTCAAGAGCATGCCCAGCTGCCAGACGTCAACAGGCATCGCCGAGGGCGAGATGCAGATGTACAAGCGGACGTCGCTCCCCTCGCCGGGCCAGGGTAGCCTGAAGGAGCTCTTCGCCTTTAGCGCCATGCAGGCACCACCGACCAGCACTGCATCGACAATGCGCCCCGGGTGGTAACGGTGTCGTCCGTCCCGTTGTCCGTCACATGTGTGACGGAGAAGGGGGGAAAGAAATCGGCATGAAACCGGGTTCCTGGTACGACGAGAGCATAACACAGTGCGCGGGTGGGGCGCGGCATCGGGTATCGTCCGCTCGCGGCACCGCCGTGGTGGTACGAACGCCTGTCGGCCTCCACATGTCTCATCTCATTTCATTTCGTTTCGTTTCGGGAGTCATGACGACAAAAGAAAAGTTTTTGGATTTCTTGATTTTTTATTCTGTAACAAGGGATTATGGGAGGGGAAGCCTGTTTCCCCTGGCCATACATCACATCACATCACATCGCGATGGCGTTTTTTCACACTTGACCCAATTTTTATAGAATTTGCGGTGGATTGGGTCCCGCTAGGGAGGGATATTACTACTACTACACTACACTAGGTACTACTACTCACGTATTGGGCGCACGCAGACAGCGCAGCTTCCGGTCGCTGGGCGCTGGGCTGCTTTGGAGGGATTTATTTGGGAAATGGTTACGACATCATCAACATCATACATAATAGTAACGACCGAACTGTGGAAAATGGAAAAAAACCATGCAAGGACGATAAAAGTCTCTTGCTTTTTACTATCACTTTTCTTCGATATATTAATGATCGGTGATTATTGACGACTCGTAGTGTTTTGGCAGGGTGTGAGGTAGTCTGAGATATACAACAACACTGACCAGACAACGACACGACAGGCGGGGGCAGGCGATGACAGCGGTGTAAGAGGAGAAGCAAAGACAGCAGGAGGAGGAGGAGGAGGAGGATCAACAACCGCGGCACCAGGCCACCAGCAGCGGTATCACGAGCATCATGAGTTGCAGGAGGGGAAATCTCTCAAATCAGAGACACGCAGGTACCCAGCCGCATGGAAGGATAGTGGATGGTGATGGGCAGCGGCGAGACGGGCAGGGGGCCCACCGACGACGCATCGCCGCGCACGCCCACGCTTTCTTACCCCTCCCCTCCACTATGTTATGTGCGCGTACTCCACCGGGACCCCCCCCCTCCCCTCATCTGTCTGCGGCAGACGCCAGACTGCAGGATGCACGCCGTTCATCATGGTGCCCACTTGCCATGCGCCGTGCGTGCGAGCGTGGACTGGCGGCTTGCTTGCTTGCTTGCTCCACCTCCACACCTGCCCACGCGTCTGCATTGCGCTGCATTGAGCTGCACAGCGCGGCTGTTGGCCGTGCTTGCGTATTGTAGGTTGGGCCTGACTAACTGACTTACAGCTGGTGGATGGGTACGCGTGTATTGTAAATGCAGATGTGGGTGAGGGCGTGGGTGGGAGGTCTGCGATCGTGGTATGCCTTGGCTTGCCTTGGCTTGCCTTGTCGGTGCCGCGCGTACGTACATATAGGTAGGTATGCTGGACCCGGGCAGCGGGCAGCTTGCAGCGGAGTGCGGGCAGCGGGCAGCGGGCGGGAGGCGCCGCTCGTCTCCACTCGCTTGCTTTCCATGCTGCTGGAATGCTGCTGCTGCTGCTGCTGCTGCAGACCTCGCTCACACCGTGGGGGAGGGGGAGTATGTGTGTATGTACGTGCGTGTAGATAAATGTATCTACCTATATACATGGACGTGAGCGTGTACGTGTGGCCGCGTGGGTGGATGGACGGGTGTGGTTGGTATATCTCCGGCTGCAGCTGTATGTGTGCTTCATCACGTACATACAGGACCGTACATACATAGTACATGCAGATGCAAACCTGTCTACCTAGGTACCTACATGTCCATACGCCAATTCATCCATCCATTCACCCACCTCACCCAGCCAGACGGACCTAGGACTTACCGTATACAACCACCACCACTCATCCGCACACGCGCACATGTATATATACATGCATGTACACATGCCTCCTCCCAACGACACCTTCCCTCTCCAGCCACGGACCGAGTGGCCCGCATGCACATCGCTGGCGCAATAGGCACGTACAGGCATATACACACCCAGGCATGCCATCTAGGTACAGTAGGACGGGGAACGAGAAGACAGACAAACAAACAAACAAACGCAGACAGCGCACCCAGCAAACCAGACAGACGAGATGGGCTGATATCCCGCATTGTTTCTTGTTTCCACCGCCTGCCGCTCTACCTACCGCTCACCCGGCGCGCAATCCCGCCCACCGACTCTACTCTCCAACAGGAAGGCGAGCGGATTCGCCTGTTTCTGTTTCGCGCAGGTAGCGGCGGTAGTAGTGGTGGTGGCGGAGCTATACACGGCGCGCGCCAGGCGCCGCCAATCTGTCGGAAGAGGAAGAAGGGAGGAGGACTCAGGTGTGGCTGAAGACGACAAGAGGCTTCTCGACCCTCGACCCTCGATCCTCGTTCCTGGCCCCCAGCCTCGTTCCCCGGTGCCGGCGGCGGCGGCGACGCCGTGATAGGAGCAGCTGCGGCGGCCAGATACGTGGTAGGGGAGAGTCGTATCCGCGTTATCGCGCGCGGTACCTATCAGCAGCGCGACCAACCGCGGCGGCGCCATCCGTATCGCATCTACTACGTACAATACCACATGATGATAATCCGTATTGGGGGCCGGTCAGGCAGGCCTTGTTCTAGACCCTTCGCTCTGCTCGGCCTTGGGCGCGAGAAAAGACAATAATGCCACGGGGTCGGGGAGCGAGCGAGCGAGAATACGCCCGTACGAGCAGCGAGCGCCAAAGGGGCCCGAGAGGGAGGGGCCACGAGTGGATAGGGTTATTAGGGAAGGCCGGAAAGTGGGCTCCTTTGGACGGACGGACGGGAGCGGGACCCGTCGTGTCGGGTGCGGTGCGCGCGCGTGTATATTGCGCACCTAACCTAGCCTTAGATAAATTTTTTTTTTGTGTGTTTTGACTTTTTGTGTTTTTCGATGAGAGCCCACTGTTATCGCCAGACGGGCGCGTCTGGCCCTTGGACCAGGCTGCCGGTGCCCGGGGCTGTTATTTTTTGCTGGTCGCCGCCTGGCGCGCGCTATATAGAAGTGGATAATGCTATTATTGCCCAGGACTGTATTGCTGTCTGTGACTCTATCCTTATTTTTAATTTTTAATTTTTTTTCTTTCGATGGTTTGCTCGAGCGCTCTAGCTCCCAAGGTACACACATATTGTAGTTAGTCGCGGCGCGCGCTCGTACCTGCGTACGGCGTAGGTGGTGAGCTGATGGCGCGTGTCCTGGTGGCCGGCGGGCAGGTAGGCCGCGCGCACTGCCACTGCTGCTGCTGCTGCTGCTTGCTGCTGCTGATGCCGCTACTGCTTCGTTGAGCGCGTGCGTGCCGGGAGCGTATCTTTGCGCGCACGCGATACAATATTAAGCAATAATGCGTAAGCACAGCGCTGCGGCTGATATCAACGCAACACCCCTACCTACTCGACTCGCGCGGCTTACGGTAGCAAGAGCCCCCCGAATCGCGACGCCTTTGTACATCGCTGCGCAGAGCGCACCCCGAGCGTGCGCGCAAAAAATAAATAAATAAATAAATAAATAAATTAATAAATTAATAAATAAAAAAAATAAAAATAAAAAAAAAATAAATAAATAAAAATAAAAATAAAAAAGCAGGACCAGGCCGCGCAGCCACAGATTACAGTACCGGTGTGCACGCCCGTGTGGCAGGGCATGGAGGCTCATCAGAGACGTTTCTCTGGCCCTCGCAACCCCTACCTACATACAATATTGTACAACACCATCACTGACCACCACCACCACCGCCGCCGCCGCGACGCCCAACAACACCCTTGCCTTGACGGACGGAGACGCACGCACGCCCCGCCGCAGCTCCTCCCCTCTCCACCGTCAATCACCGCAGTCGAGACGCGTCCGCGCACGGGTGCGTCGCAGCCAGCAGTGCCGCCCGTGTCGTCATAGCCGTCCAAGCGGGCGCTGGTGCTGCTGCTCGGGCGTGTGCGTTGGTGCTGCACGCACGCGCCCTGCGCTGGCGGCGGCGGCGCGCCGACAATGACAATGCCTGTGGATTCGTGGAAGGAACTGTCGTTTTCCATGGGCCTTGGCAGTTGCGCAAGCCGGGGCCGGGGCGCGGAGACAGTGAGCCTAGAGTACCTGCTCTAGCACCCTAGGTAGGTAGAGTACGAGTGCCTAATGCGGTCATCGTGGCAGAAGCTTCAAGCTAGGTAGGCAGCTAGTTAGTAACTACGGGCAGAAGGGCAGGGAAAGGCAGGATGGATTTGTTTTAGGCCTTGCGTGCCTAGAGCCTATGAATGCGGACGCTGCTTGCTACTGCGTTACCTACTAACCTACCTAGCTACATGTCTGCCTCTCACTAACTAACTAACTAACCATCTAACTAACTAGAGTACCTAGGTGCCTAGCTTCGCATTTTGCCCGGAGCCGCGCGCATCCTTCCTTTGTCAATCAATCCCTCACCCGCCCGCTATCCCATTCTCCCGGCTTCTTCTTCCCCACGCGGCGACTCGCGCTGCTGCTGAGTAGTGCTGCTGGTGTAGCGAACCCAGCGCTTAACCCGACGCTAGCCGGGCGCGGGCGCCAAGAGCCCAGAGAGGAAAAGGGACGGAAGGAAAGAAAGCAAGCACGAGGAAACAGAGTGCTGACTGAGCAGCAGCAGCAGCAGCGAGCGGCTGAGAAGATCTGAGCTGCGAGACCGCCGAGCTGAGAGCGGGAGAGGCGGAGCGGCCTGGCGGCTATCCTGCCTCAATCGAACGTTTACGTTTCCGATCTTTTTACTTTTTCCGTTTTGCTTTTTCTCTTTTCTTTTCTTTTCTTTTTTTAATCCCTCTCCACCAGTCAGTAGTTAACCGACTACGTTAGTCTCCGCATCATCGACATGGCCATCGACATCGCGAAACAACAGCCGGCCCGGCGCCGGCAGTTGCGTTGGTCGGGGCATGCATGGCCAGCTATCCATACCTACTACGGTAATCCGCCGGCGGGCGAGGCAGGGCAGGGCACCCCCGCCCTCGCGCCTCAAACGCTTCAAGGCGAAAAAAAGGCGAAAATGCGAAACGAAAGATAAAAAAAAAAAATTTTAAAAAAAAAACAAAAGTGAATTCCGTTGCGGGGAATCGAACCCC